TTTCGAATCGATTCCAGCCTCGTGGGGATTGGAATTCAAAACAGTACCTTAATCATATCGACACGATCCTGCGGGACGTTTCCTAGTTGACGAAAATACTAAAATGTACACTGGAACATCACATTTTAATTGAAAAAGCGTACCAGTATACAATGTTATTAGTGATATCTCATTCAGCAGGTATGTGAAAAATATCTCTGACAGATTGGCAAACAAAGGAATTTAAACAAGACCGGGACAGGTTTTCCGTTAGGAAAGGGCTTCAGTGTTTGGGCAAAACAATGTCACCCTGGCAAACCCCAAACTCATCCGATCCTTCGTACAAGTGATCGAGAGGCAAGTAGACTAACTATGAAACTTTATCACAACGAGCAGACCAAATGAATTGTGTTTCACATTTTGAATTCCACCAGAGATGGTACCGAGAGCTTTTTCGCGTTGTAAATACATATTGTATGTTTATTCTACGAGACAAGAATATCATATGCTATATAAAAAAAACGTGAAAAATCTTTAGGGCGGCGCCCAACCATCAATTGAATCCTGGTTACGCCACTAGCAATCAGTATTCAATCTGTATCGAAAAATTATTACATTGCCGATAATTTGGAAAAGGTCTATATAGATATATTGATAATGTATTTTTTTACCTTCTCCATACAGAAATTCGGAAGATGCATTGTGATAAAAACTTTTTTATAAATATCAACCGATGAATTTCCGTTTTTTACCGGACCGGTTCCAGCGCTGATATGCATGTATCATGGTCAAAACCGTTGGGTGGTGCTAAAAATGTTTTCCACCCAGACGATCTGGGTGAAGTATGATCCTAATAGTTTTTCGCTTGGGTGACCATGTAGCATGGTTCAGGACCACCGTGAATTTACTCTCATAATATTTTGAGGTATCTGCGATTATTGACTGAGCAAAAACTTTACAAGTACCTAGGCTACTATGCTAAAATGCCTGTAAAACGGTACTTTTTTTACCACGTCACAATGGCTTGTTATAATAGTAAAAAACGCGCAAAGTTGTTTTATATTACAGTTTACGATTGGTTCTCATGATATTACTCAAAATCTGTATTCTATATGCCAAGATATAGAAATATCCGCGCACCCAATTTTGCTTAAAAATAGACTCGCACTCGAAGTTATGTCGAAGTTCGCGAAAACTGTTTTAGCGTGATTTTCCTCCGTCACACATTCATCTTGACTGTCTTTGTTCAGAAAAACCGTAGCTTTCATGAATACAACTTAACTCCTCTGTTCTACCGCGATTAATCCAATGTCCCTTGGAACGAACATCTCGGTTTTTAAGGGTTAAGATCATAAACGATAATTAAAAGGATGAATCAAAATAAACTATAACCATTGTCTTAAATTATATTCCTTGTGGAATTAAAATCAGTTTGTTTCTACTCATCCTCAAATGTGATTCTTTAAGAAAAAGAGTCAGCGAATTCTTTCGATGAGCGTTACTTGTATTACCTGAAAAGTGTCGACAAGACAAAGTTGGAAGAAAAAATAACCAAGTTCCTAACTGAATTCTTATCTTCTTTACCTGTTTCGAGCGTAGTGAAGTCACTTTTTTGTGAGTGTTTTTCTTATCTTCTCTATTTTTTTCCTGTGAGAGTTTGTTTAAGAACCAACAGATAACAGAAATACTTTTGTCCCCGAAAAGATTCAAGAAAAGAACGACGTCATTCGCTGCCTATATAAAAAAGAAGCGAATTTCTTCATTTTCACAACAAAACAAAATACTGTGAATTTCAGTTTATTCAATAAAATGGACGCACAAAAATCAAAATCAAGTTCCACGACAAGAAAGCATGGTAATCAACCGCGACAACGCATGGTCCAAAACTACCTCTTAGTTTGGGTGGATGGCAACATCGATGAAAAGGACCAAGACTACCAGAACACTTTGAAACACTTACGAAGTGTCGTCAATGATGTTAACATATGTACTCAACCAGACGCCTGCCTTCAATTCCTTAACAGCATTGGTGATGAAAAAGCTTTCGTCATCACATCGGGATCTTTAGGTCAACACTTGGTTCCCGAGATTCACGGCATTCCACAAGTGAATGCCATCTACATCTTCTGTGGCAACAAATCCAGCAATGAAACCTGGGCAAAGAACTGGTCAAAAGTCAAAGGTGTTCACACAAATATCAAAGAAATCTGTGAAGCGCTGACCACGGGTGTTAAACAACATAATCAAGACTCCATCGCCATGAGTTTTGTCACCGCAAGAGGAGAGGGTTCCAATACCAATCTCAATCAACTGGAACCCAGTTTTATGTACACGCAAATATTTAAGAAGATTCTCCTCGACATGAAACACGACAAGCAAGCAATCAAAGACCTGGCTAATTACTGTCGTCAGCGTTTTCAAGGCAACTTCGCAGAGCAAAATATTATCGGTGAGTTCGAACGTGAATATTGTCCAGACCAGGCCATATGGTGGTATACACGCGAGTGTTTTACCTACCAAATGCTTAATCAAGCACTTCGCACTTTGGATGGCGAAGTCATTATTAACATGGGGTTTTTCCTCCATGATTTACACAAACAAATAGAACAGCTACACAAAGAACAGGTCAGTAGTTACAGACGAAAACCTTTCGTAGTCTACCGTGGGCAGGGACTATCCAAGACAGATTTTGACCAGTTATCAAAAACTGTTGGTAGTCTTTTATCTTTTAACAACTTCTTATCCACCAGTATCAAACAAGAGAAATCTCTTGAGTTCACCTGCAGCGCTCTCGGTGATCCCGACAAGGTGGGTGTTCTGTTCGTGATCACAATCGATCCGAATATTGGTACTACTCCATTCGCATCGATTGGAGATTTTAGTTATTTCGAAGACGAAGCAGAGATCCTTTTTTCCATGCACAGCGTATTTCGAGTTGGTACAATTCGACAAACAGGTGATAAGAATAAACTTTACCATGAGGTACAACTCCAGTTGACTGCCGATGACGATCCACAACTGCGTGTGTTAACGAACCGTATTGAAAGTGAAGTTCAAGGTAGTACAGGATGGCATCGATTGGGTAAATTGTTACTTCAAATAGGACAGTTGGATAAAGCCGAAGAGCTGTACACTGTGTTACTGGAACAAGCGTCTGATAACAATGACAGAGCACTCTATTATCATCAACTTGGCTGCTTAAAAGATGGTCAAGGTGATTATAAAATGGCTATAAAATACTATGAAAAAGCACTTGAAATCAACGAAAAAACTCTTCCTTCGAATCACCCTCATTTGGCTGCTTCGTACAGCAACATCGGTGGGGTGTACAAGAACATGGGGGAGTATTCGAAAGCACTTTCATTCTATGAAAAAGCACTTGAAATCAACGAAAAAACTCTTCCTTCGAATCACCCTAATTTGGCTACTTCGTACAACAACATCGGTACGGTGTACAAGAACATGGGAGAGTATTCGAAAGCACTTTCATTCTATGAAAAAGCACTTGAAATTAGAGAAAAAACTCTTCCTTCGAATCACCCTTCGCTGGCTACTTCGTACAACAACATCGGTTTGGTGTATGACAACATGGGAGAGTATTCGAAAGCACTTTCATTCTATGAAAAAGCACTTGAAATCTACCAAAAAACTCTTCCTTCGAATCATCCTTCGTTGGCTACTTCGTACAACAACATCGGTGGGGTGTACAAGAACATGGGAGAGTATTCGAAAGCACTTTCATTCTATGAAAAAGATCTTGCAATATGCGAGAAAACTCTTCCTTCGAATCACCCTGATTTGGCTACTTCGTACAACAACATCGGTGTGGTGTACTACAACACTAAGGACTATTCGAAAGCACTTACCTATTTCGAACGCGCTCTGGACATTCGTCAACGTGCATTACCGGCGAATCACCCTCATATAAAAGACGTAAAAGAAAGTATCGAAATTTGTAAAAGAGCAATGAGGAAATAAAAGATTACTGTACCTTTTTTGTTTGAAATAAAAAGTAATGATTCGCCCGCGCGCGCGTACAGAGTAGAACTCTGTATAGAGATAGTAATGATGAAACATCGCGGGGACAGACCCATCCAAGAAAGGCAATACACATACATACGGACATATGTATGTGTATCGAAGGCCTTCACGGACACAATCATGTTTAACACATTACTCGGTATCAAAAGTGAGGACATACGTGTAATTTGACAGGATTGCTTGTTTGCGTTGTTGAACGAGGCCTCGATTGCTGTTGATACGAATGAACATGAAGAAAATCGATGTATATTTATATGGATGACTATCCATTGTCTAGAATAGACTGAACACGAACAGGATAGATAGATACAAAAGAGAGAACGTCAGTCATTGTTTTCATTCGTTCNGAAAGAACATATTTACATATACCCATGGAGCAAGAAAGAATGAGAGAAGAAGGAGCGAGAGAGAGAAGAGAAAAATCAATCTTGTTGAACCTGCCCCGTATGTATATGCATACATTCAATCGTTGAGACGAAGGAAGAGAAGAGGTTATGTGTGCAGATGCACAAGCAGCATACAGCTAGTGGATTGTATCTGCTTGACGAATGAACGAACGTCAAGCAGGAAATGTATGATGGATAGAGAAAATGCTGTTGTTACTGTTGTGTGTGTATGTCAGGTTAGATCAATGTTATATAATTAGAGAAGGAAAAAGCTCCTGTCTTTCGCTCTATCTTTTTCTCTCATGTCTCGCTTTTCCCCTTCGATTTCTTCTCTTCTCTCATATCCTAGATATATATATTTTTTCTTTCTTGTCCATAAATCGACAATCGAGAAAGAAGATTTGTTCTCCTGACGAAGGAAAAAAGAAAAGAATGAAGATGAACATCATATCTTGATGTATATGAGTGAGTAAATGGGATCGATCGGATTAGCTTATTTTCATTCTTTTCTCTATTCGTATTATAGAACAAATTTCATATCTAGACAGATTGTTTCAATGATGAGAACTTGATACTCAAGTATATATGTAAATCCGGTTTCATACTAGACGGATGTCCTTCTCAGTAACATATACATAGACTCATATAAACGGCGCCGTTGTCAATTTCCTCTTGGTATAAAGATATCGATCAACTTCTCGATTTTCTAGATAGACAATATGTTCAGTTCACCGACATTATCTCGTTATAATAAACAACAATCGAGCATTGACTTGATGTCGACAAAGCGTCTTCTCGACGAAAAATGTCAAACAATTGAACAATTGAAAACGATTATCGACGAATTGAAACTTCGACATGAAAGAAAAGAACGCGAATTACTCAAACGTATTGGCATATTATATAATGATTTACAACAGAATAAAAAGAAGATGGCACACTTGATCTACAAGCATCAACAACACAGAAAGGTATGTCGTTCATCTTCATGAGAGAACTTGTGATATTTATTCGCTAAGAAACACAAATGAAAATAAACAAGATATTTTAGAAGGATTAATTGAGTATATCCTTCAAGATTCAGCTTAACCTATTCTGTTTGTTTAACACAGACAGATTTAGCGATGAAATGTTTCAAAATGAGCAAATTTTCTTCTTCTTTTCGAAACATCCTCATTCTTGCTGATTATTCAGACAGTCAAGCGTCAATCATCCTATAAAAACGCACATGTTTGTGTATTTGTTCACTTTGAAATAATAATCAGATCGGCATTTGCTTGTTCGTTTAACTCTAAAAAGACACATGGCCCTTTAACTCGATTACAAACAATTGAGCCGTTCATCTTCGTTTCTTTTTTGACATGATAGCGTTATGTAAATTGATCTGAACCAGAGAGAAGAACACGAGCTGGTTTTGATCAAACAGAGTCAAGTGATAATTGAATGACAAAATATGAAAAGGTTTTCACACTTCATTCGATTTTCATCTCACTTTTTCTTTCCTCGATTTAATTGGTTTGGTCTGGTGTCTATAAACGTGTTAGTTTGTTTTCTTTTGACAATGGGTGGTGGTGGTCAGAAAAGGAGTGTTGAACGATGGATCAGATCAACATTCATTAATGATTTATAGACTATAATATAATAGAATCAGATAATTAATCTCTCTTCATTCATAGTAAGGAACAATCTCAATGATTGTGTCGTCTATCGGTTAAGAAGATACTTGTTGAATATGAAAGAAAAAAACAACAGAAAGTTATTGCTTCTTTTTTCTTCATGAATTTTATTAGATTCTTTCGATATGTTCGTCAAGAATTTATGATGAAGGATCATATAAAATGTACCTTCAGGCAGTCAGACAATCTTTACTATACTAAAACAAAGACAGACGGTGACGGCGACGACGTCATTTGCTCTTTTGGTTTCTTTGATGGATTAAAGTAGTAGAAGTGCGAGAGTATGATTACGCGAAAAGCATTGTTAAAGAAACTGTACAAAAGTGTATCCTAGGGCATTTGAATTTTGATGGATATGATTTATTTTTTTAATCATTAATTTTGTCATTTCATAGGCTAACGACGAAACTAAAGCATTTCAAAATCTTTCTACTCAAACAGATGAAAATCATTTTGCAACAATCTGTTCCAATTGTTCACGCAATGTAATAAAGCAGTTCTTGTTTTTTTCTCTTTCATAATCAATTTATCGTGTTTCATAGGATAACACCATTGAACAATGTTTTAGTCAATTACAAGTACATGAATCAAATCAAAATCAAGAACAGGTATGAATGGCTCTGAAACAAAGTGATTGTACTGAATGTATCTTGTTTAGCAACCTAAATATTATACACTTCAATCTGAACAAGATCCAGAATACATATCTGCTACACCTCAAGCAACTTTGAATCAATCTTTATCATCACCTGCTCTCTCGACAACCGATCGATCATCTACAAAATCATCTTGTTCCCATCATCACTGTTCGACATCATCGACAAAGCATAATGAAAGTAGCTCAAGTGCTTATAACACTGCTGAAAGCTTACCTAGTAGTACATATTCCGATGAGATTGAATCGCTCGAACGTGTTTTGAATGCTGCTTGTACAATGTACACAACACATGATAATCTCGAACATACGATTAAGTTGCAAGAAGAATTGTTTCGACAACGTTTACGTCTACGCGGTATTACTGTTGATGAAAAGCTTAATGAATCGTCTTCGACATCGTCGAGTGAACATTTGTATGATAATATTGATGACGAACCAAGTGATCGAGAGAAACATGCAACTCAAGCGCATCGAATCCGTCCAACATCATCACAGCGAAAGAAATCCAAACAAAATTTGATCTTAAGTACAGATGACGATGAACAACAGGAGAAAATCAAATTATCGAAATCAAATAAAGTTCGCTTTTCTGATCCATATCATCATTCAATCGGAAAACGTAAAAGTCTCAAATCCACTTCGAAAATCAGTACAACACCTAACCGAAAATATCATTCAACAATACCGACGAATAAGAAATTCTCTTTACCCTTATCATCCAATATGTTAACTGTGACTATCACTTAACATTTTGCTCTCGTTCTCTCTTTTTATATGTTGTCTGCGTCTTACCCCCTTTTCTCTCTTTCCTCTTTGGACGTCTATAGAAAACATTTATTTAAATATATGTATTGTTTCATACAAATCTCTTCTTTCAAATATCAACATCACTTTTCTATACAAACAAATTATCGATCATCGAAGTTTTTTCCTCGGACAAAAAGCTCGTTTTAACTTCAACGAATAGTAATCGTTGATGATTGATTGATTGTTCCAAAAAAAAAAACATATGCCTTGTTTTGTAATTTCCTTTAGTAAAAAGCCTCGCAGGCGAACGGTTATTTATAAAACAATTTCGACGATTACATCACACCGGATATGAAGTTATTCGAATCGGACTCATTTATAACTCGACTATGACTACATACTCAAACAATGAGAAACATTTCGATTGATTCTACCTATAACCATTAGTCGAAGTTCACATGTCCGATGTTGTAATAAAGTTAGCAGACGATTCATTAATCATTCAAGTACCACCTTAGACGTACTAACATGAAATCATAGACGATTGTTTAGATTTATTCTGTTGATGTCGTCTTCGGGCGAATAACTTCGAGAAAGATCTTAATAAACCTTGAGTGTAATCAATCGACGAATTCTCATCGAAAAAAAAAGAGAAATCCATTGTTGGAATGATGAGAATGGTATTCGATGAGACTCATATGTTCGATATGTTTACACAAAACATATAATTGGCAGAAAATATGATTAATTCTGAGAATAATTAAATGTCTCTGTCAGATTGACTGGCTAGAGCAACATATTATCTAATCATCATCTCGAGGACTAATCTGTTTTGGTTACTAAATCTATCTGAAAATGAATAGACACTAATTGTCGATATCTCGTCTCTATGAGAATACAATGTATTGAATAAAGACGAAAAGAAAAGTAAAAAGAATGAAATGCTGTTATATGATCTGATGTGAGAGCTTAAGGGCAAGGCAAAAGTCAAGCGTAGATGGTAAATCGATCGAGCTGAAGATTAAAATCTTAGGTAATTTGAAGGTTATTTCACTGAGAGGATAAGTCAATAGCAGACAAGTTGTTAACGATGAAATTTACGTTATAATTCATCAAAAATCAATCCTGATGTGTTTTGAGAAAAGCTGCTCGAACCAGAAAGGGAAAAGGTGTTTAATTGCATTTTATTTTTTTGTGATCGAACATACTCACCGAACGAAAACACGTTAAAGTGTGCGCGTTTTCTAATTATTTCTTTATTGGATCAGATATTCCACAAATTTCTGTATGTTTGAAACACTTGAAGATTTCATTCGTTACGCTATGTTTTCTTCTTCTGATAGAAAGGTCAGATGCGTCGACACCTATTTTGATAAACTATTTAATCACACACGAAAAATTTCTTAATAGAAAAAGAAAATAATTTTCATTGCGTTAGTTTTACAAAAATGATTTATTTTCACAGATAATTAATGACAAATGCACAATGTACCTCTGGTTCGCCACGAAAACACACATTGCCATACGATGAAAAAATGTGATTTCGTTTTGTTATTGATTTAATTGTATTTGGAGAAAGAAAATGTTTTTTCAATAATATAATTCGTGATGTAACCGTCCTTCGGTAATATTTCATAAACCCTTCGTACGAAAAGGTTGCGTGTATTCATCCTTAAGTGTCGTACTTCGACATAAAAAAGTATACGTAGTGTCAGTCAGCGAAAATATTTTCCTTCTTTGTGTCGCTTGACTGACACTTTTTTCATGATGCGTCTAAGGATATATAAAGTATCGTATGAAACAAATTAGTGAATATTTCACTTGAAAATACTGCAAGGGAATAGCCGCCGCAATGCTGTCGACACGAAGACAACGTAACCGAGAGCAAGAAGTTGCTATAAACATGAGAAATCCACATAAATACAATTCTGGCAACAAAATCAACGTATGAATCATATTTTATTGAATAAATTGACATTGGATAGCGTTCTTTCTAGAATTCAGAACAACCACCACCATCGTACAGTAACATTTTCGAGTCGAAATTGCGTCCAACACGATCAGCAGGCAATGGCGATTTTGTTAAACCTGAGTTACCAGAATTCTTGCAAAATATTGGTCCTGGTCTATCACCGTTGAAAGAAAATCCACCTGTTACAGTCTCATGGTACGACGTTCGAGCGGAAGCACCCCCAAAGCAGAATTTTATCGCACGGAACATCAAAAAATTATTGGGTAAAGAAATTGAAGGACCGAAAATGTTGCTAAAAGGCGTTAATGGTATTGTTAAGTCAGGTGAAATGTGTGCAATTATGGGTGCTAGGTATGTTGCGTATCAGTTTGAAAAATTTTACATTTATTTTCATTTAGTGGTGCTGGTAAAACAACACTTCTGAATATTATCACTCATCGTCGATCGGGCCAATTAAAAATCAATGCAGATGTTCGAATAAATGGTCGACATATGAAAAAAGATATTTCTGGTGTGTCGGGCTTCGTTCAACAAGAAGAATTATTCATTGGAACATTAACAGTTCGAGAACATCTCCGATTTCATGTACGTATACGAAAATATAACACTTTTGAAGATGTTTTCGTGTTTTCCTTTAGTCGATGCTTCGTCTAGGAAAAGAATTTACTAAAGATGAACGAGAAAATCGTGTTACGGAAGTGTTACACTTTGTATGTATCACGTATAGTTTCTATTCTTCATTGTTCAATTGTTGAAAATTTAGCTGAATTTAACCAAAACTGAAAATACAACAATTGGTATCACTGGACTTGTTAAAGGTCTATCCGGAGGAGAAAAGCGTCGTTTAACATTTGCTACTGAAGTAAATACTCATTTCGATATTCATTTAAAAGATTTGCAACTACATTGAATTTTATAGATTCTCAGTGATCCTCCGGTACTTTTCTGTGACGAACCAACATCAGGTTTAGATTCTTCTATGGCATTTATTCTTGTACAAGCTATGCGAAAACTTACTGATCAAGGCAAAACAGTCATTTGTACAATTCATCAACCATCATCCGAAATATTCTTTCTTTTTGACAGGTAATGTCAGCAATCTTTCTTTTTTTGCTAGTTCTGAAATTCTATATCGATTTGTTGATAGATTATATTTACTAGCTGAAGGTCGAGTCGCATATTTTGGTTCGCTTGAAAAAGCACCAGCATTTTTTCGAGGGTGAGGGTTTGCCATCGTCGAAGAAGACTCTCTGACGAGTTTTGTATTAGGTTCAATTTGGAAATTCCAAGAAATTACAATCCAGCTGATTTCTATATTCAACAACTGGCAATCTACCCAAAGACACGTGAAGAAAATCTCGCTCAAATCGAGGTAAATCTCCCTGGTAGAATCCATCTGTGAAACTCGTTCTGTATCATTTCAGCGTATCTGTAATGGTTATGAGAAATCACCACAATACTCTCGTTACATCTCGGAAATTATCTCATTGCATTCTGCACATTCGGAAGACAACGAACTTGATTTTTTTTCGAGATTATTTCGACCATGGTCTTCAAAGAAGAAAAATGTTCAAGCAGATGACATTGATGTCCAAAATACGAATAAATCACGATATAAAACAAGCAGTCTTGTTCAATTTCGTTGGCTACTTTGGCGAAATTTTGTCGATACCCTTAAAAATCCGTTTGAAACTCGGCTTCGCGTTTTTCTTGCAATCGTACGTACTCAATAACCTTCCTTTCGATAATACTCATTCAAATGCTCTTCTCTAGTTTCTCGGTGTACTTATTGGCCTTCTCTACTTTCGTCTGACTTACGATCAAACAGCCGTACAAAATATCAACTCATTAATTTTCTTGATTATCATCAATACATCATTTTCAAATATCTTTGCGGTCGTACAAGTAAATAATTTATCATTTCCTACCATTACGAATGCGAAAATATCTACTTTGATTTCTAGAGTTATACGAAAGAGTTTCCGATATTCTATAAAGAATATGATGATGCTGTTTATCGTGTCACGCCTTATTATCTTGCAAAATTTATTTCTGAAGTAAGTTGAAAATGTCAGACTGATGTCAGAAACGTACACACATTTGGTTGTATAGCTTCCGTTGTTTGCAGTTACAACACTCCTTCAATTAGCAATCACCTATTGGATGACGAATTTGTATGGAACTGCCAAGCGGTTTTTTATTTTCACTGGAATTATAATTCTAACAAGTTTTGCGTCGCTGGGTCTTGGTTCCGTTTTATCTGTCGTCGCTAATACAGCGGAACAAGCACAAGCAATTCAAATACCCATCCTACTACCTCTAATGATCTTCGGTGGGTTCTTTCTAAACAATCAGTATGTCTCGACGACTTTTTTCGATGCTTTAATTGACTTCTATCATTTAGATCGGGTCAAGAGTGGCTGAAATGGATCAAATACCTTAGCTGGTTTTACTATTCAAATGAAGCATTGATTATCAATCAATGGGAAGATGTAGATAATTTACCATGTGAAAATCTTGATCCAGGACTACCATGTTATCATAACGGAGACGAAATTATCGAATTAGTTGCTTTTGATAAGGTGAATGATGAATATTCTTCAATGCTTCATTTCATTCTGTTTCTTCTAGTCAAACTTCGGTCGAGATATTGGTTTAATCACTGTTTTATGGATTGGTCTTCGACTGTTAAGTTATTTAATTCTCTTATTCAAATCTCGCCATCACAAATAGCAACTTTGTTTTGCTTTTCGTTTGACGTTTTCTTGCGAATTAGCGCTTTTTTTATATCGATGAGATCATTGTCCTGCGTGTATATATATATATATACTGAATAGTTATTTGTTGGTTTTATGTTACGCATATTGACATGCTCGATGTATGTCTAATCGAGGATCGAAAAATTCGAATAAAAAGCTCGATAGAACAGCGAATTTGTTTGCTCAAAACTCGATCACAACTACTAAGAGTCATGAAACGTGTCCGATATTGAAAAATCGAACGAAAAACGATGACGATAGTTTGCCAACACAGTAATTCCAAATATTTCTCTTTGTTAACCTCATCAGAATATAAATATCCATCAGAGAAACATCCATCGAATGGCAACGAATTATCGATCGTGAATTTCAAGCATTAGATATCGATGCAGATGGTTATGTATCAATAGCGGATATGCAATCAGTCTTAAAGTGCGTAATTGTAGAAAAACGACTTTTTCTTTCAGCGGTCAAATTGCTCGTGACTTTGTCGAGTACTTTTTTATATTTATTCATGCGTATCGGAAAGCGACTGATTGTTCGTTTTTCCAAAGGAATTTTTCTCATATATACGATTCGAATGAAATTATGCTGCGGATATTCGAAGAACTTGATCATAATCGTGATCAACGTATCTCACGGGAAGAATTTCAAGTTTATAAAACTATTCTGTTAGCTCACGAAAAATGCTTTCATCGAGCGACATTTGAAGAAAAATTAGACTCAATTTTCGTTCTTTTTGATCGGAATCAAGATAATTATATTTCTCGACATGAAATTCGTGAAACCATGCATAATCTCGGTGAGCATATCGACGACGATCTTCTCGAAGAAATGATGCAAACAGCTGACACGAATCATGACGGACGAATAAGTCGTGATGAATTCAAACGACTTCTTTTACAACTGCATGCAAACAAATAGAAATTCACTTGTTTCGATCACATTTTATTTAACATACATAAATCAAGTTCAGCTTATTGTACAACATCAAAACACTTTTCGTTCGTTAATTGTTGTTCGTTTTCGAAGAATATCATCAATGGTTTCATCTTTTTGATAAAATTCTTTACGTAATTCATTCAATTGCGCTTCAATCATATCTTTGTTGTTACTTGTGTTCAAGGATTTATATTCTTTTGCAGTTGATGTTGACGGTTGGGTAGGCATAAATGGCGGAGGTGTGTTCAGATTTGTAGTATCGATGTCCATGCCGCGTAAACGTTGTTCTTGAAGTTCACGTTCTTTTTTGCTTAATTCTTCTTGAGCAATTTGCACCTAAGAGATCGAGAAAGAAAGTTTAGATAGAGGAAATTGCGGGAATTACTTTGACACGATTGAATAGTTCTTCGAGTAATCTCATTGATTCCAATTTTCGATGAGCGATTAGCATTTTTCGTTCTTCTAAGGCGATCTTCATTGCCAGAGTCTTCTCTTCATGTAAACGTTTACTTTCTAAACGTTTTAATCGTCGTTTTTCTTCTCTAAAAAGGTAGAATAACTCTGGAAAATTTGACCTATCAAATTCGTTTATTTACCGTTGTCGACGACGATTATCCTTTGTTACATCTTTACTTCCAGCCACATCTTCAGCTTCGGCATCCTGTAATTCAATTCTTAAACTAAAAGAAAACACAACGATATTACATTTTCAGTATTTTCATTCAGATATTACCGTTCAATTTCTTTCCGACGTTCGTCTTCGTCACGCAGTCTTTGAGTATCTGCTTGTTTCAATTTATTTAATTCCGTAGCTTTCATTTGCTCAATACGACGCTTTTTAATCATCCGATCCGACAAATGTCTTGTACGATCAAAATCGACCTGCAAATCAATAAACAACAATATTCGCGTATCTTCATTCAGATTCTTCTCATACTTTAATATTTGCTGAATACGCTGTATTTGTTTCATCGGTAATCATTAATTTCATATTTCGACAAGCATCCATTGCTTTAACAAATCCGATATATTCACTGTATTGAATATATGCATCAAATGTTGTAACCTGTTGAACGGGAACATTAGTACCTAAAGTACCATTGACAGTACGATATGGATCAAGACATGGAAGATCACAGCAACGAATTTCGCCAAAGGCGGAAAATACTTGTTGCAAAATTTCAATGGATGGTTTGTTCTCCTTGTCATCTGTGTTAGAAGTTGCTGATGATACAGGTAAACCACTAGGACCAATAGCTGCAGCAGCTGCTTGAGCAGCTTGTAATGGATTTTGTTTCGCCTAGAAATAAAGTATGAAAGTGTTCGGTGTCAGATTATTTCCTAATTGAAAGTTACTTGAAACCATCGTATCGGTAAACCTTCGATGTGAATCGTGTCTGCACGTTCACCAGGTTTAGTTTCATTCATTCCTTTGGTTTCTCGGAAAAACGTTTCCCATTCCGTTCGGGTTGGATAGGGCAACTTCGCTTCGGCTGCACGTAAACGAAATTCATTGCCCGATGTTTCCAATCGTATCAATGTATTATCCAAACGTGTTAAACAACTGCGAGCAATCGCTTTTGATTCTAATTCACCTTCGAAACGAAATAACTCTCCAGTATTTTTCAATAAACGTAGAAAAACAAATTCATCCGGTAGAATCAATTCTCGAATTTTGTCCATTATTTCCCACGATGGTATTTGTGCACCAGTGACACGCATCGATGGCGGAATAGGCACGGTAATGTTGATACGTGCTATTGGTTTTAAATACATACGCTAAAAAGATCAGGACGAATGTATTATTTTCATAGGAAAAGAAAAACATAAACTCACCAGTGGTTCGCATAGTGCTACTCGTTCACTCAGATCTTTGGACTGGGAGATATTTGACATAGTTTTAGATTATCTGAAAAAGAAACAAAAGAGAATGCAAAATCTCGAATACATTATTGACTATTTTTAATTGAACGAGTAAAAAAGTCAAAAGATTTTCCAGTCACAATCGATGGAATTCGATCGATTGAAAAGTCGATCGATTCTTTGAAGCCATTCTTCAAACCGAATGCTAACTGTTGTGCAATACGTCGTAAAAGCGGATTGGAAGACTTCGTTGCTTCCTCAATTTGTACCCATTTGCAATCGAGAACTTCAGTTGGATCCATTTTGATCTCATCTGTCAGCGCAGATAAACGACAAACAAAGTATATATCCGAACGACCATGTCCACCTGAAAGCATTCGACAATCAATAATGAGTGTTGTCGTCTAAAGTAGAGCAAACCTGGATGATTGTGCGACTGCCGAAGTGCGATAATTGATTCAAATTCTAATCAATTAAATATCGTTTTTTTTTTACTAGAATAGTTAATACTTTCCAAATACAAACTTGATCTTATTCCAGTTTCTTCAAATACTTCACGCATCGCACCATCAGCTATACGACACAAATGTCTTCTAGATAAAATCATCTTTTTCAACTCACCAATATCTTCTGAAAGTTCCACCGCTCCTAGAATAACATATCCATATGATTACTATTACCGTCAATGGTAACTGAATTCTATACCTCCAGGCAGCTAAAAACGCATTACACGAGAAGTTTTTATTCAGTAGAGGAATATACTTATTTTACCTTCCAAAACTCCAGATTTCGAATTCGTTCTTTGATGATCAGTAACTCATTAGTTTTCTCCCGAAGAACTGCGCCGCCAACTCCCACTAAATCACAATTTCAAACATTGTCGACATCAATCAATCTCATGACATCTATACCTTGGTGTCTAAAACATATTCGAATTCGATAAGAAATCGATAAAATCTGGTGATTAAATTCTACCTACGTAGCAAATCGTGGTATCATAGATTTTGTTGGCAGCAACCATTGATTGAGCACAGCTATTCTTTCTTCTGCATTATGATAAGTAAAACCTTGTCAAAAGCACGGAGAGATCATTCATGATAACACAGACATTGTTTTACCTAACTCAGCGGCAATTGGTATCACATGTGCTTTCTCAATTGGAATCCAAAGCCAAACCGATGTCCGGTTATCTTTTCGCCATTGTTCAAGTGACTCTACAAGTTAATCGTTCAATTACGAAAGATAATATCTCTTTAAAAGATGAACTACTTGAAAGACTTGCTTTGATTATTTTTATGTCATCTGGCCAATCCGATATTCGCACTCGTGCAGCATTGAATCGGTCGATTTCGTAAGGTAGAATACATGTTTGTGAAAATAATCGTCGAGATAAAGCATTCAACGATGGTCTGAGCGTAAAAAGGAACATTGGTAAATGAGTTGTACACAACATGAAAATTTCCTTTTGAATGAATTAGTCAATTCGCAAACCAATGATAATTCAGTTAACAGATGTCGCTTTCTCAGTCTGTCATGAGTGTTTTTCTGTCAAGAGAATTGATTGTAATACGATATATTTATTTTTGAAAATACTCTTCGAAATTTACTCATTTCATTTCTGAATCTATTAATAACTGATGAGATATTTGTTTATTCATTACTGTATTCCAGGGTAGATCAACTCACTCTTTGGTTAAGCATTGATAGTCGGTTCTTTTTTCTTTCTTTATTCTGGTTATTAATCAAACTTTGCCTACCGTTTCTTGAAAGTTCTACACTTTCAGATCTCATTGGTACGATGACGACTACACCTGCGTCAATTGGACCTCATAGTCGAAAGAAAGTTTCGTACTACTATGACTATGATGTAGGAAATTATTATTATGGGTGAATAGATTTCATTTGTCTAATTTCTTAATCTATATTTCCCATTGAATTAGACAAGGACATCCAATGAAACCACATCGTATACGTATGGCACATAATTTAATACTGAATTATGGTTTATATCGTAAAATGGAAGTTTATGTATGTGAAAAGGTGAAAATAAAACATTGATGGATGATGTTTTTGGGTTCTAGCGTCCGCACAAAGCCATCGCAGATGAAATGACTCGTTTTCATAGTGATGACTATGTAAAGTTTCTACAAAATGTCCGACCGGACAATATCACTGATTTCAACAGGCAAATGCAACGTTGTACGTTGAGGACATTCTATTTCAACAGGAAGTTGTTTCTGTTTTTATTTAGTCAACGTCGGCGAGGATTGTCCAGTATTCGAAGGTGTATATGACTTCTGTCAAATCTCAGCCGGTGGTTCGTTGGCTGGTGCCGTGAAACTTAATCGAAAGTTGACTGACATCGCAATTAACTGGGCGGGTGGTTTACATCATGCAAAGAAGTCTGAAGCATCGGGTTTCTGTTACATCAATGACATTGTTTTAGCGATACTTGAATTACTCAAGTAAATTTAACAAAAAGAAGTGAATAAATTCTATTTTTTGTGTCTTTTTAAAGATATCATCAACGAGTGCTTTATGTCGATATTGATGTTCACCATGGCGATGGTGTTGAAGAAGCATTCTACACAACAGATCGGGTAATGACAGTCTCGTTTCATAAATTTGGAGAGTATTTTCCGGGTACCGGCGATCTTCGGGTAAGTTTTTATTGGAATATGAAAGCTATAGAATATGATCGTTCGTTTAAGGATATCGGCGCTGGACGTGGTAAATATTATGCTGTCAATTTTCCACTACGTGATGGAATTGATGATGATACATATGAAACGATTTTCAAACCGGTTATACTAAAAGTCATGGAAACGTACCAGCCTAATGCCGTCGTTTTACAATGTGGTGCTGATTCATTAACAGGAGATCGGCTTGGTTGTTTTAATTTAACTCTGAAAGGTTAATTCTTGCTCTTTGATTGTCAGAAGGTTATATTGACAGATTGATTATGTAGGACATGGCAAATGTGTCGAGTTTATAAAAAGTTTTAATTTGCCTTTGTTATTACTTGGTGGTGGAGGTTATACAATTCGAAATGTCGCACGAGCATGGACAAATGAAACAGCAATCGTATTGAATCAAGAAATACCTAATGGTATTAATATTTCAGTTATTTTATAAATACCGTAATCTTTGCATTCCGTAGAATTACCTTACAATGATTATTTTGAATACTATGGACCAGATTTCAAATTAAACATAAGTCCATCCAATATGCCGAATCACAATAGTGCCGATTATTTAGAGAAAACCAAGTGAGGAAACTTCTGACATCATAAACTCTTATATGAAACCATTTATGTAGAATTAAACTTTTCGACAATCTTCGCATGTTACCACATGTACCTGGTGTTCAAATGCAATGTAAGACTAACACTGATAAGCCTTTCTCTATGCGATTGATGCTGTGTTTCAGCTGTACCTGATGATATTATGGATGTTGATCGCGTCGTCGATGAAGACAAAGACAGTGATCCTAACAAGGTAAAACAAAACGATATTAATGACTGTGGATTTATGTATTGATTGATTTAGCGTATATCCCAAGTACAAAGAGATCGTCGTGTCGCTGATGAACGTGAATTATCTGACTCCGAAGATGAAGAAGGTGACAAACGACGAAATCATTCAAACGCAAAACAAGTTGCATATAAGCGTAAAGCTAGTTCCGATTCAGCCAATGGTATTCGTTGCCTAATTTCCATCTGAATTCTCATTTTCCTTTCTTCACAGGTGCCATAGTTAATGGCAGTGGCGATACAACAACTGTTACAAAAGTGATCAAACGTAGTGAATCGACTAGTGTCAATCCGTCGAGTGATGATGGTAAATCATCGAATGCAAGAGTGACAGTTAAGAGTGAGATAAAGGAAGAAATGATTGAAACTACGACGACACATTCTGAACTGAATATCTCAACAGAAATGTCTTCGCCACCATCTGTAGATGAAACGAAAAACTCTGAGTAAAATCCAGTATTCATACAATGTATTACATAATTCAATTTATCTGTCTGTATTAGTAGTTTTCTCTCTTCTAATTTGTTGTTTAGTTGCCAAGAAACAAAAACAAAAATTAAGAAAAGTTTTTATTCTTATTCTCTACTTGTATGTTTGAATGTGTATAAAACTATTCTTTACAGTAGTTTCAAAAAGAAACGTTTCATTTTCTCTTTGCTTTTATTCTCGTTTATTCAAAACAAATTCTAAATAAATATCACCGATGTATGTACGTGCATTTGTTCATATAAGAGAACATCAGGGGTCAGATGAACTCTTTTGCAGAAAAGAGAATACGATGATGGTGTGTTCCTCTGCACATAGCGCTCTAAGCCGTTTCTTTCTTCTGTGAAATGCTTGCTTATTATTGGTCATGTCTAAAATGGATTCTGACTGGTTAAATGAAACATTTGTTTACTTGTTTCGTTGAGAACAACAGGGACAGAAAAAAAGCAGATATTAAAGAGATATTATGCCATCATCGAAACAGGCAGATTATGATGTGGAAAAGATTCTTTCGAAGAGAACGAATAACAAAGGACAAGTTTATTACTTAATCAAATGGAAAGGTATGAATCGACTTTTTCGTTCTCTAACGTGAAGACTGTTATCTTGTGTTTTATATTTCCAGGTTATTCATCGAAGGACAATACATGGGAACCAGAAACTAATGTTGATAATTGTCAGAATCTCATTCAAGAATTCGAATCTCGTCAAAGTGTGAGACCGACTCGTTCGACTTTGTCGTCAGCATCAACAAAAGCATGTCAAAAATATGATAATCACAGCAATAGCTCTTCAAAACGATCACTGAGTGTTGATGAAAATACCAGTGAGGATGAAGATGATAGTGATAAGAATTTCATCACCAAAGCAAGAATCCAATCACGAACATCAAACAAAAAGTTACGTAAATGTTCATCAAAAACAACCGACTCGGTTATATCAGTGTATAAAACTGACATTGATATTCTCGATATTTTCAAGCTGGATGAAATACTAGATGTGCGCCGAAATAGTAAAGATGATTCGATTGAATATGAGATTCTACTCAAGCAAAAAGATAAGAAATCAATGTGGGTTAATGTTGATCGATTGAAAGATGATTATTCACAAGAAATCATCGATTTTCTCCAAGACAAATTCGTTTAAGTCTGTCGAAATCATTCAATGGGCTTTAGTTTTTTTGTTTCACTATTGTATCGTACTTTCGATTGTCCATTAATTTCTCTTGTGTAATTCTCTAATCGATCGCAGGACACATTGTCTTGATTGTATTCCAATTCCGTTGTTGATTCGTAGGTTTGTTCATTTTTTTTTGTTGTTGTTGTTTAATTCGTACATACCGATAGAAATATAGAAGAATGTGAACCCACCCTTTACCGATACACTTTGTGCGTACGCGAAGGTTGTGAAGTGAGTAGAGAGGATATGATGGATCTATCTTCCTTTCTTATTTATGAAAAATATCGATCATCATTATCTTGTTTAACAGATAACAGAAAAATATGTAGAGAATTATCTGATCTCTCTATTGCTAGCTGTAATGTTTGTCACCGTAAGATGATTTTTGTTCTATTCCATCTCTTCTGTTGGATTGTTATTGTTGTGGTCATCTGAATTAAGGCAAACATAGATTAGAGTTAGTCTAATGAGTAGTGAACAATACCTTGATCGGCATGATCGCCGCGTCTGTGTCCACCGAATCGTGTGCCTCGTGTTTGCTGATGTGAACCTGAAAAATGAGCATTGTATCCATAAGGATCATCGTCATTATTTCCATTGCCATTTTCATTGCTCTCATCTTCTTCTTCTCCATAATCAATGTCTAAACACATCAATGAAGTGTCAAAATAAGTCGAAATATTAGTCTTTAAGTATTCACTCACCAGAACCAACTTCATCATCTTCGACCATATCTTCCAATGGATCAGGATGAAGTGCTTGACACTCGGCGATTGTTTGATAAGCTACTTTCAAATCTTCGGAGGTAGCCATGACAAATCGATAGTTAACCGTACGGATGCTATCGAATTCTACTGGAGATTCACTTCGGGCACTATCACCGTTTTCTTGAGGATTTTCTGTTTCTATTAGATGAGAAAAAGTATTTCTATTCTAAATCATAAACAGCAAACATACCATCATCATCGTCGTCGTCGTTTGATTTTTGAACAACAACAACTAAATGTTCTTCGGGATACTTCGGATCATGAGTGACAATACCATGCATAGTCAATGACGGATAATCAATCGCTATACCTTGTCGTTCCGAGTCATTTGATGCAGCCGTCCATACCAGTTGACTAAAACAACATTTATAGAGAATTTTTCAATAAAAAAAAGTAACCTATTCACCTTTCAGCAATGCACAGAACTCCTTGACCTAGATAATCATCTTCTAAATAAGCTTTCACCGATGGATATTGCTGACGGACGTATTCCGTTGGAACTGTAACAGTGTTTAACAGAGCAGGCATCTGAAAAAGAAAGCAAAAGATTCTATTTTCTTGCGAAATAAAAACAATAATATTAATACACAGCAAAATGAGAATGTACTACATTAAAAAAGGGGAAAACAAACAAAAAAAAATATTTATTCGAATTGAAATATTGTCATTCATTCGATGGACGGTCTTTATGTTTCATTCGCTATCTGACCGATACACGTTAGGTCGAGATCAAGTGGTGTGCATTTTTAATGATAACCATTGCTGGGTGATGTAGGTAAGGCTTTCATTTGTAATTGAGCCACTTGTTCACGGAGAAGGCCAATTTCTTTTTGGAGCTGAAACGAATGAAGATATTCTTTCTCAATGAAATTCGAAAGGCAAAAGTAACGAACGCGAGAGTTGATAAAGCCCATGTTCTCGATTTCTTTAGTTGATTCAGTTGCTTGAGTGAAGAATGCTCGGTTGGAATCGTTCTAAATAGAAATGTTTTTGAAAGTATGGTGAACCGTGGGAACGAAAATGTGCAGGTTTACTGTCGCTCTTTGTCGATCGAGATCGGATTTCAAGGATTGATTTTCTAATTGAAGAGCATCAATATGTTTCTTCATCAATGCAATTGTTTTTTCTAGTTGTAATGTTGATCGACCAGATTCTCCAATCTAGTACATACGAAAAAGAAATGATTTTGAAGATGAAAAATGAGATTCGAAGATGATTCACTCGTCGCATATTGCCACTCGATGTTGATCGAGGACTATCACCATTTCTTAAACTTTCATTCTCAGCTTTCAAAAATTGGTTGACCTTTTGCAATTCTTCATTACGTAATCGGGATCTAGAACAATATGCCATCAAACCAAGCAATGATCTTCAATGAAAAACGATTTACTTGTTCAATTCATCTTTCAATTGTTGATTGAATTTGATTAATTCTCGTTTGTGTGTATCCAAATCGGTGATTTGTTGTTGAAATGATTCGATTGTACGTCGTGTTCTTTCATCCTACAATATTTCAATATTGTGTAATTATGTTGTAAGAAAATTTCGTCATTGAATGTCTATGAATACTTACGCGAGTATCGTCGAGAGGTCGTTCAGCGGTTTTCGTTTTTCGAAGTTTGTCTTCGAGTAAACGAACTTGACGTCTTAATGATTCGATTGTTTCGTCTCCCTATTATGTACGAGTGAGATTTCTTTCTTTTGACGTCGAAATTTTTTACCTGGCCTTGCTGTTGTGGGCCAGTTAATCGGCGTTGAGCCGTATCCGATAATGTTGCATTTTGCTGTTGAAGTTTCGACACTTTCTTCTCATTTTGACCTTTGAAGTATCAAAAACTATGCATCAGTGTTCCTGACTTCAATCGGCAGTACCTAATCGTTCTCGAGCATCGTTTGCTTCGTCTAAATATTGCTGTGCTAAAGCCTTTTGTGTTTTCAGCTCTCGTTTCAAATTTTGTATTTGCCCTTCGTAGTCATCGATCCGTTCTTGTAATTGTCCAGTTTTGTTTGAGATGAGCGCTTGTACGGAAAGATTTTGTTTGTCTTCTTCGCTCATCGCTTTTAGATTTCCTTCGGCGATATTGACCATGTCGGCACGAATCTCTGCTAGAGCACGGACTAATTTTTGATTTTTTTCTTCTTCTATTGCTAATTTTTCACGCAGATTCGTTCCACTGCTTGTGGAGAGATTTCGCGAGCCTTTGGCTGGTGAAGATCTTTGTGCATTTTCGAGATCGAGCATTGATTGACCAATTCGATTGTGTTGATCTTGGATTTGTGAACGTTGACTTCCGATTTCTCGGTTTAATTCATTAACGATCTTTTCATAGCTTGTCTTCATACTGAAAATGAGAGCAGAATACAGTTTTTTTTTCACTCAAATCCAGATGTCAACATACTTTTCGCGATCATGTTTGAATTGCTCCATTTTTTGAGTCAAACGTCCTTTCCATGTTTCAGCTTCGCGACGCGCTTCACGTAGTTTTTCGTTCAGATGCGCAATAGTATTGTCTTGTACGGCAACATTTTCTTCAAGTTCACGTATACGTGCCAACTATATGAAACAAAGATGCGTTTATTGTACGGCACAGAACACCACTAACTCACCTCGACAGTTGAAGGTGGACCGTGGAATAATGCGGGATTACCACCTCGTTCGACAAAATCCTTGAAACGCATGAAATCTAAGTCGCGTTTGTTTTGTAACTGTTCATTTAACACTTGGATTTCTTCCTCATGTTGTTGGACTTGTTTATTCAAATCTTCACGAGCTTCTTTAAGCATTTCTTGATATTTACGAATACTATCCTCTTTTTGAATGATACGAGCCTATAAAAACAATCGAGAGTTTCTTGAGAACCAATGAGAATTAGTTTTGTTTACTTGAAGACTATCGATGGTTGATTGAGCAGCACGAACAGTTGATAAACGCGAATAATCGTCTGGTCGTGTCATCACATCCGAAATAAGTTTATCAGAGTCTAGAATTGTTGTTGTTGGTAAACGAAGACGAAGTTCGTGAATGACTTTGTCACGAGCCAATAACGCATTTTCCATTTCACGAACCTTATCGTTATGCTCAGTAGTTTTCTATACAAACAAGATTATATTACAATGATTGGAACATAAAAAACGCATGTGTTTCACCTTTTCTACAAGTTGATGTTGTATTTTCGCTTCCATTAACAAGTGAATATTATCTCGAATGATAGTCAATGCTTGTTCTAGTTGATGAGCAACAGGTAGTGATGGATCAGGATAATTACCAATTGCTTCTTCGAACTAAAATGATTTGAAACAGAGAAATGAAGAGAAAAATGATGCGACATACGCGTTTAGCAGCACTAGCAATATCATTTTGTTGTTTTTCGAGTTGATCGATTTTTCGTTCCATTTCTAATTCTCGATGTTCCCATATCAATTGTCGTTCTTCAATTTCCTATATAGAAACACGATTTAATCAATCCTAATTTGAAAAAGTCCAACATACTTTTTCAAATTTCACATTTTGTTCTTCCAGTTCAGTAACATTGATCTCTAATTGTTGAACCAATTTGTTCAAATGCAAATTCTATACACGAAATGCAAACTTTCTTTACACAAGATCCTCCTTGGCCACTTACGTCAGTCTCCAGACGTTTGTTCAATCGAATGTGTCTCAATTCATTCAATTTCACTTTTTCTAATTTCTGTTGCCATTCGATCATTTTCTGTACACGTGAATTGCTCTGTCCATCTTTTAATGTTGCGATCAATTCTTCTAATGATTTATGTTTAAAGTCATACGAAGCAATTTGCGTTTCCAAATCGAATTTCTGATCAGCTAATCTCTTCATATCTAAATCCAATTGTTTTTTACCATTACGCAAATCAATCATCGTCTTCGCATATGATTCTTGCACACGTAATGGAAGTGCACCTGCATATTTATGACGATAATCCTAAACGCAAGAGAAAACTGATGAGAAACGTGCGATGACAGAAACTTTACTTGTAAAGCAGTGCGTAGATATCGAATACGTTGAGTGTATTCTTGTCGGATGAAGAAGAGACTTTGCTCTTTTTCGTCTAACTTCTGTTCTGTTCGGAGAAGTAAAGCCCTTTGCTTGGCTAAGTCGTTGTCGGCTTGTAATTGTTTACGTTTAGCTGTTGCTTCGCTGATTTGTAACGCAAGAATGTGTCGATGAAGTTTACCTAAACGAACATTCTCTATGTAAATCGAATGTCAATGTTGAGAATTTGCTTTACCGATTTCAGTTTTATCGTCCGACTTCGATTGTAGATCAAGTAGTTGAAGACGTAAAGATTGAAATTCTTTTTCATCTAGCACTTTGATATCGTTGATAGCTCCGATTTGATACGTGGCAACTTCAGCGATTTCACGTAAACGACCGATTTCTTGTTTCGATTGGATTTCTATACTTTCCAATTCGGATATTCGACTGAAAATCAAACAAAGATCAATAGAAATCAATTTTGAATAGGAAATATACCGTTTGTCTGCATCTGATACAGTTCGCGGAACGCTATGAGCCAGATCTTCGCGTAATTCCCGTTCAGTTCGTTGCATTTCGAGATTCATTCGAGTCAATTCACTAAACTTCTTCTCCAGTTCAAGATTTCGATCTTCCATTTGTCGAAGTGTCACACGTTGTTGGTCATACAGTTTTTGTGCATATTCTGCTCGTTGTCGTTCATTCAGTTCTTTCATTTCGAGTACAGTTATCTTTCGCGAGAGACTTCCCGGACTATCATCGAGTAATCCACCAGTACTCGTTCGGCCTGTTGTTGTGGCGTAGCCTGCGAGAACAAAGATTGAATGAAAGCTTGAGACGAAAAGTCAGCACTTACCAGCACTAATCAAACCCTGATTCTTCAGATTTTCCATAGTTTCTTCCAATAGATGCATTTTTTCTTTATCGATTTGTAACTGTCTTCGGAGAAACTCCAGTTCGTCCGTCATGCGTCGATTTTCTTCCTAAAACAAAGTCCAATGGAGAAATATGCTGAACATTGCCTTTACCGATATGACGGATGTTTGTTCTGTTTGTTGGACATAAACGTGTTGTTGTTCCAATAAATCTCGATATTTTTCTACGACATCTTCGTATTTTCTATTCAGTTTATCCAATTCACTTTGATGCACACTTTCTTCCACTTGTTTCTGTAAATGCTTGATACGATACGCAGCTGTATCTTTGAAGCGTTGTAAATAACTCAAGCGCGTCTGAACTGCCGCCTCCATATCAACAACTTCTGTACGTAATTTCGTGTTATCCTAAGCGAAATGAGTGTTTCAGATGATGTTAACAGTGAGAAAGCGCGTACTTTTCGTAGATGAGATTCAATATCTTGGTAGGAGAGGATTTTTCTGGCTAAAGTTTTTTCATTCACACGTAAAACGGTGATTTTTCTAGTGATTTCAGCAATGCGACGACGAACTTCGGCATCATCTTGCTCTAATGTATTGAGAAGACGCTAGAAACAAACAAACGTTTCGAGGCATGAGTTTGTCAATGGTCTTACATCGAATTCTTGAAGTTTAACAAGATTTTTCTCGATTTCAGTTTGTAAATCTCGTTTGGCTTCATTCGTTTGTTCACGTTCCGATCTCCACTGCTGCTGTTTCTCATGGAAATCTTTATAAAGTAAACCTGTTTGATGCTTAATCACATTCAATTTTCGTCGATATTTATCCAGTCCTTCTTCTAATTGTTTATTCATTTCACGTTGTGCAGTAACTTCCTATTTTACGAATCAAAATTCAGTCAATATAACGTGTCTTCAAGACTCGAATACTTACAGCTAGAGCATCAACGAGATATTCGTTCAAAGATGAGATAATATCGCGACTTGAAGGTGATAAACCATCAGGTAGCTTCAATGATTGAAATGCCAATGGGACAGCACCGGCTTCTTCGAATAATTGTAAATCACGTTGAAGTTTTTCATTCTAGCAAAAGAAAACGGATTCGATTAAGGTTCGAGTAACGTTTTAGACAGACTCGTTCAGTCGCCAGTTTTAGATTCACATCTGACTTCGTTTTTTCATGACGAGCATTGTATAGTTCATCACGTAATTCTGCAATTCGACCGAGTAATTTATCGTTTTCGCTCTTAGGAACAACTGCATTGTCATATCGGCCAGCGAGCGATTGACTTTCCAGAACTTGAAGCATTTTTTCCAATGCTGGACACTGTATAACGTATGTCGATGATGGGTCACCCGACGATGATTTCTGAAAACGTTTTTGTTTCAACTGTTGATCGATTTCTTTCAATCCTTGTTCGAGACCATGAATTTCCGTAATTAAAGCACGGTTTTCATTCGTTTTTTCAATAAGTTCTCGTCGAAGTTGATCGATGTTGTTATCGAAGGCTTTAATCTGCTGATCGTAATCATTTCGTGCAATACGAATAGCATCATCTGCACTCGGACCTGTTGGCCGAGTAATCCCGCTATCGTCGATCCATACAGAATCACCCGCTAAACCCATGTCCGCTGCTCGTATACCAGCTTGACGAGCTAATTGACGACAGTTTTGTTTTAATTTCAATCGTTCTTCTTCCAAACGTTCAATCTATGAAAAAAAAAGTATTACGATTGGATCAAAACTATCTTTCTAGTATTGCTTACTTCTTTTTGTAAAACTTGTACAACAGCTTGATTTGCTTCTGTACGTGTCATTCTTGCTGATTTCAATTGTTCTACAGACATTGGTGTTCTTGGATCCATACCCAACTTCGCTCGTAGTTCTTCATTTTCATCTGTCACTTCATTAACAGTCAATTCATTTCGTGATGCGAATTGGGCTAGATCTTCCAATTGTCGATCTTTTAATTTATTTTGTTCTTTCAAGTGCCGAATCTCTTGTACAGCATCTCGTAATTCGTAATTTTTATCCAAAAATCCTTGTAGTTGTTTATCAAGTTCATGTAGTCGAACATCGCGTTCGCTCAATTCTTTTTCATATTCATTTAATTGTTTTCGCAAACGATTGATTTCGTACGTATTCGAACGATTGGCGGTAGACGTTGGATCGACCGGTGCTTTGATGAGAAAAGAAAACGAATCATTCTTTGATTGACGTATAGATGGTGTATATTTACTTGTATAGTCAGTTCGCATTCGATCGAGTGCATCAGTTTGTTTGATTAAATCACTTGTTGCTTCTTCGACTTTTTTCTTCAACAACAAGATTTGTTGATCCTTTTCTGCTAATGCCTGAAATGATGGGATTGTGAAGGAGGGAGTGAATGAAAGAATTGGTTTTACTTTGTTTAATGTAGCGATATCGGTTTTTTGACCATCTAACTGATGCATTTGTAATTGATCATGTAAATCGATGATTTTTCGTTTGAGATCGTCTATTTCGTCGTCTTTTGCTCTGAAAACATCCTAGGAAACCAAAAGACACTTAGTCACACATTAGATACAACGAAAATACATACTTTCCATTGTTTAACTCTGTCTTCGACAAGTCGCATGATAGCATCATCACCTTCCGAAGAATTCAAAGGCATTTGATCTTTCATCAAATTCAAATTATTCCTCATTTCAAGATTTTCTTGATCTTTTTCATTGAGAAGTCCCTACAAACACAATCGTCTCATCAAAATCATCGCATCATTTTCCTCATACATACCTTCACTTTGGAAAGTTCATTGGATAATTCATTGATATGATATGTCGCATCTGCAAGTTCACGTTGTAAGGCAGCGGTTTTGGCTTGTAGTTTTTGTTGATTATCGAACAATTGCTAAAACAATCTCATAACGAACAGCATATTTTTCAAGTTTCATTTACATTGTTTTCATCTAACACATTGTTAAGTTCTTTTTCCATCGCACGCACGCGTGATGTACGTTCTCCATCATCCTCCCTGATTCGATTTGTATCACGTAATTCCGATATTCGTTTGCTTAAATCTTCTGATAGTTTTTTCAATGCATCTTTCTAGAAAAGGAAAATATTTGCCAATATTCGACCGGAGTTGTGCTGGTTTTGACAGACCTCGTTTTGTAATTCTCGAACTTTAGCTTCACATTTCTTCAACTCATCTCGCACCTGCCCGGCTTCACCTAATTCATTTTCATACGATACGCGATAATTTTCTTTTTCTGCTTGGAGACGAGCGATTTCATTGGTTAGATAAGAATTCGTCTAAAAAGTTCACATTCTTTGATTTAATCATTGAATCAAATGATAATTTACATCTTTTGCATTGGTAAACGTTGTTTTCTTCAATGTTTCATCTAAACAATGATAGAAAAGTTGGATATCAATGAAGAAAATCAGAAAAGCTTACTCTCTTCTGCCACAGTGACCAATTTTCCCCAATACTCCTCCTTCAGTGCTCGAAAAAACTAAACAAAATCCGAAATCCTCTTCTCTTCTCTTTCCAAAGAGATTTGTTACTTTTGTAAATTGTTGGCCCAGTTGCAATGCATGTCGTAAGTCCTTTTCGCTTTCAATTTCACTTAAATCCAACTAGAACAAACTCTAATCTTCAAAAGTTTCACACTTTCACACATAATTCCTACGTTCATAAAGTTAACTCCAAGATCGTCGTTTCGCTCTTCATCCGCAAGATTTTCAACGTCGATATCACTTGGTTGGACGCTTAACAATTTTCGCCAATTTGAAGACGGTGGAGCCATACTACAATCTACAATGGGAAAAGGGAGAAATTAATTTAATTTTGTTCTAAATTTAACAATGTAGATTTCATGTTCAACACGAGAAAAGGACTATCAGTAACAAATTTTTGTTTCCATTCTTTGAATATATACAAAAAGTTATATTTGGCAAATAAGCGACGATTTTCGAGTAGTTCAGAAAGTTTTTCGAATAAAATTCCTAATTTTTCCATGGTTTTCAAGTCGAATGTTGGTGTCAATGGAAGGTGAATATTGCCGGAAGTTATCGACAAGCCAACGCTGTCATTACACTGTTGAGTTAACTGATAAAATAACTGAAACCATGTATCATTGCTTAGTTGTTTTAAAAATGGACGGAGAGATTTCGAATCAGTACAAAGTAACAGAAGAAGATCGATTGTATCAAAAATTACTGAAAGAAAGCAGAAATAGAAGAAACGATTGGAATATTCTTTGAAGACATACGTCTTTTGTGATGTGATGGAGGTTTCAACCATCGATACAAAGCAATTATTCCACGATTTGTGACGAAAAGATCTATGAATGCTTTCGAGTTGAGATCCAATCGAAGTTGATTGTAACATGCAATGAGATCGATGATTTTATTACAAGTTAAGAGAACTATCAAACATGCATAGAGGCGAATCAATGGTTCGTTGTCATCGAAAAGATGCGGACGTTCCTATAACACAAAAAATGAATGATGTTGAAGAAGTTCTCGTACTGATTTACCTGATTTTTTTCACATTTTAGAATTTGTTCACACAATCGTCGATAAGAACATGAATGAAGATGTCGTGTTTGTCCACCTGTCGTTGGACATTCAATTGTAATCAATGAATAATAAACCAACTTCAAATATGAAAGTATTAGATTCGAATGGTTCTTATTCAAACAGAAATTTGATTGATCAGCGAGAATAGTTAATAATTTCGAATATCGTTCTAAGCTATCCGATGGAATTGACGAGGACATCGGCCATTCAGATAGCGAAGTTTGAGATATATCGGATAACCAATTGAATAGAAAGATTAACGAATCTGTTGATGCAATTGTTGGTGTTTTGTCTACTGGACAGCAATGAAGGAAATTTTCTACGAATGAAAATGACTTACGAGTCGGTGAGTGTTCGACGGATTGATCTGGGATAGAGAGAGATTTTGTACATTCGTCATTTGGAGTAGATAGAGGCTTTTTGTGTGATTCGATCGCTTTTTCTAGTTCTTTGATCTTTTGCTCAGCAATCTGATTGAGTCGTAATAAATTTTCCGCCCGTTTTTCGGCTTGTTTACTTTTTTCAACTAATTTTTCGTTTGTTTCACGTAAATCATTCAAATTTCGTTTTAATTCGCCATTTTGTTCGCGTAAGACTTGTAGATTTTCATTGGTGCGTTTCAAATCTTTGGTAGCAACATTCAATTTCTCCTTATAACTATTCACTTCGGTATCGAATTTCTCTTTATGAGCCTGCCACCCATGTTCGATTGTTTCACGCATTCGTTGTTCCCACTGATCCAATAAATCCGATTTTTTCTTCAAACGTTCGTTTTCTTCCGATAGCTTTTGCCGAATCGATTGTAATTCACCGAAAACAGCTTGGACATTCGCTGGAGAGTAACGTATCGACGCTAAAGTTGTATCAATATCCGCATCGGCATGATCCGCTGACGAACTATTGAGTGTTTTAATCTCATCATCGGATGATTGTTCATCACCGGAGTGTAACGATGAAAGAACAGTTTGATTTAAATCAACGTAATTCATATTCTTAGTTGATTCTGATGCAGAGAGATTGATGAAGAATTCTTGTGTCGATATGGTAACGACATGGATTCGATTTCGTGAAATATGTATGGTCGATGAGAAATCCAATCATACCGAAGAGACAAATCTTTCTTTTTATTGTAATGAGACTTTTTGGAATGTGTAAAAGAATATTTTCCACAAATGAAGAATTTTTTTCATAATGATTTGGCAAGTCCATATTCTATTGGGTAAAATATGGACAATGATAGTTGTTTATTTATGACTTTTTTCTCTATTGTAATTACGCTTTATTTTCCGCGATTGAAAATCGAAAAAACAAATTTTTACATTTTGTTCTTCCTTTGATAAGAGATTTCCGCGTAAAAATGCATTTTCTGACCAAAGATATTCATTGGCAGGCAATATTTCATCATTTGAAGTTCGTGACTGTCATTAATCAGAAAGGTCGATCTTGTCCTTTACTCTTCTGTCCTCGTTTTGCTTATTAAATAGTAATCATTTTCTCTATACGATAATTGAAATTGTATTTCTTTTACCACTCATTATTTCTTCGTTGGTTTCAGATACTGATTAGAGAGTGTCAGCACGATCCATATCTTAGCAACACTTTTTCCTTTATCTTTTGTGTATACCCATTGTTATCGAGTTTGATGCATACAATTCCACCATGCGATTGAAGCCTAAGAATGACAAACAATGCTTCGTGTCAGATAAACTGAAAAAGAAGGATGAAAAATCGAATTCCAGCAAAGACTAAAGTATAATGACGTTAATCTACATCGCCAAATTCGTTTCCAATGTTCTGGCTATATTCATCTATTTTCTCTACACCAATTCTCATTACACATCTTTGTTATCATCGAATATGTCAGGTATCTTGGATGCTTTGACTTTCATTACCAGAGTTCTTCCTCCGACAAACTGTAATTATACAACTGTGAAAATTTCATACGTATAAAGTCAGTATTAGCAATGGTCACGAAATGATTAATACTGCTCTTTATGTGTATATGTATTATCCGGGATATATTGGTACGTTTTTGGAATTAACCGGTGCTGCACTTCTTCACGATCATTGTTGGATTTTATCATGTTTTCTCTCGTTACCATATTTACTTGTTGTACTTAAACGAGTTCATCAAGACGAAAAGCATTAATTGAAAAATTTGGACCCACGTACAAAGAATATATGAAACGAGCAGGAATATTTTTACCGAAATTTCGTTAGACGGTGGTTTAGTGAACAAGGAATTCGATATTCTCAGATACATTTTTTGATTGAACGAAAATCATCACTCAAGTTCAGATGAATCTCATTTGTATATTTCTATTCTAGATAGAAATCATTTTAATGTTTGAATTTACACTTAAATTTTTGAGTGGTGATAGTCGCAAGTATGAAGTTGATGAATCGGTATGACCTTCTCTTCGTACATTGACTCCTGAATATTCACATCTGATTTCTTCTATAGACAACTGTTCGTCAATTTAAAGAACGTTTACGTGAAGAATTGAATATTCCAATTGAACGGCAACGTTTGATTTTCCAAGGAAAAGTTTTACAAGATGATACGAAATTAATCGACAGCAGTAAGATTGACGTTGGTAAATGTTGTTGTTCTAATTGAAGTTTTCATTAGATATCCAAGATAAAACAATTCATTTCGTTGAGCGTGCTGAACCAATTCCACCACCTGCACCGCATAACACTACCGGTGCAGCTTTAAGTGGCACAGGTATAGGTACGAACGATGGCGGACTAAATCAAGCAATGATGGATGAAGTTAATGAAACAACGAGTATCTTTATAAATGCTTTTCCTGGTGTTGCGAATTTACAACCGAATGACCTTCAAGTTTGTTGAATATTTTATAGTTTGAAGGTTTCATATAATTAAACACGCTCTCTGTTTCATGTAGAATTTGGTTCAAAATCTACTCAATGATTTGGGTGATGTTGGTCGACAAGCTCAAGTGAACACCACAATGGCTGTAAGTGATTATCATTGACATTTTGTCAGACTATTTCTCTCTTCATTAGTCGGATGGTCATGGTGTCGATATTAACATTGATTTTGGCAATGTAAATCAAGTTTTAGAGCAACAAGAAATTAACGAACGCTTTCGGTCTATTGGCCGTATGTTAACACGACTGAAACTTCGTATTGATCGTATTGAAGTGAGATTATTCAAATTGAAATAATTACAGTTCTGTAATATGCATATGTTTGTAGCAAATTGTGCAGTCAAATTTTCAACTGTCACCTACTCCACCACCATCAGCTTCAGAAAGAACAGCAAGCCCACCACAACCAGTCCCAACACAAACGGAGCCGACTGTTGTGCCACGTCCACCGCCACAGCAACCAGCAGCAGCAGCAGCAGCATCACCATCTGCGACAGCACCGTCGACCACATTTCTCGGCATGGAAGATATCACATCAACTGAAATGGATGCCGAATCGCAAGGTTCAATACATGCAAATGAAACACTTCGTACACCGTCAAGCACAACCAGCGCTATGTCTGCAAATAGTGCTGCAACACCAACAAGAACCACAAATAATAATCAAACACCAACGCCTCCGTATGTTTATTCGAACATTTTATTCGATTCCAAATGCCAAATGTTAATTTTAGACGAACAGCTCGGGATTTAGCTGAATTGATGAACACAATCGATATGGAACACCAACGATTACAAAGCTTTCATCAAGTTTATATACGTACCATAACACAAAGCGACGCATTTGTAAGTAATCTCAGCGAATTTAGTAATTTAATTCACAATTATGTTTTTTGTCAAGGAACAAGAGTTAGCTGGTCGTCAACGATTCTATTCATTGTATAATGAAGCAACACATTTAATTGCACATATATATCACAATATAACTGATTTCACTCTTGATTTGAATGATCCATTAGAAACACGAGTCTTACATTTGGGAGAATTACCAATTTCACAAGCAGGTCTTGCTTCGATTACACAAAATGCCGCAGTTGGAGTAGCATCCGGCCAAGACGGAGCACCAAGAATTCTTCCACGTGCTTCACGTTCGATTGGACGACAAGTAAATATTTAAATCTCTTTCAGTAACATAAATCAATGATCATGATATACTTTATAGCCAACAGCGGTAGCGGCAGCTCGTATTATGGGACCTATACAGATCACAACTGGTGCAAATCCGACAATGATGTCTGGAGAAGTCCGAATGCCATTTCAAAATCCGATGGTTCAAATACCTCGCATGGTCAGTTCAACAATTATATTACTTATTTCGCACTATTCTCTATTTAGGTACTCAATACTGCTACACGACCAAGCATGCCTTTCCGTCCTCCGGCACCAGTTCCAGGTAATTATGGTAATATGCAACCATCGATGCGTTTCAATCTTGGTACTCTACCGTACACATTTATGCAAATGGGGCCCGATGGAATTACTCTCAATCAAGTATCAGCATCCGTCGTCGCTGATGTACAAACTGGTAGTTCGCCTTCATCGCAGCCATCGGCAGTAAATACTGCATCGAATCAATCAATACCAAGTAAAGGATCTTGTCCAGAATTTTCATTTGTTAAAATTGTGAATTGTCATTGGTTTTCTCTAGTCAATCTCCCTTCAGGTTCTACACACGTGATTTCAAGTCCTATTCATATCAACGGTGGCCAATTAGACAATAATCTTGCTGCTGAAATAGCTCAACGTGTTTCAAATAGTGTTCAACGTTTGTATTCACTTTCATTCTAACTATAAGTATCATCACATCTTTGATTTTTTAGAACATTTTGCACAGATAGCCAATCAGCAAACACCAGGCGGTGCAAATAATAGTACTCAACCATTGAATAACAATAATCAAAATATAGCGAATTCTCTACTGCGTTCCGCATTCGCTCTTCAACCCGATTCAGCTTCGTCAATTCGTGATCGTAACGAGACGACCCGATCGCGTTCTGCTGACTCACGGCCACCCAATACCAATACAAATATTTCAACGCAATCAAATATTGAAGATGACGACAATGAATGGATAGATCTCCCATCAATGGAACTTCCTATACCAACTCCACCACTTCCCCCTTCACAAATGCCAGCAATCCCTCGTCTTCGAGGACCTGCTATCATACGTAAATTATTACAAAACTTATTATATAGATCCTTCACTCTGACTTTATTGTAGAATCAATCGACCGAAGTTTACCATGTGCATCACCATACTTCACTCAAACGTTACGTCCACCGTTTGACAATCCGAATAATGCCACTAATCTAACACCGAACGAAGTGGCTGCATTGAATAATACACCCAATCGTGCTGTTATATTTGCTACGACACCACAGCGTAATCGTGGTCGTCATCGTCACCCAGCTGGACCATGGGCACAACAGAATCAACAGCAACAACAAATGCAAAACTTCATGTTATCTTCACCCGGCGCTCCTACAGGTAGCACGATGTTTACACCTAACGGTCATGCTTACAATATGACAGCACATTCGTTCGAAATTCCAATGGTTATATCGACTTCAACAACCGTCGACACATCTCAATTACCCTCATCGACAACAGCATCGTCAACTGACGCCGCTCAACAACGACAACAACAACCTTCGGCGACGAATGACGGAGAACAAGTTCAAATAGTAATTCTTTTCTAAATGTTCTCAGTTTGTTTTGTTATACCATTTTCATTGAACTCATTTAGAATGCTATTTTAAGTCAAGTTCTCTCACAAATTCTACCTGGTGTTTTACGAAGTGGTAATGGACGCGTTCGATGTATGTATACCATTTTTTAGTAAAATAGATTTCAAAATCGAATCGACTTCCATTTAGTAAACATTGGTCAAAACAACGCTGGCCATTCGAATATTCAAGCACCACAGCCGACACCAACACAATCCAGTGGGACAAATCAAGCACAACACGCAACAGCACCGCCTGCTGTCAACAATATTCCGGGCGTTGTTGCTGGTGGTTTAGATTTCTCGAACTTTGCTCGATCGATTAACAGTATGGTTCAAGGCATCACGGGTCGACTCATACCTGGAGCAACATTGATAAATGCGACTCCATCAACCACTGCTTCAACATCACCATCTACAACTGCTACATCTAATACAAGTTCTTCAACACAGAATAGTAATACATCAACCGGAGCCAACAGTAATGAAAATGACAATGTTACTGAACAAATGTTAGGAGGTAAATTGCTGCTCATTCAAAGAATGATATCTCATTATAAACCCTGTAGAATTATTACGTTTACTGGGCGGTGGTATGGATAATCCTGAATTAGAAAATCTGACTATTGGATCCTTTATGCGACGTTTCGGTGAAGACGTCGACGTTCGCTCAACCGATGGTACACAGAACTTCAGTTCTAAAAATTCTTGCTAAATAATCATTTGTTTTCTTTTCAGGTACGAATATTATCAGTGAATTATTTTCAGCAATGACAACACGTATGCGGTTTACCGATGTTTGGAGTGTTGTTTTGGGCAATCCAGTTGGAGCACGTATAAATGAAGCACGTCAATCAGCAACAGAATATTTACGGTAAATTGATCATAGAATTTCCTGATTGATTCGGTCTATGTTCTTATTTTTAAATAGAAATGTCGTTCTCCAAGGAAGACCCATTACAGAAGATACACTGGAAGAGTTAACAAATAAACTTTACGAATCACTTTTGCAAGAAGCTTCAATAAATTTCGTAAGTGACCGCAATGATTGAATGTTCTAATTAATTATTATCTCTATACTAGAATGAGCTTCGAGTGAAACCAAATGTAAACATCGCAAATGTTATGAAACGTTTCTTTCATCACCACGTCCGTAAACTATTGAATATTTTATTTAATGATCGTATGTGTTCATGTTCGATATGTACATCGATGTTTGATTTCCATTTTCTTTAGCCGATACTATTTGGTTCGAACATTTTCGACATCGATTAACCATAATGCGTAACGAATATCTGGCATTATCATCACATTGTCTCGAAGGCGGAGAGACAGCTGCAATAGATTTTATTTTAAGTCGACACGTAATTAGATTCCTATGAAGATGTCCTTCGTCATAACTTTGAATATTTCTTTCATTTAGCGTGCTGTCTTTCGTTCAACAAATCCAATGATCGTAGGATGGTCAGAAACCTACCTTCAAACATCTCTAACAACCGCTTTCGGTGAAATTCGTACATCGCCGCCTGATGTGCAACAATATTTAGTCGAGCCAACACCAACAGTTGAACGTCACGTGCCTCCTGCGACTGCTACTCCTCCATCATCAACATTAATGAGTAGTATAGTAAATAGAACTGATCAAGAACGTCGAGCAGTAGCGGGAGCGACTACAACACCATCGACATCAACTAGACAAAGTGCAACATCAAATGCATCTTGGCGAGAAAACTTACCAGAGGTTTGTGAAATGAGACGTGATGCATAGAAAGAAGATTTTTATGACTTGACATTTATAGGATTGGATTCCAATTGTTATCCGAGATGTAAACAGTCAACAGAATGCGCCAGCTCAAACTCCATTTAGCGATGCTTATAAAGAAGGTATGCCAGCTAAACGACGTCGTGTTCATATGCGTGAAGACTTGACATCATCAAATCTCTTACAAACATTGGTTTTACGTGCTTCATCAGTTAATTCATCGTCGAATCAGATATCAAATGCGACGACATCTACGCCTGAAAGTGTTCTCACGGGTGAAGCTGCATCACCAGCACTTGTCAGTACATTCGAACAAGAACTCAAACGTTTACTAGAACAACGTCTAAGACAAGATCGAGACTATCCCGAAGTGCAAAATCGTATGCCGAATACCAAACGTTATTTAGATGGTGATAAATAACATCAAAATTATCTTCTTTCTATTTATCCGTGTACAGAATTCTTATAACCAAGAGATATATTCACAAGCTGAACATTCGCTCTCTATAAATATTTATACATATTCTCGTTCTTTTCAACAGAAAAAAAAGAAACTGAGTTTTTTTTTTCGTTTTCTTTCATATTATGGACGATTCGATGATAATATAAGTCTGGTGGGTTGTATGGCAAAGATTTATGTATTTATATTCATCAATACGGTTTGTTTAGTTTCAATACTGAGCAATCGCTATCGTACCTTTTCGTTTTCATATTTTTCCTTGTTCTTCATTTTTTGATTCAACAAAAAAAACACTGCGAATAGAATGTGTGAGACATGTAGTAAACACGCGTGCATGACAATAAACCAAGTGCTTGAAATTTTAGATTGAAACATATCGTCGACTTGTTCTAGATCAGGAAAATGTTGAAATCATTACAAGATTCGTATGAACTACTCCGCGACCAAGTATGGTTCTTTCGATTCTTCGTTATCATGGGCGTAGTCTGTGTGTACCGAATATTATTACACTTTGTTTTACGTTCCAATCATTGTCCGAATCCATTCTGTTCGAAATGCCTTGGAGCAGGGTCAGTTCGTGGTCGTGCAATCAATCGAATTAAACAAGATTACAATGATGAAGATAATCGTTTCGGCTCGATTATTCATAATAACCTAGCGCAACATGATCGTTTATGCAGTAAAAACGATGAAAAACCAACGGTGTATTTTCATCGTGGTTTGAGTAGTACGATAGTTGATATCGCCGATCAGAAGATTTTAGTTGAACATTATCAAGAACTTCGGCAGGAAATTGTCAAGTATTTTCAAGAAAATGAAACTGTCTCTTGGACACATCTTCATCTGTATGAAAACGGCAAAGAAAACTCGATAAATTGCAAAAAATTTCCCAAATTATTCGAAATTCTGCAATCATTACCCAACGCTATTTGTGTCAACAGCACCAATTGTCTTTTCGGAAATTGTTTTCTCACATTTTCCTCGTCCGAACAAATCGAAGAAGCGTCCAAAGGCTTAACCAATTGTTCAATTCGCATGCACTTCGGCCTTTTATGTGACGAACAATCACCCGCATACGTTCTTCTCAACAAACGAAAACGTTTAACAATTCAGAATCAACAATCAACTACATATAACCACGCTGTCGAACATTCCATCAAAAATCCCCAGGAAGGCAAACAAGTATTCGTAACAATTGACTTCTGGCATCCAGATTTAGCCAATGATATGCGTCAACAATTAGCATCTATTTTTAATACTGATTTAGCATAAAACAACGTCTCATTGTTGCTGTTTTTTATTCTGAATTTTTTCTAATCCTCAAAAATTAGTCTGATAGATCTATGTAGCCCTCGTTTCTTTTTGTTAACGAAATAAATAATATATTAGGAAAGGAACGCCTTCTTCACGATGAGTGAAACCCATATTGACCTTCGCTTTTCTTTCTAGTCGAATGCTTGATTTGAGTTTAACGAATGTTGATTCTTGGTAATATTTATACGCATCGAATCTCAAATTATTAAAAGTCTCTCGTTTCTGTTTAGCTTTTGAAATTATCATATGTGCTTTCTTAATTATTGGTTTGATAGTAGTATTGATGTTTTGTTACAAGTATAACATTCGATTTTATTCTATGAAAAACTGTAAAAAAAAGTGTGTTTAGTGTGCCGTCAAAGAAGTCCAACGATGAAAAACATGAAAAGATTGATTTTTTACCAATCACGGCTAATGAAACATTGTTAGTACAAAGTACATTGATGGCGTATTATGAACAACAACGAAATGAATTGATAGAGCGACAGAAGTGAGTGATTGTTTAAGATATAAATGTGAAAGTCTCATTCGATTCATGTTAATCGCTTAGAGTGATTAAAGATCAATCTATTATGGATATTACCAATATGAAAATAAATGATTCATGTTATTCATCGATACCTTCACCATCTGACACTCCTCATTCAGTTTATGAATGCAGCGGTTTTGCTTCTGTGAGTCACATATTCAGATTCTCAAATTCGAACAGTAGATTTGTCTAGATGGATAACCTCGAAGTACCAAATCCGCTATTTTCAACTGACATGTCCAATGATCTTGAACGGCAATCAACAGCATCATTCGTAACAGCTAAATAGACTCTTCTTTTTACAATGTACTCTATGATTGTTACCTATTTGTCTTCATGTTCTTGTCCAAGTCAGATATTGCTATTGTCACGATAGTTTTGATGAACTTTTTTTTTATAACTGACACCATCGAGAAATATAGGATAAACGATAATGGAAGGCAGCAATTTCAGGAAAGCGCATCATATCAATCTACCGTCTTTGTTATTGAAAATGAATTAATAGCTAAATAAAACATGGAAATTCGACTATTTATCTCTTGACAAAGAGAGGAGACAATTTGTAACGAGATTGTGAATTGTCATGAGATGTCGTTGAACCTAAAAGTCAGAGAAAGAATAGCGTCATCTATCTATGCTTTTCACGATGTTCGTCTTTGTTCGACGTACGAATTGAATTCAACCGTTCAATAACGTATACATTCGTTCTTTCTTTAAAGTTCGTTCTTGTTGCATTGTCAAGTATTGAAAAATGGAGAAAGCGATTCGAAATATTCTCGATCAAGCTCAAAATAATAATATTCGTCATGGCGAACATATCAAAGCACTTGCTGATCTTTACGTCAAGGTTTGTTCTCTCTGAAAAGATGTTCATTTTCTTCTGTTTTTGTTCAGTGTGATCAACAAGCATTCCATGATGATTTCCTCCGTTGTATTGCTTCAACGATCATTGCTCCATCGAATTCAACATTTGTTGCGCATGCTCTGCAATTTATTTCTTCATTTCTTACTATTGAGATCGGCTCATTGACAAATAACAATGATGATTCACAACATAACGATAGTATTCAGGGTGATCTGTTTCATCCAATTTTACCGCGTGTGATTCAATTCTTCGATGAAGTAATTTGAAATCTTTGACATTCGCTGAGTGACTTATTTTTCTCGTTTAGCATAAAAATCATCCGAGTGACTATGTTCGTGCAAACATATGTGTTCTCATAGGTCAAACCTTGGAGAAAATGGCTGAAAACGCTGAATTGGATGGTGATCTCTTTGAATTACTAGTAAACATTTGTCTCGATCGAATGAATGATAGAAGTTACCAAGTTCGGGCTCAGGCAGCCAAAGCAAGTGGTCGATTACAGAACACAAAAGATCCCGACGATTTGATTACCAAACGTAAATTTTCTTTTCTTCTCGAAAAAAAAATGATCATTTGTACATCTCATAGGTCTTATTTGGTTAATGGATCATGATTCCCATCCACTTGTTCGAAAAGAATCGCTTCGCTCCATCGCTATAACCCGTTCGAACCTGCCTCATTTCTTACGACGTTTAACGGACACCAATGCAACAGTTCGTCTGTGCGCGTACAATGTCTTCGCCCAAAAAGTTCAAACATTGAAAGTATTACCAACAAAAGAACGATGTAATATTGTGCGAATGGGTATGGAGGATCCCGAGGAGCCAGTAGTTCGCGCATTTGTTGAATGCGTTGTGCACACATGGATTGATAAGTTACCGGTTCCACCTGGAGCTGATTTAACACAACATCCGGATGCTCATAAAACGATCACTGGCTTTTTGAAAATGATCGACGTAATGAATATCGGTGAACAGACTGGACGAATATTAAAGATGCTATTTGATGATAATTTAACTAAACATTACGATCATTTCAAAGACACATTTATTAGCGAGAAGAAATTGATCGAAGTCGAACAACTTGATTGCGAATCGGCTTTCTTCTGGCAACATCTAGTGGAATATCTGAGTCGAAGTGATGAACATAGTGAAAAGTTGGAAGCTATTCTACCCGAACTTGTTGATCTTGTCGATGTCATTTACGAGTAAGTCATCTTTTTCAATAAGTCCGCATTTCGTTCGTGTTCTGTTTAGATTGATTGGTTCATATCATGACGATTCCTCCAGTGATTCGGTTTCTGCAGAAATCAATTTTGTTGTTGATTGTGTTTTACATGTCATGATTCATTGTAAATTCGATGATCTCGCTGGAAGATATCGTGTTGAAACACTATGTCGGGACATGTTCTTTATGGAAGAAATTCATCCGACAACGTATAAAATGGTGATGAATATTATGAAAAAGATCGAGCCGAAATTCGAACATCGACAAAGAAAAACGATCGAGATGTTAGCTGATTTAGAAAAACGAGAAAATCGATGCACGGAACATATTCTAGCTGATCGAAAGAGTGAACATGAGGTAAAACATTTTGACCGTCTCTTTCGTTTGTTTTCTGTATCTGTCTATGTGCTTAATAGATCATTACTTTACGTGAACGTCAATCGGCTCTTCAAGATTCTTTGCATCGTATTCGTGATCACGAGATCGCATCGCAGAATGTCGATGAACGCGTTCGACTTGAGAAAGATCTAAACGAAGTTAAAGATCGTCTTTCACGTTATGATCAAACAATTATTTCAACACAATCACATATGAGCGGAATTACATCTGCTGGTGATCGTTCAATCGTAAGAATTACTCCTTTCGATAAACCCTCAATCAATCTTTATCGGTTTTCTCTAGGCTGACCATCGAAATTTCATGCTTGTTAAACGTCTGACTATTCTCTGTGAATTACTGTCAACGACTATGCCGAATAAAATTCTACCACCGTCATTTGTCACTTACGCACGAGATTTAGTAAGAAATTGATTCGAGTTTTGATATTGAATTAGTTCTTCATTTAGGGTGTATCAAGTCTGATGTCACTTGATATTCCTGTTCGTCGGCATGCCGTACGTGTACTGGGATTGCTTGCTGTGTATGATAAACAACTAATGATGGAGAATCTTGAATTGATCAATAAGGTAAAATACGAAATTTCAAAGGAATTCTGTATTGAAAAGTTTTGATTTAACTAGGTTATTGAAAATGATGCATCGGTCGTTGTTATTGAAGGTTTGAACGCCTTGGGTGATATGTTCATTCGTCATAATGCATTGAGTATGATGAAGAATTTGAATAATACTCGGCCAGTGATTCAAGCAATCGAACAAGGATTTCATCTTGTTGCCCAAATGGTTGATAGTCGAGTGAGTTGAGTAATTGAATATCAAGAAGAAAGCATAAGAAATTTACTTATAGATTTTGAATGTTCGGTTGACAGCACTGACAAATATGATAAAATTGTTCTTTGTCGGACAGATCAATAGTGGAGAAGCATTCGCGAAGTTGATCGTTGCTTGGTACGATCAATCAACAGATGTTCGTGTTGGAGGGCTTCTCACCACATTTTTTCCAACTTACGCTGATAAATTCTGGTAATGTTCTTCGACATTCCTGAATTCACATGAAATTCTTGTTGATTTAGGCAAACGGATAAGTATTTGTTCAACGCTTTACAACCATCGATTGACGGTCTCTTAAATAATGACCTAACGAAACAAGAGCCAACATTCGTTGCTGATGCAATTAAACTTTTCCTTCAATTACATCAGATACGCGAACGAGCTGTTCTGAATCACTTGATGCACGACAAACCAGCATCGGACAATGACGCACCAAATGTTGATTTAAACGATCCAAACACAACCGATTTGGACGTGACAATCCATGCTCATTTAAATTCGTCAATCGTGTCTGTGAACAAACAAGCATTAGATAAAGAAATTGTCGAAAAACAGAAACATGAAGTAATGGATTGGATTGGATAGCAGAGAACATTTTAGTCACTTATATATGATTATTTTGTTTTCGTTAAGGCGCGATTGAAATATCATTTCTATGTCGCACGAACCATTCTTACTCAATTGAAATCATCAACAAATGATGATCTGATTCGTTCATTGACAACAACATTGAATTTAATTGATATTACTACAGATGACTGGACAATTATCAAAAATTTACGACATAAATCGAAGAAAGTTAACAAAGTATACTTAATTTCCAAATTCAATTTTCTAGAATAATCCTGTTTTCATGTAGTATTTAACCATGAGCAAACGAAAGTCCAATCTGAAGTTATTTATCAAAAAACTATCCAGTCGCATCGAATTATTACGTGGATTCGATGATGGTAACGACACAACGCTGAATGAATCAACGCTTGTACGTTTTCACGTTCATAATGTATTGGAAGTTCGTGTATCAATTGTTCGATTTTAGACGGATTCGTCTCAATTGAATGCTACGGTCATGAGTGCAGTACCTGCGCATATTGTGAACGCCAATGCAGTCACACCTGGCTCACCAATGATGGACACAGCTTTTCGTGGCCTTGGAAAGAAAAGTAAGTGTCATCGGCATCTTTCGATTAGTTATTCATTTCGTTGATTTCAGAACGTGTCGCCAAAGATTCGCTTCTATCACAAAATTCAACTACTTCATCGATCATGCCACCACCGGCACCTCCTCGTAGTCCTCCATTACCATTATCAGCATCAAACGCTCGTCACGACAAAAAGACAACAAAACTTCCAATCACTCCAGTCCGACAACCAAGCGGCGAACACGATTCATCGTCGTGTTCATCACTATCGTCGTCATCAGAGGATGAAAATCACACATCAGATATTGAAAATGAAAATCCTTTACCGCCAGTCGCTTCCTCAGTTAATAAACGTGCACGTGCCGATGCGACATCAACCGAATCACTGAGTCCACCGCGTGAAAGCAACGCTAATTCATCTCGTATGATACTTCGTTCCAGTGCACGACGACAGCAGGAACCAACTAAGCAAAATCCCGTCTCGACACCTTCTCTACGTCAACAACGTAAACATCGTCGCATAGATCTTGATATTACACCTTTAAATACTAATAACAATCGAAAAAAACTACCGCCTACGCAATCATCAACACCTCATATTAGTAAATAACCTCTTATGTGTATGTGTACATATTCATATAGTTATGTGTGCGTGTGAGTTAATGTCTTGTGAAATATCTTCAATAGATATATATTTTCTATGTTATATGTGTATAATAGCAGCTTGAATAAAATTCCATTTTTTCGAAAATTGCTATAACAAAAGCCATCTGAACGCTGAGAGCGAAGAAGAGCTGTTGGAGAGGGAGCCTGGGCTACAGAAGAATATAGTGGAGACGGGATTATATTAAGAGGAGGAGTCGGTGGGAGATTGAGTGTTTGAATCAGTGCAGAAGGTTTTGTGAAGATACAATTCCGGACTTCGTGGACTCCAAAAAGGACTTAAAGGAATTCCAAGATGACTCCAACAAGCCTGGAGTCTGCTGTTTCCCCCTTGGAGCAAATGCTGTCGGATCTTGTGAGATACTGGCGATATCCAACGCATTCTTGCGGTGGTCATCGGTTGAAAATATGACATTATCTCGCATCGGGTCGAAACACCTAGGACGTGATTAAACCATCTATAGAATAATAAGGATTAACTAATCATAATATAATTTATACTTCACTTTTATTTAAATAACACAAAAAGATCTTAAAAATGATCTTGACAAGAGCATTGTCCATTTGTGTGAAAATGATGAATACAATTACTATCACGAACAATGATTTGACATTTTCGAATTTTTGCTATTAATTTTGTTGCGTTATCTAAGTTTAAAACAAATATGAATGATTCCAAATGATATAAAATCATCAATTACTTACGACAATCACCACAAACTCGAAGATTTTCAGTGATTTGAATGAGTGCGGGATTTGTTCGAGCAACAAAATTCAACGCAATAGCTAATTTTTCACTATGACCACATAAAACTGATTCAACAGTTTCATCTTCACGTAATGAACGAGTTATCCAAGTTGCATCATATTCATGTCCATAAGCAATTAATTCAGAGGAGATTTTATTAAGTTCTTCATAAATTTCTTTTGATCGAGGATGGGATCGATCATGAGCTTTGAATTCCTTGAAAAAAGAGAGAAAATTTCTTTTTATTTTTCATAAAGAAAATAATTTACCACAATTTCTCCATTTACTTCAGTCCATGATAATCCTGGTTTAAGTTCGTTACCAAAGTTCTTTCTTCGATTTGATCGAATCTCTTCTGCTCGGTTTGAATCACCCAATGAGTTATATATATTACCAAGAAGAATAGAACCAGATATCATTCTGTCCTTTTCATTAGGAAATAAAACCTTCATCTTTTCATAGATTTTTTCGGATAAAACAGAATTGCGATGATTACGTACGCCAGATAATATTGTCACTAGAATTAATATCAGAATTCATAAATAAACGAGATTCTTTGTATTAATAATCTATTTACTGTACATAAACACAGAAGGAAGATTGGTTTTTTCATATTCATCAATTAACTTTTGTGCTTCATCAAATAGAAAAAGACGACTTAAACAATCAACCTAAATAAGACGAAATATTTTCTATTCAATAAAGAAAAAAAAACATTCTTTAGAAAAACAAACCATTGTTGTAATAATTCTTTCTGTTTTGTTTGGAATTTGATTAAAGATCTGATAAGCTTGATGAACAAGACCCGAATGAGAACATGCATTTAATACACAAATATATGAAATTTCACTATGTAAATGATTTGGTATTCTTTCATATAGTCTAACTGCTTCTAAACCCATAAAATTAAGTCCGTATGCATTAACTTCAAATAAATAGAAATGATAAACAATAGAAATCGAAGAATCGATTTACTCATTGTATTATAACTTATGATATCAGGATTTTTGATTGATTCGAATATGTGTTGCGCATTTTTAACTGAACCAGCTTTTCCCTAAAAGAAAGATAAACAAATTGTTTCCAAAAAGAAAAGATTAGTTAAATCCTTACCCACATATCAATCAATGAAGTATTTATTTGTATATTATTAAAGCAATGTGAAGGAATTTGATCAACCAATTGTTGACATATTGATAAAATTCCAATTTGTGAACAAGCATTAATAAGTAAAAGAAATTTAATTTCATCAAGTTTAATCTTTTCATTTTTCATTTGTTGAAAAAGTTGTAAAGATCTTAATGGTTGATCATTGTTGTTATATCCTTTCATCATTGTACCATAAATTATTGTATCTTTACTCTTGTTTAACTGAAAAAGTCTTTCAGCATCTTTAACTTCACCAAAATTCATTAACATATTTATTGCTGAAGTTAATAGAATAACATTATTAGTTAAATCTTTATTCAATATTTGATTCAAAAGTTTGTTTCCAATTATCTTGGCACGTTCATTGGCAAGTTGAGTACATGCATTAAATATTACAGTTAATGTAAAATCATCAGGTTTAATTGTCATTTTATCATATAGATCAAGTACATTCTCTGATTTATTATGTGCAATTAAACCTGAAAAATAAACTGATATTGAAAACAAAATTTATGAAAGATATTCACCTTTGAAAAGAACTGTATAAAGATAATTTGATTTTTTATCAATTCTAGAACATATATTCAATGCTTGATCAATATCAGCACGTTGTACTACAATGAAGAAAATAAATTGAAAAATCGTTTTCATCTTGTTTTTGAGTAAGTTTTTTAAACTCATATTGAACGAACTTACTATAAAACTGAAGAAGCGATGTTTGAACAAAAGGATTATTCAATAATTCTTTTGTAAGATTTTTTTCAATAGTTTTAACATGTTGATCATCATTTAATTTAATACATGCTTTTAATGTCATATCGATACTGAAATGATTGCAGCTTTTACAATTTTCAGCATATAACTTTAGAACTTTTTCATATTGTTTCGAATCAATCAATTGTTTCATTGCTAAACCTAATTTCATCGATGATGATGATGATGAAGAGAATCGGTTTATATGTCGGCATATGAGCAATAGATGTTGAATAGTGGAAAACATGTTTGAAATAATCTAAAGAAAAATATTATTAAATATTGAATTTGTTATTTGGATAAGGATTGCTCATGCGAAATACAATTGAATATTAGTGCAAAATAATTAAAACCATCACATCTGATTATTCGAAAGAGTGATCCGTTGCCTGGTGAAAAAGAGTAGTGCAGCGAATAGGGTTACCAGCTGCTTAAACTTAAAAAGAGGTGCGCGTGGGGTACGACTCAGTTCTAAATGAGGTACTTTCATGGGGTACGCGATTCAATTTCTTTCAAACAGATGGTGGAGTCTTGAAGTCAATTTTGCGGAATATTTTCGAGAAGGAAAAAGTGTTTTCTATTGCTTCTTTTGGTTTAGTTCGGTCAATTAAGCACAGAATAAACAAATAAGGTCGAGATAAGCTACATTGACATCCTACATTCATTCACAAGTGTATGAAACTTCTCCTTGCCGTACTAAACCAATCAGATTGTAGTCCACATTTAACTTATATCATGGTCAAAATCGCTGGGTGGTGCTAAAAATGTTTTCCACCCAGACGGTCTGGGTGAAGTAAGATCTAATAATTTTTCGCTTGGGTAGCCATGTAGCATGGTTCAGGACCACCGTAAATTTACTCTCGTGATATTTTGAGGTATCTGCGATTATTGAATGAGCAAAAAATTTACAAGTACCTAGGTTACTATGCTAAAAATGCCTGAAAAACGGTACTTTTTTTACCACGTCACAATGGCTTATTATAATAGTAAAAATGTGCAAAGTTGTTTTACATTACAGTTTACGATTGTTTCTCATGATATTACTCAAAATCTGTATTGTATATGCCAAGATATAGAAATATCCGCGCACCGAATTTTGCTTAAAAATAGACTCGCACTCCAAGCTATGTCGAAGTTCGCGAAAAGTGTTTTAGCGTGATTTTCCTCCGTCACACATTCATCTTGACTGTCTTCGTTCAGAAAAATAGTAGCTTTCATGAATACAACTTAACTCCTCTGTTCTACTGTGATTAATCTAATGTCCCTTGGAAGGGACATCGCGGCTTTTAAGGGTTAAGATCATAAACGATAGTTAAAAGGATGGATCAAAATAAACTATAACCATTGTTTTAAATTATATTCCTTGTGGAATTAAAACCAGCTTGTTTCTACTCAACCTCAAATGTGGTTCTTTCAGAAAAAAATCACCCCTTCCTTGAATAAATATTGCCTGAAGACTAACGACAAGAAAATGCTGGAAAGAATAACAACCAAGTTCGTCAATGGCTTCTTACCTGCTTCGCTTGTTTCGAGCATCTTAAAGAGATTTTTGTGTTGATGTTTTTTCTTCCTTGCTTTTTTTACTCTGAAATATTTCTCTCAAGATTCAAACAATAATATAAACATTTTTCGTCTCCGCAAAAAATTCAAGAAGAGAACGACGTCATTCGCTGCCTATATAAAAAAAGAAGCGAATTTCTTCATTTTCACAACAAAACAAAATACTGTGAATTTCAGTTTATTCAACAGAATGGACGCACAAAAATCAAAATCAAGTTCCACGACAAGGAAACATGGTAATCAACCGCGACAACGCATGGTTCAAAACTACCTCTTAGTTTGGGTGGATGCCAACATCGATGAAAAGAACCAAGACTGTCAGAATACTGTGACGCACTTACGAAGTGTTGTCAATGATGTCAATATATACACTCAACCAGATGCTTGCCTTCAATTCCTCAACAGCATCGGTGACGAAAAGGCTTTCGTCATCACATCGGGATCCTTAGGTCAACACTTGGTTTCCGAGATTCACGGCATTCCACAAGTGAATGCCATCTACATCTTCTGTGGCGACAAATCCAGAAATGAAACCTGGGCAAAGAACTGGTCAAAAGTCAAAGGTGTTTACACAAACATCAAAGAAATCTGTGAAGCGGTGACCACGGGTGTTAAACAACATAATCAAGACTCTATCGCCATGAGTTTTGTCACCGTAAGAGGTGAGGGTTCCAATGCAAATCTCAATCAGCTGGAGCCCAGTTTTATGTACACGCAAATATTCAAGAAGATTCTCCTCGAAATGGAGCACGACAAGCAAGCAATCAAAGACCTGGCCAATTACTGCCGTCGGCGTTTTCAAGGCAACTTCGCAGAGCAAAGTGTTATCGATGAGTTTGAACGTAACTATTGTCCCGACAAGGCCATTTGGTGGTATACACGCGAGTGTTTTACCTACAAAATGCTCAATCAAGCACTTCGCACTTTGGATGGCGAAGTCATTATTAACATGGGGTTTTTCCTCCATGATTTACACAAACAAATAGAACAGCTACACAAAGAACAGGTCATTAATTACAGAGGAAAACCTTTCGTAGTCTACCGTGGACAAGGACTATCCAAGACAGATTTTGATCAGTTATCCAAAACTGTAGGTGGTCTTTTATCTTTTAACAACTTCTTATCCACCAGTATCAAACAAGAGAAATCTCTTGAGTTCACCTACAGCGCTCTTGGTGATCCCGACAAGGTGGGTGTTCTATTCGTGATCACCATCGATCCAAATATTGGTACTACTCCATTCGCATCGATTGGGGATTTTAGCCACTTCAAAGACGAAGCAGAGATCCTGTTTTCCATGCACAGCGTGTTTCGAGTCGGTACTATTCGACAAATGGGTGACAAGAATAAACTTTACCATGAGGTACAACTTCAGTTGACTGCTGATGACGATCCAGAATTACGTGTGTTAACGGACCGTATTGAAAGTGAAGTTCAAGGTAGTACAGGATGGAAACGTTTGGGTAAATTATTGCTTAAACTCGGGCAGTTGGATAAAGCCGAAGAGCTGTACACTGTGTTATTGGAACAAACATCTGATAACAATGACAGAGCACACTATTATCATTGCCTTGGCTACTTAAAAGATGGTCAAGGTGATTATAAAATGGCTATAGAATACTATGAAAAAGCACTTGAAATCGACAAAAAAGCTCTTCCTTCGAATCACCCTGATTTGGCTCAATCGTACAACAACATCGGTGCGGTGTACTACAACATGGCAGAGTATTCGAAAGCACTTTCATTCTATGAAAAAGCACTTGGAATTAGAGAAAAAACTCTTCCTTCGAATCACCCTGATTTGGCTACTTCGTACAACTGCATCGGTACGGTGTACACGAACATGGGAGAGTATTCGAAAGCACTTTCATTCTATGAAAAAGCACTTGGAATTAGAGAAAAAACTCTTCCTTCGAATCACCCTTCGTTGGCTACTTCGTACAACAACATCGGTTTGGTGTACATGAACATGGGAGAGTATTCGAAAGCACTTTCATTCTATGAAAAAGCGCTTGAAATTAGAGAAAAAACTCTTCCTTCGAATCACCCTAATTTGGCTACTTCGTACAACAACATCGGTTCGGTGTATTACAACATGGGAGAGTATTCGAAAGCACTTACCTATTTCGAACGCGCTCTGGACATTCGTCAACGTGCATTACCGGCGAATCACCCTGATTTAGCTACTTCGTACAGCTGGATCGGTTTGGTGTACTACAACACTAAGGACTATTCGAAAGCACTTACTTATTACGAACGCGCTCTGGACATTTGGCAACGTGCATTACCGGCGAATCACCCTCATATAAAGTCTGTAAAAGAAAGTATCGAAAATTGTAAAAGAGCAATGAAGAAATAAAAGATTACTGTACCTTTTTTGTTTGAAATAAAAAGTAATGATTAACCCGCGCGCGCGCGTACAGAGTAGAACTCTGTATAGAGATAGTAATGATGAAACATCGCGGGGACACACCCATCCAAGAAAGGCAATACACATACATACGGACATATGTATGTGTATCGAAGGCCTTCACGGACACAATCATGTTTGACATATTACTCGGTATCAAAAGTGAGGACATACGTGTAATTTGACAGGATTGCTTGTTTGCGTTGTTGAACGAGGCCTCGATTGCTGTTGATACGAATGAACGTGAAGAAAATCGATGTATATTTATATGGATGACTATCCATTGTCTAGAATAGACTGAACACGAACAGGATAGATAGATACAAGAGAGAGAACGTCAGTCCATGTTTTCATTCGTTCTTTCTGCCCGTTGAATGAAAGTGACCGAAGAGAGAAAATGAACGTCGAATCGAGAAAGGACGGATAAAGAAAGATATTAGTCATTGTTCTCTTGTCTGAAAGAACTGTTATATAATGACGTCACTACATATACATATCTGCTTTCGTTCTGATCATACATATATATGACGTCATGAGACCTGTCCGAATTCCGTGAATTACTAACTCATGAGGAATTCATGAATCCTACTTCATATAACAAATATATGTAATAACAGCAAACACATAGCATTATCATCCCAAAGAATCCAAGGAAGTCAAGAAATCCATGGGACCCAAGGAACTCAAGGAATTAAAGAAGCTCAAGGAATCCATGGAACTCAAGGAATCCAAAGAATCTAAGGAGCTCAAGGAATCCATGGAACTCAAGGAATCCATGGAACTCAAGGAATCCATAGAACTCAAGGAATCTATGGAACTCAAGGAACCCAAGGAATCCATGGAACTCAAGGAATCTATGGAACTCAAGGAGCTCAAGGAATCCATGGAACTCAAGGAATCCAAAGAATCTAAGGAGCTCAAGGAATCCAAAGAATCTAAGGAGCTCAAGGAATCCATGGAACTCAAGGAATCCATGGGATGGGTGAATGCGAAAGAACGACAAGTGTTTGAAAAATTAGAACGAAGGTGATCGTCTGCGGGAATTTTTGCCTATAAACAGCTCAAAGAATTCAAATGAGCAAATGAATGCTGCAGATTCAGCCGGGGAAGTAGGTATCACGAGCCTGTGAGAAAAAAACTCGTACGTTTTGCACGAAGCTTGTGCAAGATGACTGTGAGTCACGATATTTTTTCCAATATCACACGTCTACGGATAAACTGTTTGTGCTCGTCCACTCTTAATCGTTGTGATACAAAGAACAAATCGCGTGTCCTATGAATCGAATAATTAGAATGCCGTCCTAAAATGCTACTAGAGACGTCGCACTTTAATATGGTGATAAGCATGTAAACGATAGTCATGTCCTGCGAGGCATTGATCATTTTGAGCTATCGACATGGTTCAGTTGGCTTTCGAGCAGCAAACAGTTTCGCCATGCTCATAGTTTCATCCTGATCCCACACCCTCAACCACCCTCACCCTCACCCACACCCTTGAGTTCCATGGATTCTTTGGGTTCCTTGAGTTCTTTAGATTTGTTAAATGGCTTGATTGCTTTTCAGAGTAAGGTTGCTAGAGATTCTATGAATAAAGGTTATTGTAGGAGAAAAACAGGATTCATGAATTCCTCATGAGTTAGTAATTCACGGAATTCGGACACTGCTGGACGTCATACAATCATTCGTTCATCCATGAGATCAGATGTTATCACATGATGTCATCTGTTTTATCCATGATATATGTGTCATGTTCTTTTTTCCTTTAAATCGTATTCTCTCGAGGGTGTGGGTGAGGGTGTGGGTGGGTGGGTGTCTGGGTGTGGGTGATTGGAATCGATGATCGGCGGATCTGTTCCCTTAGTGGAGGAATTTATTCCCTCTACTGAAAGGAGGGTAGTGCGTCGAGCTGATATCACCGAAAAAACGAGTTGATGTTCGTTCGTCCGTTCATTTTTCTTCCAATATTACCTAATACTAGCTCATACTACTAAGGGTTGACCGAAGGGTAATCGAGGTCGAGGATCACGTATCCGAGGTTAGTGTTGCTTAATTAATTATTAATTTTTCATTAAGTAGCCACGACTTAATAACATCGATTGTCAGAGTAGATCGAAGAGTTTCTGACGTCGGAAAATTCAAATTTGAGGGTGAATTTCGTTTTATGCACTGAGCCTGGGCTCGTTCCTTCCTCTTTATAAAGGAGATATTGGTCTTTAGCTGTTCTGAAATCTTTTGTAGAAGATCGTGAGCTGAACGCTATTCATGAACGTCAGGCGCCCAGGTCGAACAATCCCATACTCGGATCCCATCGGATCCTATGTCGGATCTCGTCGGATCCGAAACATAGATTTCCTGGATTTTCTAAGGGTCATCATAGAACATAGCTAAAAAGATCGCTCATAAAATTTGCAATAACCGACGAGTAGCTGCCTAATTCGACTTATAATATAAGTGGCCTATTCTTAGCACACTACAATCCCTATATACGTAGGAATAGAAATAGATTTAGTTTCACTTATACCTATACACACCCTCACACCCTGCATATTTCGCGTTGTTTTGCCGTGATTTTTGATTGAATGAATAAATGTCAAGTACGATGTCACTTTAAACAATCTCTTACTATTACATTGTTCATAGTGTATTAGCTTTATGCTAAGTGTGCATAAGAATGCAACTGTCTCATATTTGAGTATACACATGTATACTAATATGCATCTTATATATATATATATCGTGTCTAAGTTATACATTTGTTGAATGTTACAGTAGGGTATTATGATTCATTTCAGTGCTCATGTGCTATTTCGCGTGACCTTTTCATAATTTATTCAAAAATAAATTCACAGCATGAAACTTTTACATTAGGCCGCCTTTCTGTCATATAATATGCATGTGATACTTGTTCGAAAACTAGCGCCATCTCTTTATACATTCTTCATGGAGAAGGTTCAATGCATATCAGTGTAATGGCGATTATGTGAATGTAGCGCAAATTGAATGTATCTTATCTCGACCAAAACGCGTTTCCCCTATTTTTCGTTGGGTGAGTGGCAATGACTTGTCGAATAACGTTAACTATTTGCTAAAAATATTTCTCACATTTTTATTTGCCTATTCAAGCAAAAAAATTCAATTAATTTCTCAAACATTCAGTAAGGGGAGAAAGAAAGAAACCTGTTGTTATCAGTAAGAAAATATCAAATCTTTGTTTTTTCTTTCTTTATATTTACATTAATATTCTGTTGATAGATGATAGCTTTTTCTTCAATCTTGAATATCCTTTCAAAATTGTCATCATTGTTTTGATAGAAGTCGTTTTGTTCTGCAATTCAGATATTCATGGAAAATTAATATATTGAAAACAAACAACCGAAGATGGTTCATTTTTCTCAATCACTCTTACCCGATGCTCCTCTAGCAACATCATTACCAACAACGTTTACTTTTCATCAAAATAATCAACATGATGAACATTCGGTTTTACAACAACAGCAGATGCTTGCAGCACCATCTCAGCCTCCATTGAATTCGAATCAACATCAACGATCATCTTCAAACGATGATGGAAGCTCGAGCCAACCAACACATAGCAATGATTATGAAACTCGTTTAAGGTAAATACACCGCATGATCATACTTTATACCTTCATTTTCTTGCAGATGTCCAAATTGTGAAACATGGGTGGTCAATCTAAGCGATCATTTACGTAAAACTCATCGTATTGCTTCGCCAGTTGATCGTAAACCATTGTTACGTATGGCACGCCTTGAAAAGCGTCGAATGACTGAATCTGCAAATCATTCTTCGTCTTCAACAACAACTACGACTATTTTGAAAGCACAACAATCGACATTAGTAGTGAACGGATTACCAACGTCTCACACAAACGCAAATGAAATTGAAAACTTACTTTTTAAACATGAACACGACCAGAATACTTTAGCAAATCATCAATTTTCTGTAACTATACCAGAAAACATCTTACTAAATCAACAATTAACCAATTCGATTGCACATTACACATCATCGATAAAGCGACAGCGAGATTCAGACGATCATCTAGAGCACACAACAAATGAACCGTTATCCATAAACAAAAAGTCTCGTGTGGGGTTACTTGATGGAAATAAATTGGCAAATTCAACCCCATCGAACAAACCTAGTAAGAAGAATCGAAATAAACAACAACAACAACAACAGTCGCAATCGCAGATTCTCCAACAATCGCAAACGATTATCAAAACAGCAGCATCCGGGATATTTCCCCAACAGCCACAACAATTGCAGCATACTGTTACTTTACAAAGTCTAGAAGATAATTCTGATGATGTAAGTGAATATCGTCAATTATATTTTGTTTTATAAACGATTTTTTTTCGCTAGCTTTCAAAAGTCTTACAAATGATGGGCAATGAAATGAATTTTCTTAATCAACATTTACAAACAACATCTATTTTATTACAGAAGCAACTCGACTTAGCACGTGATAGTTTACATGCGTGTTCCGTTCAATTTGCTCGTATGTATCTCTTTGAGAAAAGAAATGATCGAAAATCTTCTCCAACATTTAGATTTAAAGAGAATGATTCAACCACAAATATGATTCGCAGAGAGAAAACAATACAAACTAACTACTGATTGAATATGTATTCTATTTTGTTTACGCTATGGAAAAGAAAAATATCTACGTTCCTTACCTGTTCACTCGTTTAGTTTTTGTCTTACATATACGTACATACAAGCCTGTAACTGTAGATAGACAAAAGATTATACAAAACTAAAAAACACATTCAAAGATTTGTTTTCTTTCTCCCTTTTTCCGTTTGGTTTTCTTTCTCCTTTCTCGGTTCAACTTTTGTTTGCTTCTTGGTTTTTTTTTCGATTGACATACGACGATCGGCGCGTCTTTGTTTTTTCTTCTTTTCCCACTCAGTTCTCTTTATGTTTCGGTTTCTTTTTTCGTTTAACTGTATGTATTATAGCCGTTGTTTTCTTTTCATTTTGATATATATATATACATATACGTCTAAACATGAATAAATTTTGTTTAGTTATGAATGGATTCGTATTGGAATGTCTAGATTAGGTTTTATTATTGAGTATGAATTTTATTGAAAGAAAAGAACATCTACATATGTTCAGAAAAACTAGTGCATAAGTGTTCAATTTCAATTTGTTTTAAGTTGCTTTCGGCTCTGCTGTTTGTACCTCTTCATACTTCCTTTTAACATAACGAAACAGGACGAATGTACCGAGAATAGCAAATAGAATGGCAACTAATTCAATGATTAGTTTCGATACTTCTTCCGCAAGAGCATATGTGTCTGTAGTTTTATCTGATGTCGATGATCGAGAGAGATCATCCGATGTGTCGCCAAGAGAAACACTTGGTGTAGCATCTATCCTACGTTGAGGTGCTGTGTTAATGATACGGATGATACCGAAAACAAGTGTTAATACAAACACGCATATGAGAACGATACCCGAAACCAACATGATTGTGGTATTGTCAAACCTAAATTAGAAAGTATTTGATGAAACAGTGAAAGAATGTGGTGGTTTCAGCGGTAAAATATACCATGTTGCATATGTAGCTAAGGCGATTGAAATGAGAATGAGACCACCAAGGACGATCATGGTAATGGCATAGGGATTTGTTGGACGCCGAATTGTTTCGACGATTCCGTGTATGATGTAACGGAAAAGGATAGTCGATAGGAGAAATCCATAGAAAACAGTTAATAAAATTCGCACACCGCGAATCTGCTGCTTTTTCGTGATCGCCATCGTTGTATTATGCAAAAGCGAATGATTGTTCGAGCGTATGCGTAATTTATCTACAAAAAGTGCTTGAATTATAATAGAGAATAGTCAAGTCAACATATACAGAACTCTCTCGTTCTCTTATTTCGTTTTTTTTTCTCTTCTCTATATACATACACACACATAGTCATTTTGATTACTCATATGCACTGCCTGTCAAGTACATACTAAAAAGGACGAAAAATTCTTTTTTTTGATCACCTTTACCTTCATATCAGATTTCTTTCTCTTTTTTCTCTAACATTTCATGTACAATAACCATATCGTTCTATGTATTATGATTAAAGTCCATAACCAATTATTTTTCGTTATTATCGAAGGAAAGGATCGAAATGTGAATTTCTATTTTCTTCACCGCTTGCAACAATCATCAAATAGTTTCAAGAAGGAGAGCTACTTTCTTTTCTCTTTCTTCTTCTTTACGATAAGTGCAAATCTAACATCAAATTGATGAATAACACACGAAATAAAAATGCCAAAGAACAAGATTGACGGTGCAAAGAAATAATCGACAATAAATTTTCCTCAAAACTAGATTGCGTTGTGTAATTTCGAAGTTATGGAGCGCCATCTTTGTTGATCTACCTGCGAAGTACTATTGAATCATCGAATAGAAGAAAGCAAATACAAATATTCGTTTCGTTTCGTTTCGAATTACGATTTTGTGAAAAAAACGTTTACATAGTAATGAATACTAACACACTGCACGCCGAAACTTTGCAAGAACAGAGAGTAGTCAAAACCAAAAAAGTCATGTTTATTTGTAGATTTTGTTCTTGATTGATTTGACTATGTTAAAACAGCCGATAAAAATAGAATCAAATTTAATAATTCGTAATGCTGTTGAAACAGATTGTGATGACATTATGAGATTGATAAATGTAGTCTGAATATCGTTCTTTTTCGAGGAATTTTATATGAATTGTCTGTTTAGGAGTTGGCAGTGTTTGAAAAAGCACCAGACCAAGTTCGAATCAATAGTCAAAGTAAAGTATTCATGAAAATGCCACATATCATATTTTTATCCCTTGTCTCAATTAGCATTGAAACAGGACGGTTTTGGTGAACATCCTCTGTATACTTGTTTAGTTGCGGAAGGTACGGAAAATTTATACGATGAATTAAATCAAACAGTCACTTTCCTTTTGAGATACGTCCTCTTCACCGGCTCGAGTTGTAGCGATTGCTTTGATGTTCAATGTTTATTCCACATGGGAGGGTAAATGTTTACATCTCGAAGATCTCTATGTTCAGGTTGATTATCGTAAAAGAGGAATAGGGAAAGCACTATTTGCGGCAACATATCAAGTAGATGCTCCTACTTTACTATCGATAACCATTGATGACTGTTGTTTTGTAGATCGCTGTTGAAACGAATTGTGCCCGTCTGAATTTTAGTGTACTCGATTGGAATTCGAATGCATTAGATTTCTATAAATCGTTTGGTGCCGTTGATATTACTGAAAAAGAAGGGTGGCATAGTGTTCGAGTGACACGGAAAAATATGGAGTTACAATTAGAAAAATGGAAAAAGTAATTAGCTACTACGAGAATTTTTTATTTGAAATGATAAAAGAAAAAAAACAATAAATTTTAAGTAGCCGAGTTTTATTAGAGAAACGAGGCATCGGACGTCGTTTTCTTTTGATAAAATTGTGCCGGAGGTATAGATCGAAAAAAACCTTGAGCTGTTTTACAACGTAACGGTGGTGGTAATCGTTGAGTATCACATACACGTAAATCATTGGTTGAAACATACATCTTATATGGACATAAGCCTTCTAATACAAGTCGATTTGCTTCATCAACACGTTGCATATGTTTTCGATAATCATAAGCACCTTTCAATTGTTCATACGGATCAGAATCAAACTGGTTGGGCTCGATTTCACTGAAGTTTGACGAATGAAAACGAGTTCAAGAAAGAGAGATTTTCATTCTTACGGAATGATGTTGTCATGTGGTTGATCGTAGGAAATAAGCTGGATTTCTGATCGTGAACGTTGTTTAGGAAATGGATGATTCAATATCGAACCATGAAGGTTCGGATTCAGTGGCGCTGCGTGGATGAATGGTGCTAATGATATACATATCAGACGAGCTCTTTTTGATAACTAAATACTCACCAAGTGTTTCATTTCTTCGTTTTAGCGAGTTCTTATTCTTATGTGCGAAAACATCGGCATCATTTCTCCGTCGATGTGTTTTAGTCGATCTATGAAAATAATTACCTTTCGATTCTGTTATGCCCATATCAGTACAAATCGTACAAGTATCCACAGATTCTTCTTCAGTAGTGCTTCGCAATATATCCTCATTTTTTCTCCCTTGCCTCAGTGAAAACGTGCTGGTATGTTTAGAATGATTGATATTTTTCTTTCATTTGCAAGTAAAAGATACTTTTTTCCTGAAATTAAAACGTCGATAGAAGTGAAACACACGCAGACACAAGGAAAAAGAGGAACAAAAAAAAACGACGAGAAACTCAAGAAGTGGCACAAATAAAAACAAAAATATATCACCGTATGTGCGCAAAGAACTAAACTGACTAAACAGGATTAACTGTACAAAAAATCGTAAATAATTTTCCTCCTTCAACCAAACCAGATCAATTTTTGAGCGGTAATTCATGTATAGAGATTTGTAAATGTTACCAAACGATCGATCTAAATTGAAGAGATTTTCATCGATTAGCGATACTGACTGTTTTCCAAAATACAATCACATACCTTCGAAATTCCTCGATGAACAAGCGAATCAATGTAGTACAAATCATCTTTCGTATCTTGTAGATCACGTGCATACATGCGCCATTCATCTTCACTTGGCATTGCTCGTTGTCGATCATTTAGTTTCAGTTGATGCTCATCGACAGGTGTTATATCGGCATTGAGTGATGATTCGATTACCTAACAATATCGAAAATAGTTTAGACGACTAGCAGACTCTTGAAATTCTCTTAGGAATCGCTTAGCATGATAGAAGAAAAAGTCTTGATGATTAATTACATCTGACGTACTTCTTTAACGAGTGGTCGGTCGATACGTTGTTGAGCATCTGCAACTGATACTCGACGTGTTTGTAGGCTTTCGATTGTCTGTTCGAGTTCGTTAATAACCCATTCGAATCGATTGAGAATTTCTTTTCGAACATTGATTAGATCTCGATATTCATATTGTTGTAAATCAGGCATATTATTATAATGTTGATCGTAGTAAGTGTTTGAGTTCGTATATTGTTTAAACAAATGTTCTCGAAAACGAACGACGGCAGTGACATAGGCTTGTAATGTTTCCAACAATTTCTAGAAATGAAAAGAATCTACTGTCAAACTTTCACGAAAGAGAAAATATCGGTTTACAGAACGAGCATGTCGAATGCGAGGATCGGTTTGAACACCTTTCTCGTTGGTTTGAAGTGTCGTCTAAAATACACAAGCTGTTTTCGAAACAAAGTCAAAGCCGTATTCTTTTTTACCATCGAATAGATCTTGTCACTATTATCTAGAAGTGTTGTTGTTTCATCACGATTATCTATAAAGAGGACAGAAAGATAAATGAATTGTCATCTTTACTTTCTCTCTGTTCTTTACTCATACTGAATACTAAGTGAAAAATGTTGATCAATGACAGGCTGATACGTAATACGCTCTTGCTCTTGATGTGTGCGTGTTACAATGCTCACTTTTTTCTTTGTTTTGTACATAAATTTTTTACAACCTGAGAGCTTACATGTCATAAGCAACAAAGCATTGACTAATGCACAACTCACGAATATAAGTGCTTGCTAACACCCAGAAAGAAAAATAGAACAAGAAATAATAACGAGATTACGATTACTTGGTAAATTCTATTTGCCTGACATGATACTTATTCAGATGGGGATCTACCTATGAGATAGACAAGGTCAGAAGAAGAAAAAGAAAGATTTGAAAACGCTTCGATTGTAAATGATATTAGTTTTCAATACATTGACCCGTTTATTTGTATGTCTGATGAACGAGATGAAACCTTTCACCACTAGATTGATGACGGATATGTCATATATGTATATGTCTTCTTCATTACTCTATTGTCGTCAAGTCGATGGTTGTGTAATTGCGAAAATATATTCGAAATCAATGGCTCGAACTTTTCAATCCATTGATCAAAATTGATCTCTTACACACATATCACTAATAAAACGAGTTCTTACCTTATACGATGGTACAATTAGTCTATAGAGGCGTTTTGACGTCTTGTTCTTTCTCCCTCTCCTTCTTTCTTTCTTTCTTTCTGTTTTACTTTCTATGCATATGTATTGTTGCCGTGTTACACTTACAAAGAAAAGAATGACGAAGAAGAAATTAGTACTGTGCTTATTTTATGATTATATAGGTTTATTTATAACAAGGACCACAACGGGAGACACAGAGAGAAGCACCGATGTCGTACTGATAAAAATATACGTATGTTGACAATGTGTTGCACTCGTTTTCTGTTGTCGATTTTATCGAATCCTGGCACTAGTCAAGGTTATTGTTATCGATTAACTAACAGAACGAATGTATGAAAGAATAAAATTAAATATATATAAAAAAAAATCCGAAAAAGAAAACACGGACGTTATCATATGAGGATGAAAATTAACGTAAAGACGAAGCTTTGGTGAGCTTAGATTTCGATGTGACTTTCGATGATGGTAGGACTAAAAAACGGATACAAGTAATATAAGATATTCATCAAATAATTGTGTTGGTTTGATGCGAATATGTATGTGCGTACTTTTTTTTTTGTTTTCTCTAGCACCATTAGTTCTCGTCATGTAATTCATGCAATTATAACCAACACCCTCATTGAGCTTAAAACATACAAGTAGGATACATATAGTCAACAAAAGATTGTATATATACTTAAGCGATGTACATAGATAGTCATGTTCTTATTAGTGTGAGATTAGATATTTCAATGTAGTAGAAATATAAGCTATGATGATTGTACTTACTCAGGGTAGTTGCATCGAAGGATTGAGATTTAGATAAACGATCCAGTTTATGTTTTTGATTGCTTGATGGTGAATGTTCCGCATCGTAGTCATCCGTGTGAGCTTCTTGACATGATACAGCATGTAAAGCAAGTAATTGTTGACGGCGATTTATTGTTCCTGATCTCATGAGATTATATCGTGAATTATGATTGTTATTATGATTATTTTCATTATTCATAGCAATAGTGTTCGATAGTGAACGCATTCGATTGTTACTGTTCGTTTCGATTGATAATCTGTTATCGACAGCAGTCTTGATACGTTGGAAAAGTTTATCGAAGTCGTTGGTTCCTATTGCTGATGACAATTGATTGGATGTGACAACACTACTCACAGCTCCTGTCGTGCCCGTAGTTGAAAGAGATATAGCGCTATCGCTTAAATTCGAATTTGTTTCATGTTCATGGGCGGTATTCAATGTTATCGATGTTGTTGTTGTTGTTGATTGACGAGATAACAAATGACTGGCTAACAGTGATGAAATACGGTTAATGAGATCATCTTCGTCGTTAGTTGTCGGTGGCGATAAACATGAAGTAGATGATAGAAAAGGATGCACAGTAGTGAAATTTGTTGGTGTATTCAAATCGATATCTACAGGGTTTGATTGTGGTGATGTTAACAACGATGTTGATGATGGCAGATCTGAAGTGGATATATCACCACTTGCGGAATCAGGCAAACTATTGGTCTATTGTAAAAAAAAGACGGAAAAAGATAATTATTATTTATTTGATTAAGCTTTTTCTCCTTCTTTTTTTGCATGACGCAATTGTACAAAAAAAAACGGAACAGAGATCTATGAAAAGAAAGAACTAATTGACAAAGAAGATCATTTATCTCTATTCAAACGTGTACATGCATAGAAAAGAAAAATCTATAAATGTCATCAATGTTATGTTTGTATGCTAGACACAAATACAGTTTCATCATCAGCAAATGAGATTTAAAGTATCGGGGAGACGTTTACTAGGTGAAATTCGATGTTCTTTACACCTATGTGTTTAGCTAACTGTTTAATGAAGGATTGGCTACGTACCGTGCTTTGTCGTGAGAGAACAGCAGGAGTTCGAAGTAGATTTGAGTTGCTATTTGCTCGTGAACGAGGTTTAGAAGAAAGAAGTTGACTAGGTTGAGGACTGACGGTCTGATTAACCGGAAACATAATAAATGGTGACGTCGGGCGATGTTGAGAACAACAACATGATTCAGAATTTAATATATTTCCTGGATTATTGGCGCTATTATTATTATTATTATCGTTACTGTGGTTGATTGTATTGACAAGAGATTCACTAGACTTCATACGCATTATTTTTTCAGTTGTTGCTGTTGGATTACTTTCGTATGTTTGTGAATAATGTTGTTGGTGCTGCTGTTGTTGTGAGGGTGTGGAAAGTAAGTTGAGCAGATTATTTATTTTAACGTAGTTTGATGCTAGTAAAGGAGATCGTTCACCAGTCGAGGATACCGTATCGAATTTTGCTAATTGTTCGAGGAAATCTTCATTGGCATACATCGAATCGGCATTTTGTGTACGTCCGGCTAGAACAAGATCATAAATCCCTTGCTGTTGCAGTTCATATTGATTATACGGCGTTAGTACTGAAGCAGGTCGAAGTTGATCAACAATTGATTTAACTAGAGTGAGTTTTCGTACAGCACGACGAAAGCGACGGAGAACATTTTCTCGTCGACGCTTACGTCGTTGATTTTCACTTCCATTGCTTGTTCCTGCTGTTGGACGCGATGCAACCAGTAGTGCTGCAGAAGCATTTTTAAAATGAAGTGCAGCAAACAAAGCCGGACCAAGTGATAGATGATATGGCCCGAGAAACAAATGTAAAGTATCATCACGAGTGTCAAGTGCTGTTAAAACTGTATAAATACGAGAAAGACGATCGACTGTACGTGATAAACTGTTGCTTTTAAATAATTCTATGGAAGAATAGGCATTATCTTTTGTTTGTTTTATTTAATCATTACATAAACATACCTAATTCAATCGTTTCTTTCATATCAGGAAATAAATTAGTTAGTCGTTCGAGTTTGCACGAGTCTGTGTTGGCTTCATTGGTGAAAAATCGATATGGAACTTGCCGATAGTATCCTTTATCCATCGCTGTGGACACAGGTGGCGTTGATGAACTGTCCAAATTAACCTATGATTACAAAGATAAAATGTTAATTGATCATCGGAAATGATCTCCTGTGAGAAAGAATGAAGAAATCTACGTTAGAATCATCGTCGTTGCTACTATGGCTGCTAATACTGCTGTCGCTGCTGTTTTGTCGTTCCATGGTATCGAGATGTGATTTAGTGAATTCACATATTCAAATGTATGTAAAAAGGTGAAATAATCAAGGACGAAAAAGAAACAGCGAATTGAGAAAAAGGAAATTTGTAACGCTTGTTTACGAAAAACATGCTTTCATTTAAGAAGCACCTGAAAGAAAAACAGCAGTGGCACACAGCCATAGAAAACAAAACTTGACGCGTTGTAATGTTATGAATAGTTAATAGAATAAAAAGGAATCTCGCAAAATAGTGTTACCTTAAAACGTCAATCGATTGATTCGAGAACAACAGCCTCGAGTACAAGGAGACAAACAAAAAAAAGTAGATAGTAGTAGATATAACAGTGATGCTACGTAGTCGAGCACGTCGAGTTAGAACGTATATTTTCTTTTTATTCTTCTACGTACATGTTGTCTATGATTCATTTTGCCATTCTTTCTCGTCCCATCACGAATATAATGTCGAAAAATGTATACATTTCATGTTTAAGATGTAAAACGAAATGTTTTCGTTCGAATAACAATCGGTATCTATCAACTAACGAAGTTAGAGAAATGCGCAAACATATAACTGTCGCTGTTCTGATGAAATCTTTCTTTGCTTCGAACTCGTAGAAGCTAATTTATGAGAGATCATTTGAAGACAAGATGTGTCAACATCCTTGCTTGCATCTGTATACGATTCTCTGTTTTTCTTTCTTTTTCGTCCGATGGGCTGAATTGATTGAAGGTGTACATCATTACTTCGCCTGTGCCTACACGTTGATTTCGCTTTCGTTATTTTGTTGCAAATTCCGATGCATGAAGATACGATAGAGAAATGAATGAGTGTGTCAAACGGTTATTTGCACTGTTATTTTTTCTTTCCTCATAGTCTTCTGTAATTCATTCTGTACACTATGTAAGTTTGTCTGAAGAACATCACTATCAAAAGTAAAAGAAATGAATAACATGAAGACGAAGAATCAAAGAAAAAGAAACCTATGACAAACTACTTTGGCGATCGATAAAAAAAAGTGAAAAAAGCGATTTCTTTAACTTTTTGACTTTCTCTATTGATATATATATATAAAAGGAAGCAAAATGATTTACAAACCATCATCGAAGATCGTTGATCGTTAAGATACCACATCATCAAGTATTCACGATGAATCTTCTAACTGAATGTTTCATCTGTTAAATGTACTGCAACCTTTTGATAAACGANTTCGCAGAGCAAAGTGTTATCGATGAGTTTGAACGTAACTATTGTCCCGACAAGGCCATTTGGTGGTATACACGCGAGTGTTTTACCTACCAAATGCTCAATCAAGCACTTCGCACTTTGGATGGCGAAGTCATTATTAACATGGGGTTTTTCCTCCATGACTTACACAAACAAATACAACAGCTACACCAAGAACAGGTCAGTAATTACGAACAAAAACCTTTCGTAGTCTACCGTGGACAGGGACTATGTAAGACAGATTTTGACCAGTTATCAAAAACTGTAGGTGGTCTTTTATCTTTTAACAACTTCTTATCCACCAGTATCAAACCACAGAAATCTCTTGAGTTCACCTACAGTGCTCTCGGTGATCCCGACAAGGTGGGTGTTCTGTTCGTGATCACAATTGATCCGAATATTCCTGCAACTCCATTTGCATCGATTGGGGATTTTAGTCACTTCAAAGACGAAGCGGAGATCCTGTTTTCCATGCACAGCGTGTTTCGAGTCCGTACAATTCGAGAAGTGGGTGACAAAAGTAAACTTTACCATGAGGTGCAACTCCAGTTGACTGCTGATGACGATCCACAACTGCGTGTGTTAACGGACCGTATTGAAAGTGAAGTTCGAGGTAGTACAGGGTGGAAACGTTTGGGCAATTTATTGCTTAGACTCGGGCAGTTGGATAAAGCCGAAGAACTGTACACTGTGTTATTGGAACAAACGTCTGATAAGAATGACAGAGCACTCTATTATCATCAACTTGGCTGCTTAAAAGATGATCAGGGTGATTATAAAATGGCTATAGAATACTATGAAAAAGCACTTGAAATTAGAGAAAAAAGTCTTCCTTCGAATCATCCTTCGCTGGCTACTTCGTACAACAACATCGGTTTGGTGTATGACAACATGGGAGAGTATTCGAAAGCACTTTCATTCTATGAAAAAGCACTTGAAATTAAAGAAAAAAGTCTTCCTTCGAATCACCCTTCGCTGGCTACTTCGTACAGCAACATCGGTGGGGTGTACGTGAACATGGAAGAATATTCGAAAGCACTTTCATTCTATGAAAAAGATCTTGCAATATGCGAGAAAACTCTTCCTTCGAATCACCCTGATTTGGCTACTTCGTATAACAACATCGGTACGGTGTACTACAACACTAAGGACTATTCGAAAGCACTTACTTATTTCGAACGCGCTCTGGACATTCGTCAACGTGCATTACCGGCGAATCACCCTCATATAAAAACTGTAAGAGAAAGTATCGAAAATTGTAAAAGAGCAATGAAGAAATAAACGATTACTGTATCTTTTTTGTTTGAAATAAAAAGTAATGATTTACCCAAGCGTACGGAGTAGAACTCTGTATAGAGATAGTAATGATGGAATATGACGGGGACGCACCCATCCAAGAAAGGCAATACACATACATACGGACATAATTGTGTTTGACACATTACTCGGTATCAAAAGTGAGGACTTAGGTGTAATTTGACAGGATTGCTTGTTTGCGTTGTTGAACGAGGTCTCGATTGCTGTTGATACGAATGAACGTGAAGGAAATCGATGTATATTTATATGGATGACTATCCACTGTCTAGAATAGACTGAACACGAACAAGATAGATACAAAAGAGAGAACGTCAGTACATGTTTTCATTCGTTCTTTCTGCCCGTTGAATGAAAGTGACCGACGAGAGAAAATGAACGTCCAATCGAGAAAGGACGGATAAAGAAAGATATTAGTAATTGTTCTCTTTTCTGAAAGAACGAGTTATAGCCGCGTTCCAAGTTCGTCTGCTTAACCCTAGTCGTACCGACCAGAGTCAAAAATGACCTTGTTTAAAAACAATATCGAAATACATTAGAAATATTCCGTTTTAATGCTCGGCTAAAAAGCTTAAAGTTTGTCTGGCGGTCATTCCGTCTGTCCTATCCAACCAGAAATCAACATTTCTAAAATCAATGAAATTGATCGATAGTTGTTAGAAAATGATTACCAGTAGGGTAATCGAGGTCGCGGATCTCGAATCTGAGGTTAGTTTCTCGAAATCCCAATTATTTCATTAGCTAATTAACTAATTAAGCAATGAGAAATTTTTCGTGGTCGAGTAAGGGTCGACGGAAGGGTAGTCGAGTTCGAGGATCACGTATCCGAGGTTAGTTTTGCTTAATTAATTATTAATTTTTCATTAACTAGTCACGACTTAATAACATCCATTGTCAGAGTATACCGAAGGGTTTCTGACATCAGGAAATTTGAATTTGAGGATGAATTTCGTTTTATACACTAAGCCTGGGCGGTTCCTTCCTCTTTACAAAAGAGATATTGGTCTTTAGCTGTTCTGAAATCTTTCGTAGAAGATGGTGAGCTGAACGCTATTCATGAACGTCAGTCGTACAAAGATAGTAGCTCAAGAGCTTACACGAAAAGATCTAATGCATTGTACATAATGATGTTTCTAATTCAAGAAAACCGAAAAAGTGATATGAGCTTAGTATCATGTCTTCTCAGGGGAATTTAGTAGAAGTGGTTCGCAAAGTGGTATAATCCGTCAGTGAAATTCCATCTTAGTAACTACAGACGCGTGCACTATACATACAGTATTCTGAACACATGCAGCACTATGAAACATGTTCGTTTCGAAGCAAATCATACAATAAGACTTTCCTATCTAGTTTCTTTTGATAGTCGAAGCGACAATAAAAGAAAGCCCAATCATTCAGTTTGAAAGTTAATATAAGGCGAAAAGAATAACAGAGACAGCATGGCAGCGGCTAGACGTGAGTGGCCGACGAACGACTAGGCGTTTAAATGCTAGATTAATCTTACCAGACTTCCGATAATTTTGAAAGGAATTTGACGAATGGATACTCCTCAATGAAAATATTCGGCAGGGTATCATTTCGTTGACAAGAGAGAAAAGAATCGATTTATCGTTGGAAGACACAGGCAAATGTTCAAACTTGTCAAGTAGTCTACTGTATATCGTCCAAGGGGGAAACGGCGGATTTCGTACTCCTAGGATTTTCTGGATTTTTGTTGTACTCCCAAGATTTTGAACGTATTCCTAGGATTTTCATGGTAGTCCCAGGATTTTAAAGTATTGATTCTTCCAAATATTTATCATGTTTTGTGATGATCTTCTAAACCTCAAAAACCACAAAATACTCAACACTGTTTTCAATGAAATATTGAAGAAAAAAGAATTCTTTATCGTCAGATGTTTACACAATCACAGTGAGATATGAGTGTAAAAAACCTGGAACAATAGAGCTGATTAGTTTAGTTATATTTTTTTAACAGAAAAAAGAGCAATACAATAATTCTAATCTATTTGTTAAATTAACACCACTACATTCAAGCTTCCATTCACCTATTCACTGCTTTGCATAACTCGTTTTGACCGATCAGCTGACAATTGTGGTTTGTAGTCCGTAAAAAACCAACAGGCTGTTTGCTTATGAATATACTTTTCTTTCCCCGTCAATTTCGACGCGAAAGCATGAATTTGATAACGATGGAGAGACTGTATCAAACACTCTCATTCCATTGAATTCGGATTTGCCGTTCGCTTCTACCATAGGTGTATTACCTTCATCTTCAGACGAATTAACGTCAGATTCATCGCAATCCAGTGGCGCAACCAGGAATTTTTGAGCAATGGGCAAAAGTCGCTTAGGACTCAAAATTTCAGTGGGCAAGGCTTGGGCAAAGCGTCTTTTTTAAAAGATTCTGCTGGGAAAAAACGATCCTCAAAAATTTTGAATGGGCAATTGCCCATTTGCCCCTCCCCTGGTTGCGCCACTGAGATGAGATGGATATTTGCAAGGGATTTCATCTCATGAGATAAGATAAATCGAAATGTTTTCGAAAAGCATCCCCATGGGATGAGATGGGATTGTCCCATGGCACACGGAGCCCTGACAAATACATTTTACATGAATACTGACCTTTGTGATTAGATGTTCTCTCATGTTTACTATTCAATTGAAGGTCAGACAAAACGTTTACGACTATAGTGTTATTTACATTGTGGATCTGAGTTTCATGCACTCAAAATAACGAACGAAAGGCTTTTTCCTATGGTACAATCAAAGTCAGAAGTGAAAAATAGTATTGAATTTCTCTAGTGAGATTAAGTGAGGATTAAACCAACTGATCTTTCGTTGAGAATCTTTCAGTTGATGAATAATCTCCAGAAAACCTTTGTCGCCACTGATTATCGTGAACGAGATCGATTTCGGCAGAAGTCCATGAAGTTTACCGAACTATGCGTGAAAATGAAAAACAAAGGAGATCATGTTCGATTTCCTTTCGATCAAATTTATTACAGTGAGAACAAGGGCAAAGTCTGCAGCATCGTGTCGGTTACCGGCTGGATGCATCAGTTGAAAACAATCGGAGTGAATTAAGTTTTCGTAGATAAGATTACTAAAAGAAGAAGTTCGATTTGACTTCACCGAAAATTCAGAACTTTTTCGGTGGTTTCCATTGATTATTTGAACTGGTGAAGGCAATGACATAGGTCTGATCTGGTAGTTGATGAGTTAAATGTTGAAAAAAGTTGGAAAAATTTTCTAAATCAAGAAAAAGTAGATGTTTCATTGTTGATAAATAGTGCAGATTATCTAATTGTAAACTATCTTTATCTTGATTTTCGTGTTTAATTGGAGATCTTTGTTGAAAAACATTGGAATTGACTGATACTAGTGATTGACTATCTTGATCATTTTCAATCCAATTTGAGACGAGATTTTGTTTGAAAAGATTCAAAAACAACTTCCTTCTCTTTGGTTTAAATCGAGAACGGTTTAAAATTCTACTATTATCATTCAATCGCTTTTTAGAATGACTTCTCAAATTCATAAATAAATAAATAAATCGTTTCTAATTTCCCTTAGCAACAACAATTTATTTTGTTAACATGAACGATACATCGATTAGTCGACTACCGTTCATAAAAATATTTGACGCGGGCAGCAAGTGATTGATAACATGTATATGGAATATATTACCAACTGTATCGAATGTTATATTGATTAACACATTGTGGCATGTTAAGGAACTGGACGGAGGTCGATAATGATATTGATTCGTCGTATATCCATTTGATGATTTGTTCGAAATACCAATGTATGTCATGTTCTGTCGATAGTCTCCGACTGTAGTTGATAAGAGAAGTTCACCCATAGATCCAAAGATTTGGTTAATGATTTTACCATCTATGTATAATAGAGAATACCGAGGAACCGCGTTTGCACAAACAGTTCTTTACCTTCAGTAATAATTTGATAGATAATATGCTGATGTTCAGTGAATATACTGAGTAAATTGGAAGATCTAGTTGACAGAGAATTGAGATCAACTGAGTCCAACGTTCGAGTGACAATTTTCATCATCCGATCAAAATTTACTGCTAATTCGATAGCTGCGCTAGTGCCTACAAAAGAACAATTCTTATTGAAGGAATCCACATCTAGATCTTACCTGTGCTGGATAGATTCACTTTATTGACAGATACATCAGCATTAACTTTGATTGAAAGGAGATTTGCAACTTTAATGGAAAGATCTAGGTGTGCGTTGAAATTATCTGCTATGAGTGAGAGTTGGTCGATATTAAAATTAGACACTCTGATCCACATATCCGGTGAATCATTGGCATTCAATTGAAAGTTTTTGCAAACGGAATGTTTCCATCTATGCAAATCGAATAGAGCCCAACTCAAAACAAGTATAGTCATCAAAACAAGTCGCGTAGTCATTGAAATTTCAAATATGAAACAAAATCATCTTGTGCAGAGTATAACTTGAGCTTCAAAAGAACATATCTGATCATCATCTTCTTCTTTCATCCTTGATTTTGATTGATCAGACATTGTGACATTAGGATGATAACAAACAAAGCATCGAAGTGTTCTGTTCTACTCTGTGCCTCGAGCGTGAGATTTTTTCCCATAGATGCGTTGAGGAATGAAAAGACAATGATACAACAACACAAAATATTTGTCAAACTAATGTTGTTGTCGATTCTGATCAATATTGATTGAAAACGCCTGCACAAATTTTTACTCTGTCGAAAATCTCGGAATCATAATTTTAACAAAAAAAAACAACTGTGACGACATCGATCTTCAACGGTTATTGTGTTACCATTGATTAGATTTTGTTACTACGGGCTAAAAATAAGCCATAGACAATAAACACGACTGATAACAACACGAGTACTCTTGACAATGTTAAATTGATGAATAATACTGATCCGGTTACTATTAATATACGCACGAAACTCTTTCGGATTGAATAAATCAATCTGGTACATTTCGGTGATATTCAATGACGACGTTTAACGGTAAATACGACAACCTGCTGACGTCAACCAGATTAAGATTACAGTTTTTTTGACGACATCGGTTATTTGAATCCACTCAAGTTGTGAGACACTTCTAATGAAGTAGCTTGTCTTCTCATCATTCGAACAAATGTTGACACGTATCAGATTAAGAAATACGAACGCATTGTATCTCAAAGGTAAGAGTGTGGTTTCCAAAATCCGAAACACCTACTATTAGAAAATCATAGATCATGATATGCATATATAGTGATTCGTCTTTCATGATTGTTGCCGTAGTTCGCGTGCTACCGAGGCGTAAGATATGTCCTTTCATGATTAATCACTTCCTAAATATACTGATCGATACTATTGCACGGTATTCATTTATTTCGATTGAGGAAGTCAGTGCGAATGATTTTTTTTTAGAAAGATTTTTAATCTAATGTTGACCTTATTTAAAACCTCAATCGTTTTCCTTATTTTTTGTCCTTTTTTCATCGTATTGATCGTGTTTACCACGCAGGACTTTCGTAATCATATGTTCTTGTACATATTGATTTTATTTTAGTGTAAGTATAGACTAAATCAACTTGAAAATCATTCATTTGGATGTCATGAAATCCGCCTAGTAACAAACATTTGAAGTTAAAAAACGAAATGTGTGACTCATTTGCCCTCTTCTTTTCAATGTATTCCCATATTTTTCGTTCTCTCCCGTGCTGTCGTCATCAATCCACCTTAGTTGGAGAAAAAGAAGAGAATAATATATGCTATGTTCACCTCTATATAAATTGCTGTATGATTTATTACACCATTACTATCAGTTATTGATACTTTTGACAGAGTGAATTCAATCAATAAATGCACGGACAAAACTCAACAACATGTGTGTATCATTATGATGATGCTCAACCATGGGATGTCTATGTGACAGGAAGTACATCAAGTGATCAAACCAGCGACACGAAAGACAACCGACGACCCAAACGATGATATTTTATGAATGAAACTTTCGGAATTTTAAATAATCGAATAAATCAATGAAGAGACAATGGGTATATCATTACTTTGGCTGGCTATTCCTGACTTAGTACTTCTTCAAATTGTTCATTGCAACGAAGAAGGTGATACTACTGCAAGTAGAATTTATGTGTACTTTCAGCAACATTTTGTAACTTTTTATGTGACTTCTTGATTAGTTGAATAAAACTGAATGCTAACATCGTAATTACACATTTTCATAGAAAACAAATGATACTACGAAAAATCTTGATTTTTCTCTAGGAAGTTTCGAATGCGCTGAGCATCCTTCTGAATATTTTCATCATCGGGGGACAACTTTAGCGCTGCTTCGTAATCCAGTAGTCCTACAAACGAACAAAAAGAATAATTAGATATCAAACGAGAGAATCTTCATTTGTACCTTCAGCATAGAGTTCTAATTCGCAAAAGGCCGTACCACGACGAACATGCGCTTTGATTCGTTGAGGTAAATTATCGAGAACAGGTGGATTCAGTAATTCCAATGCCTATCAGATGATCATTTACAGATCCAGACGATTAGTGAAGAGCTACGCTCACTCGAGAACAATCTTCCACACATTTTATCATGTTTCGAACTTGGAAATGGCACGCACTTCGATTTAAATACAATCTTCAAGGCAAATAACGTTGAGAATCGTATTGATTGGTTAAAAAAATCGAATCTTACGTCGCCATTTTCGGGAAGACTCGTACAGCGTGATTGTAGACACCAATCGCAGATTGAAAATTGCCTTGTTGAAAGAATTGACTAAGGAAACATTATATTAACTAATGAATGTTTAGGAAACCGATCGTTTACTTTGCTTTACTTTTTAGATAATCAATATCTTTATCGTTTTCGGACAAATCAAGTTGAAGATCAGTCGCTGCTTGCCGACTTTCTTTTTGTTCTCTTAACCACTATCTCAACAACTCGATAAAATTGACGTTCATGTTCCAAAAGCACATACTTTTTCTTCGCTTTCCGTTTGAGATTCTCGCATAGGTGTCGGAAAAATACGAGATGTAAAGTTAACAGCAATACGACCAGTGTCACGTAATGGTGCAGTTACTTTCGATTCTAAAATAATCCATATGAATCTTCATGTTTAGAGATTCATCGAAAGTGGGAACTATGATCTACCCGGTGCAGAATTTTCTTCGAAGATAGTTTTCTTCTGCTCTGGTTTTTCACTTTTTTTCTGAGGTTGAAGCTCTTCCGATTTGATCTGAAGAAAAACAGCAAGGTGATAGTGAAATAGATGAGAAAATGTTCATCTGACATGGTTTTGTATTGCTAGTTTGCGTTGAACTTTTTGATTTTCCTCGAACTGTTTCATTTCTTCGCTAATTTTATCACGTTCGTTCTTTTTTATCGAATCAATTCGATTTCGTTCTTCTTCCTCGATCTAAAAGTATTGATTCAACGTTCGAATTCTCTTCTTTTGCATGCAAACAAACCTTCATTTGTTGTCGAACAGCTTCCCGTTTATTGTCATTTAATAATGATGCATTGGCTTCATTACGTTCTTTTTGCTTCTGTGCAATTTGGTTCAACGCTTGTTCACGAAGACTTTTCATTGCTTCCTTATCATCTAAATTAATAATAATCAATGGAATTTCAGTCGAATTCAAGATTACCTGATTGAACATGTGTCAGTTGATTCCATTTTCGAGGAATTTGCTTAGTTAATGTGGCTTCCACAAATCCATTTTGTACAACAATTCGGCTTTTGTCGTCGTGAACCAGATCATACAGAAAAACTTCATAGAAAAACGGCGAAAACGAAATCTAACAAAACATCCGAAATGTCACATCAAGAAAACTTTCTTTTCATCACAAACTTTAAGATACTGATCCGATGACAATACATCAAGTTTATTGGCTTTTGCACCTTTCATCGGAATATGCAGAACTAGATTGGTATCTGTTTCTTCCCAATTGATATCACGAATGATTACAGGCATGACGTTCTCTACAACGAATCTCAATCTAAAACAACGATAGACCGAACCATTTATAGCACTACAGGTTGCTATAGACAATCCTTCATAAATGCTATCCCAGCGACATCTAGGAATGGTTTTCTATTTGAAGAAAATGGAACCATCCGCAATTGGAAGTACGTCGATGACTGTCGTGTCATACTCAATAGCTAATTCACGCTTAGAAATAGAAAACAACATCAGAAATCGTTTCCTTGAGATAAGGGATTATTTCAAAACGAGATAAAGGGAAAGTTAGAGCGTCATTATTTGTATCGAATATTGTTTTAGATGGCTCAATGGCTGACAGATGTGCAGCAAGAAGCCGAAAGAACACATAATTTACTTTTACGAGGTAAATATTTTTGCTGAAGTTTGAGATTTGATCGATTGATTTATTTTTTTTTCGTAGAATTTTGTCAACAACTTTCCGGTAATCTAATTTTGTTTCGAATCAATTTTTCTTGAATGACATATTTCTTTAACTAGATTATTTATCACATGGGACAACTCTTCATTATGGAAGGTAAAGATTTAGTCGAAGATTTTATTCATCTGTATTGACTTTTTTCTTCCAGAGAGAAGATTCTGGAGTTCATTCGAAGTTGTTTGGAAACGGAAACTGTACAAATTGGAACACTTGTTAGTCGAGGATTTGAGGTTTGACTTTCCAAAAACAGAAACGTATGTGTTTTGCATTGGAATCTGTTTCAGATATTGATTGCGGAAGAGGAATCCTGTCGCGAGTGTACAAATCAAGACAAACAAGATTTCCTTCAATATACATTCGACGCTTTTCCAAATGGTTCACCATTTGTCGAACGGGAGCTGATCAGTTGCATTCGAGTACGTCAAGGAATGTATCTGATTGAATATCGATTTTATACGTTTTAGTCAATACTGAGTTTTGTTCGGACGCAATGTTTGGTTTTATCAGGACATGTTCTTTGCAAATTCATTCAGGTAGGAAAAGGTTACGGATTGAGATGAATTTTATTCTTTGGATTGATTTAGTTTACATTGGGAATTCTTCGAACAACAAATCCCGATCTAAGAAGAGAAACATGTCAATTGTGCGCATCGAAACTGGAAGCTTTCTATAATTTTCGGCCTTTGGTACCGAAAGAAGAACGGCACTATTCAGGTTTGTTAAATTGAGTGAACCATTGATGATTGGAATCGATTTTTGGAAATTTAGAGGATGGAAATTTGGTATTAAATCAATTAGAAGTTGATTATTATAAGCAGTTGTTAACATTGATGGAATATCAAACAACTCTTGTGAACGAATTATCAAGAAAACATGATCAAACACTTCAAAGAATCTTTGTTCTCGAACTTCATGATCTGTTAATCAGGTCGCTCTCTCGTACGGTTTATTTTTATCAACCATTCATCGATTTTATTTGGTAAATATAATCTCCTAGCAGAAGAAAAAATGACGTTCTTCTTTGATTGTAGGAAAAAATATTCTCCAGCTGTAATTTCTTTTCTTGGAAGCCCGATTATCGATGCTCGATGTATTATGTACGTCAAGAATAACGCATCTGATCCCCATCTTCGTCGAACAGTTTATCGGTACAGATAACCGCTCCGATATTTTCCTACATTCTGCTGTTTTCTTTTGCAATAGAATTATTTTAAATCTTATTTGTTTTATTGCACCAATCGGCTCACTACGATCTGTTAGCGAAACCTTATTTCAGCGTTTATGTTTATCTCAAGCGACAAATGAACGATTGGATTTATTGATTGTTCTAAATGAAGTACGAAAGTCTTGCAGTGAGCATTGATTTTGCTATTTTTTATCTTTCGATAGGTGATTACAAGTCGTTCGCTAATATCATTGATTTCACCACCTTGGATTCACTCAACCGAAGCAACGAATGATTCGGATTTAAGTTTATTTCGAAAGTAGGCTTTTATGACCTTTGAAAGTAGTCGAATCACCTAAATTTTCTTAGAATCATTTCGATCATCGCTGAATGTTCATCATCGGATGATCGAGCCTTGGTCAACAATGCCTATCTCTGTCTCAACCATTGTCTTGAACAATTAATCAAATTTAGTACTGAAGCGACATTTCTCGACACAGACGAAGAACAAGCTATTCGAAAAGTCTATAAGAAGTACGGGTATCCAATCATTCCACTGTTCATTGACACAAATTATGTTCTACCGCTAATAAAACCCGATGATAACAATCGAAATGAGAAAGAGAATGAAATTAACTTAACCGCAGAATCGTCGACATTGGAGAAAGTGCAATTCTACATTGTACATTTGAAGATTTTGCTGAAAACAAGCGATCAACAACATATAACCACTGTTTCGGACTTCGATGACGCTCTCTTACAATTCTCATCATTTATCAGCAATGGTAAAACCATTTATGATTCGTTTGACATAGAAAAGCATGTTTTATTTGAATAGAATACGCATCGAAGATGTCGATTTCATCGGATACATCTACAACAATTGTTACCAATCCCGATGGAATCTATGCAACAACAATATGGTTTTTATGGTTCTGCAGTCGACGGCAATTTCAACAACTATTCGATTCGAACATGCCATCAACGATTTCCAAAGTAAATTTCAGTCGAGATTTTCATTTTGAAGACAATTCATCTATTTTTGTTTTGTTGAAGAGTGCTTTCATCACTGATATCATGAATAGTGGTTTGATGCTTTGTATCGAACCTGATTGGATGGATACACTATATGATATTTATTTTGAACAATTCGACGTTTTCGATGGTCTCTCTGACCAATTCAAAGGTGTTCTGCATCAGATGTTTCTCGGTAAGATAAAATCTCAAACTGAATTGGTAAAAGCTTTATTTTTCATAGATATTCGTCCGTTTAATATTCGATCGATAAAACAACCAATTGGAGATTCCACATCGAAACATGACGGACATTTAACAGGTAGGAACTTTTCTCGTATATCCAGTCGACCATGAAAGTCGTTTTTTTTAGCATTGTCGGTTTGCCATCGGCTAGTGCAAGTGTGTTGGAGTGCGTTATTAGGTGCATTGACACCGATGCTGACAAAAAATCATTCCATGGATGCCGATCTTGCCTCATCGAATATGGTTTTATCGAATACAATTAGTGAAAAGTTCATCGAAACTCACGAACTCGTGTTTCAAGGTTTAAAACTAGTTTTTCAATTAGCAGTTACTGTTGGTATGTAAAATCGGATCTCAACGATCGAAATTCATCATTCTATTTTGATATTCTCCAGGATTACCAAACAATGCTTGTTATGTTTTGCACTGTGTCGCTAGCACAATTGAACAGGGCTGGATTATGGACAACCAGAGAAGAATGTTTACAAAACAAAATCGTTTACACTATTTGGATGTTATGGCAATAAATTTCATTCTCCAGTTGTATATGAACGATATCAATAATTGTCCAAGTGTTGCTTACAAGCATATTTTACGGTACGTGCCAATATTTTGTTTCGAACCGGGGATATCAATAGGTGATTGTTTAGATGTTGCGTTCATTTATGTTTGTTGGAAATGCAATGTTGTCCACCAAAGGAAAAACTTGATTTGACAATTCATCAACATGGACATGTTTCATATGAACTTAGTAATGGAAAGTAAGTCTCGAGAATATCTGAATTACATTTGAATGTATGTGTGATGTTTTAAGCAACTCGTCATCTTCGAACGATTCATCAACTTCATCTCTTCTTCAGTTGTCAAATATTGACAAAACTGGACATATTCACGATAAATCATGTGCAAATATTCTGCAGGCGTTGTCGTGTCGATCCGATAAGTAAGTATTTGAGAAGTTATTTCGATCTTTATCAAGGATTTTTCTTTAGATTGTTTGAACTTGTTGCTCGTCATTTGGATTTGGACTCTTTACTTGAGTTTTTCGAACAAATGCGTTTATTAACTGAAACGCCTGTACCAAAGCGAACCGCTGAGATTTCTCCATCTCTTCCTCAGAATCTGTTTCCTATGCATGCAGTCATCGAAAGAGTTGGTGACATGACACTAGGTAAGGAAATGAAGTCGAATAGATTCGTTTATTGGAAACAAATACTTTTGAACAGGAATCATTGCATCACTTCGACCACGTTATCATGTTTGTAAAGTCTGGAGTTGTGTTTCTCAATTATTCATACAGGTAATTGGATAATGAAGGAAATGACGAAGATGAAGTAATGATGTGTTTCTAGGGCGCAACACATCGAGATATTCAATTGGCAAAGCGAACCATTTCTCACATGCATCGAGATTTGCGTTCATGGCTTTCAGTTCGTCCTGAATATCCTAATTTTCAATTGAACGAAACATTTTTTAAACCATTCGAACATTTGATCTGTACAGAACAATGTGATAGCATTGTTGAGAATCAGGTAATTACCGACGAAGGAGTGTCAATTATGATTGCAAGTTCTTCTCTTCTGCATAGATTGTGAATTCCATATGCGAATTGGTGGAGTTGAATACCAATGCAATCATGTCCGGCTGGCGTTCGATATTCGCTTGTTTGAAAACGGTTAAGATCGAACAACATCGTCATTCGATCGGAACGAAGAACAGCACATCAAAGGAAAATAGAACCGATGAAGACGAAACTGAACAAGCAGGTGTGGAACTATATCGCGTCAATGCAATTTTAGAAGTTCTCGAAGCATTTTTCTCATGTGAAAATCTGAATGTTATCTCTCAAGCATCTGTTGATTGTCTTCAATGTTTATTTTGTTATTTACGTGAGCCAGGTATTCCCATGAAAGTACCTTTACGCAAGTCACCTTTCCATCCTTGTTTAGAACCATTCACACCAATGGTAAACAGTCCGTTCGGTGATAGTTTCGATGAAAATGACGAAGAACATAATCAAATCGAATTAGTCATGCCGGCTTTGAATATGATACAAAAATTCACGACTATTTTTGTACATTGCTATGTTACATCATCAGACCATGTTTTCGCTACAAAGAAACGGTAAGTTTTCTTTCAATAATCAATCATCCCATGCATAAATACGGTTTTAGAACACGACAATTTGAATCCACTTCGTTTACATATTCGACATTTTCGAACTTTTCTCCTTCATTTTTCTCCTACCTTGATCCATCCATCTCACCCGAAACCATTCTTCGTTCATTCGAACTAAAACTCGTTGGCTACATGCGTCAATTATCTGACGATTTGGATCTGATTGATAATACAACACATCTTCTCAATGTTTGGTCATATATGATCGAAGGTCTTACTGATACAATCTTCTCATGTTCGAATCATTATCATATTAAAATCATCGACCAATATTTCCATATTTTGAAATTAACATTCGACAGTGTCGGACATCGATTTTCGATTTATCTCATCTGTTGTGTGATCATTCCATGGTTGCAATCATTTGTTTGCTCAAATTTTTTGAAAATGACTTCGTCGTTGAGAAAATTGACTATCTTTCGACGACACGCTCAACGACAAAATTCCACATTTATGAACATTACAGCGTGGCGTTTGTTTCTCGGAAATCTTCTTGAACATATTTTGTATATATTCGAAATGGCTAAAGAATTCGAAGAGTATCACCATATTCTGTTCGATTGTTTTCAATCAATGCTAATTGATTGGCTTTGTGTTGCAAATGAATACGTCGGTCGACTCGGTAAGTGTTTTTGATGAAAGAAGAAAAATTATGACGACAATGATCTTTGTTTACAAAGGTTTATCGTGTATTAAACACCTTCTCACACATATTTCACATAAATTCGATCAAACATTACGATCGATATGTATTGATAATCTTCAACATGCACTTCTACTTACATCTCTACCAACTGAATACTTAATTTATGAATTTCTGGTTTCATCACCCGAGGATCTCCTTCGTAATGTACGTGTTTATATTCAAAATGATCCCAATTCATCGTCATCATGTGGATTAGTCAATGGTGATATATCGATTTTTCCGCTCTGTCAGCAGCTGTTCAATGAACATTCTCAACAACAACCAACGAAAATTCCAGAAGTGAAAATCTTTCGATTTACATTTCGAACTGTACCGACAGCACCGACAAATGACCCGAGTCCTCATGAAATTCAAATGAAAACATTTGTTTATTTAAATTACTTTCATTTACAGCTCATCCACATGATTGGCGAATTGAATTGGTCGGAATTAATTCCGAATTTGAGTCAAACTATCGATCTAGCAGAGCGATTCGATATAACATCGAATATTTTTGGTTTGAAGAGCATCTTTCAGCAATTATTCGCATTTGAGCCAGCAGCTGTCACATTTCAACATGTGAAGCGAATCGCATTTCAATATATAGTGGATTATCTCATGCGTGGTGTTAAAGATGAACTGGTCAAACATTCGATCAACTCAGCGAATTTGCACGTGCAACAAGTACGATTGAGAGATTTCTCTTTTCATAAATAAGCGTTGCTTTGTAGGGAAATGATGAACAGACAGGTAACGATATCGATGCGTATGAATCGTTTCCAGAAACATCATCACCGAAACAACAGATGGTTGGAAACGTCGAGAAGAAAGTTGGCTTTTTCGGTCACTTTGCAAAGACGCTCGATGCTTCTTCCTGCAACTACATCGAACTATTGAAGATATTAAGTGATGGTATTGCAAATCTACTCTTTACCGGTTGTAATCGACTCGAAGCACATGTCGAAGTAATATCACATTACATATTGTGCATTTCAATTTTATGCATTCTTCTCATTTTCAGACGGATCCGTACGGATTGTATCTTCTACGAGCAGATCAAGATTTGATTGATAAATTTTTACCACCTTCATCAATACCGGCTGTTAGTCGACGATCATCCGTATCGGAAAATGAAGTGGAATATTTTATTGTTAATCAAGAGATGATTTGCCGAGTGTTGAACGATTATAAACTAGTACGTAAAGCTGAAACACCAACTTCACCACTACCGCCATCAATTCAACGAAAAAGTTCAATCAATCCAGCTCCATCACCTTCAACACATCAACGATTCTTTTCTCAATCGTTATTTAATGAACACACAAAAGTCAACACGTAAATACCAGAATTTCCTTTCTCTTCAATACTCACCTTGTGTTTCATTCAATTTTAGTGATGAGCAACGTTCCTTACAAGAAATTCTGTCATCAAAATATGCTGAACACGTCACAATTGCTTTGAAACTTTACGTTGATGGATGGAATGACTTGTGTTTATACTTAGCAAAATCTCTCCAAGACAACGGCTGTTGGATTTCGACAAGCGGATCTGGAAATAGTCTTTTGATGCCATCGCTTGAACGATGGTTATTTGTATGTGCAACAAATGCTACAAATCGACAATTGAAAAACTTACTTTTGGATATTTTAATAAAACATGGCGGAAAAGATGCAATTCTATCAAGAACATAACTGTAGATCGAATAGGTTAGTTTTTCATACATCAAACTAACACAGTGAGTCGTATTTTTGTGCAATATAGTCAACTATACATGTGAACGTGTATCGTTTTTCTTTTGTTCTCATTATTATAGTAAACGTTTATTTTATTTTATTTTTGTTTTGTGGGATCTGTTGTTTTGATGTATTATTTGTTTTGATGGGATTATTTAACGAGAAAAAAAACAGAACGTTTATGTCGGTATTTTGTGCATTATTAAACATTCTATCTAACTTACACTTTGAGTTTCAACTAATTTTCAAGATACATGAATGATTACTGGTTGAAACATTAGGGAAATTTTTCGCACACTATTAAATGATCGATATTCACACCTTCATTTTATTTGCTGAGGTTTCTTTTGACAGAAAATCGATGTATCTTCGTAGACGGTTTATTTGAACGACTTTTACAAATCTAACAATCAGTATTTTCTATTTTTTCACAAAACAAATCTATTTCACTGCTATGATCAGTTTGTTCTTCCCCAGAATTTCATAATATCAGGAATATGTTCTTGCAGTGAACGATTTGCCGTTGTGTCGCGACTAGTATCTTTAGCATCTTGTGTTTTCAGCGTATTCTTTCGATAATAGTCCTCATCCTCTCGTCGAATCAAGCGCCAATCAGGATTCACAGCACTCGGAATCTTCATTTCTCGGCCACCGTTCAACAAAACACCACGATCAATAATACGACCATAAAATTCACTCTTAGTGTCAATTGGTTTTCGTGTCAATGCAGCTATTTCATCAAGTTTACCGATAATCACTTTTGGTGGTGTTTGGGTTATAACAGGTTTACTTCGTGTTAACACAACATATGAAACTTCTGCAAAAACAATAGCGATGAGATACTTCGATCTATGTAATACTATGAATAGTATTACCTCGATTTTGATCTTGAGCAGTACGCAGAAACATTCGGCCGATACCAAAATTTTTCAATTTGGAACATAATTCTGGTAGAGTATTACCATACGATAAACTAATTTGTCCGACGAATTGGACGCGCGGCATCTGAAGTAACGAAGAAAAACCTTTTCTGTCTGCTCGAATCATTATCCTTTTCTCGGTTTTTTTATTCAAAATAACAACAAAAAATGTTGACGGTTATAACAAAGAAAAAATCGTTTCTTTTCAGCAGACACAATAATAATAATAATAGTAATGATAATATTCTTGTTAGTTTTGTTTTCTCACTACGGTTTGTATTCAACTTCTTCGGTTTTGATGAGAAATTCCACAACTTCTTCGCCAGCGTTTGATTGATTTTCAAAAAGGGAATCTGTATCGATACCACCACGGAGATCCAAGCGTTGTTGTTTTTGGATGGCCAACCGTTTGGCATTTTTCTCTTTGATTTTCTGGAACTCATCCAATTGTCTGCGTCGTTGTTCTTGTTGTTTAGCCGATTCACCGGTACGTAAAATACGATCGCGTTGATCGAACTTCGGCGTCCATACATTTCGATTCTGTCGAACTTTCTACACATAGTCACATCGATAGGCAAATAGAAAGACTTGTGCTTTACAAATATGTACTGACCTTAATTCCTTCGTCATTTAAGAGGGAAGCTGGGCGAGGACGCCAATGGAATGCGGCCAATCGTTCAACAGTCTTTTCGAACACCAAGTTACCTTGGAATGTCCAAATTTTGAATGAGTAGTCACGCTGGCAAAGACATGGTAGAACGTGCAAGATCATGATCGAGGTTTGACTTTAGAGAGGAAATACTTACTTTAACACCGCTACGGCAGTGAACAACTGATGTTACATAACGTCCTGTTGGATCCCATTCGACTTCAGATAGATCGGGATGTTCTTGTTTTGGCATTATAGACATATCATTGGTGTCAACAAATACCAACAATCCACCAGGTGATGAACTATACGAGATTTGATAAGCTTATATTTGATCATCACGGGAAAATTCATCGAATGCTTACCCAACTCTCAAAGCGGCTAGAACGACATATTGTCCATTGGGTGCCCAAAAAGCCTTGGTGATTGGTTGTGCGATAACTTTAAGAGCTTCGATCTTTCCACTCTTTTGTCCTTGACCCATTTTGTAGAATGTAACATTCGTTCGTACACCTTCACCTGAGATGACAATTAATTTATGTCCAACCGGTTCAACAGCAAAGGATTGAATTGTTTCTTTTACTTCCAATGTATCCAAAGGAATATTTCTTTCACGCATGTGAAAAATTTCAAAGTTATAGATTAAGCCCTAAACTCAATCAAATCAATCGATGTATAAGTCGGAGGTAATTCACTTACTGAATATTTTATATTATTTTTTTCACCGCTCTTCTTTGTGTATCGATCAACTTTGACTACAAGATAATCACCGCGTTTTTGCCAAGCTAACTTACAATCGATAACATTGAACAGTGTCTATTTTTACACAAGCAAAAGTCATCGAATTGGAAACTATGGTGAATAACAAATCATACTTTCGATCGAATTTCCTCCAATTTAGCATCTTTCACTTTGGCAAGTACTAAACGTGCTGCCACATTGCCTTCTTCCGCTGTCCAATAGGCGATATGATCATCCGTTGGTGACCATTCAAAATCAGCTAATAACGGAATTCGGAAGGGCTTCTTGTCGACCAATTGGAAACTCTGTTACATACAAGAGTCTTAACACTTGATATTTCTCTACTCGTGAACATTTTTACCTCAGTATCGTACATATAGATACCATCTGGACCTTGTCTAGCGAAATAGTTATCTTGAAATGACCATCTATGAGAAAAACAAGATAAAACGATGTTTCAGTATGAAGTTTAACATAAAACAAAGTCAGCTAATCGCTTCGCCAGTTATGTCATCGCACATTCATTCAAAAACGAATATGCTTTAACTCGGCCTTTTCATATCATCATTCTTTGTTTTAAGACAAAATCTGATCTACAACTAATATTTACTTGAAATAAGGTGAACCTTGTTCAACTGGAAACGAACGTTTCTTTTGTCCAGTGATCACATCCCAGATGATGAATGCTTCGGAATTTCCTGGTCGTGCAGAAGTTGTCACCAAGTACCGTTCACATGGTGAGAAATCAATATGTTGAACACCACCGGTGTGGGCAAAGCTAGAAGAAAAAGTGCATGATAATACTTTGTTTCGTTCTGTCCCTGTGCTTTCATAATTCTCATCGAAGAAGAAATTATGTAATTACGTGACACATACCGTTGTACTTGACGAAATTCTTTTCCACCCCAAAGAGCAATACCTTTCTCGTGAAATGATGCTAAATATGTACCCTTTGGTGACCATACGAAATCGGTCTCTGTCCATTTCTGAATTATATTGAAACAGAGAGATTAAGAAATGGAAATCAGTGAGAACTCGCTTACACTGCGTTCTTCAAGAAGAATAGGTTGTGACAAAGCATTCGAATAGATCATGGTCTTTTTCGGATCATCCGATTGTACAGCAAATTGGTCGACAGCATCAGGTTCGGTTAACCATGATAAAAGATTACCCTATTTACAAAACAAACAGATCATTCAGATAGACATATGTTCAAGTCATACAATATCAGTTGCTTCCGATGGAACTTGTGTTAATCTAAAGTATATATTCATAACGTTATAGATGAATAACGAAGAAATCGTTCGGTACCGTTCGAATTCCGACATCAAAGTAACAGAGAATGTGTGATTTTTATCTAAACGATAACCATCCGTTTGCTTGACTGCTTCCAAAGCCATCTGTTCATTTTGAAATTCAAAAAATCCGTAACTAAACAATAAGAAGACGTCATTGTGGACAATTCGTTCACATTTGTCTTTTCTTTGTCATCTACCCTTTTGTTTTTCCGTCTTTATCCAATGGATAATATACATTACGACATACGCCGAATTTATTGTAGACTTTTGATATAACTTCTTTTAATTTTTCCAATTTAGCTGGATCAACTTTCGGTAAATTATCAACAATGATAACATTATTGAGACTTTCATGTTCTTGTGGACGTTCGGCCATCAATTCCGGGCAGAGATCTACAAAAACAAAAGTTCAGCTTCTTTCAGAGAAACATTTCGACATTCTCACAATCATCGGTAAACTCGGATCCGTATTCATCATCAGTAAAATCAGGTGTTTCTTCATCGTCATCCTCCTTAAAACAAATCATATAAATTTCGCAATAATTTCTTCGATGACTTGTCTTACTTGATAATCTTCTTCTTCATTTCCCTTAATTTGATTTTCGTCGTCATCTTCTTCATCACCCGATTGTTCATTGTTATTCGTTGGTGAATTTTCGTCGAGTTCATTGTTTGACTGTTCTGCATGTTGTTTCTTACGCGCATTTTCACTGTCGAATGGTCGTTCAGGCATGTTGGTTGTTTTCCTAGGATTGAACTGTGAGAAATCTAGAAGAATTACGCAAACGAGTTTAACACGGATTCCGATGAGATTTTTAGTGAAATGAAGAAAGGGAAATATTGCACAAAAAATATCTTGCCATTGTTTATTTCCATGTGCCAATTGGAAAGTACAGATTTTCATTTGATGTTTATTGGTGGTTTCGAAAAATATTTGTTAGATGACTCTGCATATGTTATAAATATATCGTCGAGCGACACCTCTCGACAGGATTTCGATTGGAAAGATCGCATCTCGATGTAAAGTTATACTCTCACTGTAGTTGACGTGTCATTCAGATTGAAAACTTCAAGTAAATTGATTATGAACATGGAAATTGAAAAACTCGATATAGATTCAATCTTTGTCAAATACACGATCAATGAAATACGGGATATTGAACAGAAAATCAAAGATGATATGGAGAGGAAAAAGGAAGAATTACGATCGATGGTTGGGTAGGAAATGAACGCTTTCGATTCAGTTGGTTTTACTTTGGATTTCATAGAGAACGATATCGAGATTTGATTGAAGCTGCGGATGCCATTTTCGAAATGAAAACGTGTGCGAAAGGGGTGAGTTGACTTTGAAATCACCATTCTGTGACAAAATCTTTCAAGGTCGAGCAATTTGTACATTTACTCAATGAAAAATGCGGAAAAATTGATCATACATTATTGACGCAACCGTCTTCATCAAATTTAAAATCGGATAAACAATTCTTCAAGTTAACAATTGTTAATTCAGTCAAAATCTTAACAGAAACACGTCGACGATGTTGGACGTTCCTCGAGGAAAAGAACTTTGCAGCTGCAGCTCGGTAAGACTCGCTTTTCTCCTCGTTCAAATCAATTTCCGTTCAATTTCAGTCAATATTCCTTAGCTCAGCATATGTCAGCTTTGTTATCCTCGAATACAATGGATGATCAATTAGATAATGAGGCACAGAAAGCGATCGTTGCTGCGACTCGTCTATGGCATCAAACTCGACAAATGAAAGCGACGATTCTAGAAAAATGTCGGTTGTATCTGAAGAATACAGACACAGATGTTCAAGTAAACATATTCAAAACACGAATTTTTGAAAGAGAAGTGTCTATTTTCGGTTCATTTAGATCCTTGCCAATGCTCTGTCAACTCTCGTTGTATTTGGTAACAAAACAATCGAACAAGTATTGAATGATCTGTTATCTGCGAAATTGGTTTGTTGTTTTATCAGCTAAAGACGAATTTGACTTGTGATTCTTTAGGATATGATCAAAGATTCATATGAAAAAGTGGATATTAGTGAGTATTTATTCTCTTTTCAATGAAACTCAAGTTTGATCATTGTCTTTTGTATTCAGAACAAGCTTCGAAGGATACTGTTCGACAATTAGTCGTTCTTTTTATCAATACTATCTTTCAATTAGATATTCTCTTCAGTAAAAATGATAATACTACTGGTATGACAACGACAAGATCTTTCGATCCAACATCTTTCTTCGTTTGACTTTCTAGATAAATATGATCAACTAAAAACACATGTCTTAACGTATTATAATGCATCCAATGATCAGAAAAATAATAATGTTGTGTCGAAAACAATCTTATCAATAGAACAACAACAAATGTTGAATATGCAGGAAACATTTTTAAAAAGTAAATCGTCTGTTGATGTGATAATCGAGCTTCGAACGAAGCTTCATTCTAGATTGTGATCCGGTTGATCTGAGTGAATTCGAATCTCGGCAACAAGAACTCGTTCAGACTATTGTTGAAAAATGGTTACACCAGTAAGCAGACAGCCAATCAATGACATTTCCACGTCTTACTTTCATATTTTTAGGGCGTTAGATCTTGTGAAGACAGGTTTAGGTGTTTTGCTTAATCGGGTCACGTCATTAAAAGCATTGCTTCATCTGAAAACAAGTCTTGTATCATTGTTAGCCGAAGAACGTATGCAGCAATGGAGAATCGTTTGTAATCGTCTATTAAATGGAAATGATAAAGAAATCCGACTGTGGAATGATTTGATCAAGGTGGAATTACGTGCACGTGCGAAAGTAAGCAGATTAAAGATATTGTTTCGATCGATTTTGAGAATTATTAGCAAGTACTTCACGCTCGATTCGATCAATTTAATCAAACAGCAGTACAAAAGATCGAACAATGTCTCGAAGGATTTCAGAAATCGGTCAACAAAACTGACAAGTACCTATTGATCAGTTGAGATCGACGCGAAATTCGAGATTGTCGTTTAGGTCGTCATTGGAATTCAATGTTTTGGACTATATTTGGAGCAATGTGGATAATAATATTCCAAGTGATTACGTTTGGACACCATCGACAAGTCGTACACCGATTGGTGATGCCAAATTTTCTCTAAAAGCTGTCGCAATATCAATGGATCTTCAAAAGTAACTTTGCCAAGCATTGCATCATTGTTTTGATCTGGATTTTTAGCTTATGTCGAGAATTAGACGATGAGTTACGTCAAGTTCTTGACGATGTCAATGAATTCTCTGTTGCTGATGGTTCATCAAACTCTACTCCATCGGATTCGATCTTATCGACAACCAATACTAACCAATCGATGTATTCGGATAGTGGCTTTGTTGAAGAACATTTGGAAGAATGTGTGATTCAATTTTGCACAGCGTAAGTCGAACTGAGTTTTGACTCGTTTGATTTGATTGTCGTTTAGATTTCTCGCACACTTAAAACAAATCGCGAATGATAACGAGAAAGTTGGAGACGAGGAGCGAACTTTAACGAGGTAAGATTGTATGGCATGAGGAAGATTGCAAAATTGGAGTTTTGAGTTTAGTTTGGTTTGGCTGGGCTCATGTGCTCGAGCAATTCCAATTATTTGCAAGAATCTCAAAAATGCACTTGAATTAGTCATGAATAATGCTAATGATGCTACTAGTAGTCCAGCGCTGGATAGGTAAAAACTCAATTCACGTTCTTTGTCTCATTCTTGATTGTCTAATTACAGAAAAATGCGAGGAATCTCTCAACCTAAACGAACGTTGGAGAAAGTAAATAAATAAGAATATTTTATCTGATCCAATCACGAATTTGTTCGGTTTAGACTGAAAAAACTTCATGGTTAAAAACACGTGAAATGTTCATGACCACTCATATCGATTTATTCAAGTAAAACGTTTCCTTTCTTCAATTTACTCTAACTGTTTCGAAAACTTTTCCTAGACAATGGATTATTCACTTAAGTGCTAATATTGACATGCACTTGCGAAATAAACTATTGACGTTTCTCGACGATATGCCAACCTTGGTAATATTCTGCTTAGAAAATCTCTAATATTCACTTGATTTCAACTAGATTTGGGATGAGATCGAAATTGAAGAAAGTCTCGAAAGTGATAAAACATACAAGAGTCTGATTCGTGTTCCAATGTATTGCACACCATTCATCGAAGAACTCCTATTCTATTCTTGTCAACAAATCAACCAAGCGTTGGCTCATGGTCTTGACAAGTAATGAAACACAAGTTTTACTTCGAATGTCTACGTCTTTTTGTTTGTAGGGAATTGTCTCTGGAAATGTCCTATCGTTTGTTACTAACATTTTTGAACGTTTACGAATCCTGGTGGTCAAGTGAGAGTGAAAAACGAGCGAATGTTAAACGTATTCAGACCCGAGTCATTCAAATCGTTTACGATCTTCGCTTTGTACACATGTTACTCGAACGTAAAGATAATTCGACAGTAAGTTTCTATCAACATTCGAACATATTTTCAATTGACATTTTTCATACAGATAACCAAAGATATCAATGAACGTTTTTCGAAACTAATCGAAACTATTGAAAATGAAATCGATCCATTTGATTTAAACGTTCTTTCTCCATATATGCAAGCGCATTTACAGAAAATTGTTCCGCGTTCTTCAGTAAGCGTTAAGACGTTTACATTAAAAAAAACCGTGTTCTTCCTTTCATCTAGCTTTTATTTGGACCGTTGATTACGAACGATCGTCTGATTCCAGCGAAACCATTGACAATGAATACGCAAGAAACGAATAACATTCTGTCATTATCTTCATGTTCACAGAGGTTTTCATTACTTCCGATCGCTACGAATCTTCCTTCAACATCAACTAACAAAGCAATTGTATCGAAGGGAAACGTTGTGAAAACGGATATGATTCACCAACAGGAACATCATCAAACAAGCAATGATTCTAATTCAGGTTCGTTTCGCCCATTGACGACGAATGTGGCGGAAGTCGCGACTTACTATTCGAAATGGTTTCAAAATATGGTTAAATAGGAAATCGAACATTGCCATCGGATCGTTTGTTTCTCTTATGTGATATGTGTTCTTTCGGATCATTTTCAACTTATTTTATTTCTGTTATAATTTCAAGAACAAAAAACAAATGAAAGAGAGAAATATATAATTAAGTTGTAGTTGTGTTTGATTAAAATGTTATACGAATTTCTGTTTGTTTCCTTAGAAAGTATTTGTTTTCTCACTTGAACTTTCGTTCTCATCATTTGTAGACAAAGGCGGGTTTGGTTCGATGGCCGTTGTTTCATTTTGTTGTTTTTCGTCAGGTAATGATGATTCTGCATGAAAAAAAGTGATTAATTAGGAAAATAATGCGTATATGACTGTTTTCACCTGGTTTTCCTTGCGTACTTGTTTTTTTGAGTACGACTGGGACACTTTGAACAGCTTCGTCGACGCGATCTAAAAGCTCGTTGACACTTTGTACACCTTCAATATTCACATGAATTTGATCATCTTGAAATGAGGACACTTTCGTCGACGTGTCTAATGATGACGGATCTTGACTTGTTTTCAAAATACTTTTTGGCGGACCGGAAGACTCATCATTGTCGTTTGATGTTGTTGGTGGATTGGCAGGTTCAGTTGAACTGGTTTTCTTTTCAATAAGAACTGATTCATCGTCGTCAGGCGCATTTTCTAGAATAACTTTTCGACTGCCTGGCTGCTTGTAGACTCGAGCAAGTAAATCTTCGATAGTGTGTATTTCATTGTAATCGATACGTATTGGTTCGTCGTTTTCTTTGCCTTCTTGATCGCTTGCTTCCGCCGGACGTTTTTCTGTGCTGCTGCCTTCGGATTTGTTCGGTTGTTTTTTATCCAGATCGGCAGAAGAAGGAGGCGGCCGAGGTCTTGGTGTATTGTCCTGGATAGTAAGACTTGTTTTACCTGTATTACCTTCGATAATTATTTTTGCGCCTTCGATTACTTCATCGATTCGATCGAGTAAATCACCAACAGTTTGGATTCCTATTAAAAAAACCAAATGACAAATTCCTTCGCTCGAATGTATATCCACAAACCATAAAATGAAAGATGGACTGTATCGTGATTCTTCAATTCTGACGTCGCTTTGTCCGCAGTTGGTGCTAAATGAAACAGTTTTTTCGAAAGACGCTATTCTACATAACTAAAGTATCTCATTACGCTTCTTGTTCACCGCCTTTGCGACTGAATCTTTTGCCGCTGGATTCTTATCCTTGTCTATATCACATGTATTATTGTTTTGATTACCTGTACAAAAGATTGTTATTGTAAGAGATAGAAAACGTCGAGTTTTGTTTAAAGATAAATACCTGAAGGAGAAAATGTACTTAGTGTTGATTTCGATGGATCAACTTCGTCAGCGGATGATGTAGCGGAGTCAGTTTTGTCAATTGATGTTGACTTGGATTTATCATCTCTCTCTCTTTTCTTTCGTGTTAAACGTAATTTTGCTCGAATAGTATAAGCTGTTTTCACAAGGAAATTTTCCTCTTTATTTTCACCATGTTTGTCGTTTTTCTTATCCATCGCGGTGAAAACTCTGTCAAATTGTAACTTCAACGCCTTTGAGTAAGAATTTAATATTATTTGTAACTGAATAAAGATGAGTGATTCGAATATTATTTTGTAGAGAGACGAAAGAATAGGATATACCTTATAAATGAGTGAATGCTTCGATGTGCATCACTGATCACCATTCTTAGTTTGACTTATAGCTTCTCATGTCTACCAATGCATGTGATCACAAAAAAACGGATTAAATTATTGCTGGCGTTAATACATAGAGATATTTTTAGCTTTTATGATCCAATATGACAAAAAAAAAATTACGGTCGTGTAATACCAAATCGCTACTGATAGTTATATGGATAGAATTTATAATAGAAAAGTGTGCGGAGATATGGCCCTTCAGCATATGTTTAGTAGCGTATTTGGTATTGGTTTCGGACCGTGCCAGTAGCATTTTTTTCATCTAAATCATATTTTGAAAACGAATAGAGATTGTGCAATATTTGGGTGCGAAACGAAGAATTCGTTACAGAATCAGCAAAGAAAATTATTTTTTCCCAGTCGAAGTATCTGATGTCATACGAGAGTTTTGTTATCATGAAAGAGAAATTCGATATGACACACGTGATTTATTGATTTTAGAAAATTTATCGTAAAATCTTGTATAACAAAAGAGAGATTTGAATAATTCAAAGATAACAACTACGCTACATCGAATTGTTGGCTCTTCTATAAAATTTTCTTTGTTTCTTCTTCGTCACTCGATTCATCCAGTGCTTGACTGGCTAATTGTCGAATTTCGGATACTAAATGGTGCAAATCACCGTCATCCGAGAGTGAATGAGATTTCTCTTGATGAATCGTTTTCATTAGCAAGTTTCGTTCACGTTCGAGTGTCATTATGCGTTTTGTCAGTTTATCGATTTCAGCATCAGAGCGTAATTGAGCATCAGCTATTTGCCGTTGCCAACGCTCCTTTTCACGAGTTGTTGTGCGTTCCATTTGACTAAGGAAGCAAGAAGAAACGAGTTTTGCAAAAGAAAAAAATAACGAAAGTTTACCGGCAGTTAGCTGCGAACTTTGCTTGTTCACGTTTTGCTTCATTTAATTGTTTTTCTAAATCATCTCTTTCACTCAGTATCGTTTGTTCTCTTTCCTAAACAGCGAATATCTTCTTCCGAGAGCAGAAAAATATGTTCATCTTACTTCGAACTCTCGTTTTAGCAATCCCAACTGATCTGTTTGTTTCTGCTGTTCATCGTTCCATTTTTCAGTTATTTCTTTCAATTGTTTATCTTTTTCCATTAATGTTGTTTCATAGATTTGAATCGTATTTGTGTTCTTTTCCGATACCAATTGCATCATGATCAATTTCTCTTTATTAATACTTATCTCTTCTCGGTATTTCTCGTCCAATTGCTCTGCGCGAGCTTTCGAATGTTTGTATTCTTCATCGAGTTTATGCGCGAGTAAATCGCGTTCATGAGAGACTGTTTTCAACTCCCGTTCGAGCAAGGACAAATCCAGATATTCTTCATCTTCTGTTTGTATTGCAATGGTAACGTGTTGTTTCGATGAGAGGGATAATAGTTGACGATTGAATAATGTTTGAAGGACAAGAAAACGTTTGTTGATGTAGCCGAGACGCTGCTCGTAGATTGACAGAGTTTTGTTGATAGTTTTGAATAGATCGTCATAGCGAGGATTAGTTGTGAATTTTACCAACATTTCACGAATGACTTGCTCGGTGTACTCATAGGATTGAAGACGTTGTTTGAGAGATGTGTTTTCGTCGAGAATTAAGCTTAAGTTTGAATCTGATTGATGTAGTTTCGATTCCAAATATCTGTAGAAGAAGTGAAAATTTATCCGAGAAAAAGTGAAAGTGTATTTCCACATACTGAATGTGAATCTTTCGTTCGTCGTATTGAGTTTGGAGAAGTTTATTTTCATGAAGAAGTTCAGTAACTTTGCCTTGTAACTGTTCAATATCTAAAAACGAGATATTTTTAGCTGCGTCGAATCTATCGTACGTACTATTTCGTTTATCTCATATTTGATTTCCTATCATGAGTACCGACTGCTATTGTCGTGTGTAAAATTCTCTCCTTGAACAAAGCGAATACTTCGTACATTTTTCAAACGCATCTGTAAAGTTTCGCAGACGAAAACACAAAAGTTCTTCTATTTAACATCAATTTCGTTCTTACCATTTGAAAATTTACTACTATTATTCTTCAGGATCAATTCCATCGACTTTAATTGCATGAGTAAATCATACACTTTTGTTCGCCAACAATTCAAAAGTGACTGACGTTTTTCGGTATTATTCGACGTTGTTTGTTCAAGTTTTTCTTCTTGTAAAGTCAATACATCATTCATCGATGTTAATCTAAAAATAGACTCTTGTTTTTGTCAAGTTTCGTTTCTTAATGAGCGATTTCACCTTAAATTCAATAGTCGCATCTCGTCATTCAATGCCGCGTTTTCTTTTTCGCGTTGTTCAAGTTGTTGCGATAATTTCGTATTGAGAACATCCGTCGATGTTAATGATTGTTGTGAGGATAACAATTGTTCATAGTAAAGTTTTTCTTTTCGAACTTTCTGCAATTCAGCTGAACGAATTTCGAATTCGTTCAGTTTTGCTTGCCAAGATAACTCTTTTGTGCGTAATGTTTGTTCAACATCATTGATAGCAAGCAAACAACGTGACTTTTCACGTTCGAGTTCGTGACGTAAGCGTTCGATTTCAGTTGCTTGTTGTTGAATAATATCTTCAAGTGTTTCTTGAACAATATTTGAACGGCGAGGTAAATTGATCAATGGAGGTGCGCGTTCGAGTAAATCTGAACATAAACGGAAAACTTGAAAAAGAAAACGTTTGCCGTCATTTTTGTTTCTTTACCTCGACCAGATGTTTTAAGAGCTTCATTATTCGTTCTTAATCGTCCAATTTCCACTTGTAACTGTTCGAGTTGTTCATGAACTGTTGTTGTTTGATTATCTCGTTCACTTGTCGAATGAAATGATAGTGTCGATTGAAATGCTGATGGTGGCAAAAGGAGCATACTAGGACTAGGTGAACTCGTCATATCGGTCCTCTAGTCGAACATCTAGAAGAATCAATCTTTTTTTTCGAATGAAAATAAGGCAAGGTTAGCTACAAAATAAATATGTATATAATGTCTAATGATAACGATAATAGAATTGTAAATTCTATTTGCAAAAAAAGACCGTCTAATCAGAGAAGTGTTGAACGAGAAAGACGTAGATTGGTTGCTATTCATTTGCTCTGGGCCTATATTTCCCGTTGCTATGAGGAGGAAAAAATGGTTGTGTGTTTTTTTACTAATGACTGCTAACAAGATGTCAAGGAAGGCAAAGAAAACAAGTTTTTGATGAAGATATTTCCATGTACCTGTCCTAATGATTGTGATTTCGAGAATATGAGAAACGACGTTGACTTTTAGGTGTGGAAACCAATGAGTTCATCGTTCTATGACATCTCATTACAACTTTCTCTTTTCTTCGTCTGTGTTCGGGCATCAACTTTAAGATTTATTTCACCTTTCTTTTTCTCGCTCCACTGCTGCCTTTACTTACAGAAATGCGAATGAAGTTTGTCTTCATATCGTTCTTTCTCCTATCGCTCATTTTTCTTTTTCTTTCTTTCTTTCCTCTCTTTCATTCTCTCGTGTCCACATGGGGATGAAGAATGGCTGATGAAAAGCAGAACAAAACCATATCTTTTGTTTTCTGTTAGATAACGATGCTACTAAATATTCTATTCGGAAGTCAAACTGGTACGGCAGAAGATGTTAGCGAACGATTTGCATGTATGGCTCGATCTGCCGGTGTGCAATGTCGTGTGCAGCCATTGGATTCGATCACCTCGATCGACGATCTTGGAACTTATAATCTTTTTATTGTTTCGACAACAGGTGATGGTGAAGAACCTGAAAATATGCGACAATTTTGGCGATTGATTATGCGAAGATCGTTATCAGTTGTTTTGTCACACGTTCATTATGCTTTGATTGGATTGGGTGATTCAACATATCCGAAATTTAATTTCGTGGGGAAAAAATTATCAAAACGTTTGGAACAGTTAGGTGCACAAGCTATCTGTGAGAAAGTGCTTGCTGATGAACAACATCCACATGGTAGGATTTTTTTCAGGTAGAATGAGTTCGAGTTATTCTCATTGTTTGACACGTTCTCTTCTTTGCTATTATTGCAGGAACGGATGGCTGTATCGATCAGACATTTACAAGCATATTCTGGAAAGCTTTGGGTGATCTAATCGGTCAAGAACTTCAACCAAGGATTGATCAGCGTTTGCCAAGTAAATATCAAATTCAATGGATTGATTCCGATGAACCACATATTCCATCGAAGTAAACTCTTTTTGTAGAACTGTCTTCTATCACTATCACTTCTTTTTAGTGGCACTATGCAAACATTAAAAAATATTCCGAAAATTCCACCTGGTTATTCTTCCGTTCCTTTAATTTCGAATACACGTGTGACCTCCGAAGACCATTGGCAAGATGTTCGTCTACTTGAATTTGAAACCGATCTTTCGTATAAATGCGGCGATGTTGCTGTGATTCTTCCTCAATGTCCAATTGCGTCGGTTCATCTTCTTGCTAGTATTTTCCGCCTCGAAGATAAGCTCGACCATCGTTTCATCGCTTCGAATGAAATATCGTCACTATCAATGACAGTCTTAGAGTTATTTCGCGATTATTTGCATATAACTCGCGTCCCATCACGATCGTTCTTCGAAAAATTAGTTTGGTTTGCTGATGATGAGCTAGAACGCGAACGGTTATTAGAATTTTTACAAGCCGGAAATATGGACGATCTTTACACATATTGTCATCGACCGCGACGTACAAGTGTCGAAGTTCTACAAGATTTTCCTCAAACCGCATCACGTATTCCATTCGAATACGTCTTTGATTTATTTCCACACATTCGGCCACGTTCGTTTTCGATTGCATCAAGCCCGAAAATTCATCCTAATCGAATACAATTACTGGTCGCAATTGTTCGTTACAAGACAATTATAGCTCTTTATCGCGAAGGCTTGTGCAGTAATTACCTATGTCGACTTCAATCAGGTGAACGTATTTTCATGCGAATAGCTACATCATTCAATTTAATCGATGATGATCGACCAGCTATTATGATTGGACCTGGAACCGGTGTGGCACCATTTCGTGGATGGATATTAGAGAGAAGTTTGAACCAAGATAAATTGAATATGCTCTTCTTCGGCTGTCGATATCGAAAAAAGGACGCTTATGTCGAAAATGACCTTCTGAAAGACTCGATAAATCTGATCTACATTCCAGCCTACTCTCGTGATCAAGACGAAAAGATCTATGTTCAACATAAGATCATTGAGTACGGTCATTTAGTTTGGGAATGGATCTCTCATAAACATGCACGCGTATATCTTGCTGGTAGTGCTAAACAAGTGCCTGAACAGATATCCGATGCATTGAAAACAGTGTTCATCAAGTACGGAGAGATGAGTAACGAGCAAGCGGATGATTATCTTCGTGAATTGGAACGTGCGAAACAATTTCAGCGAGAAACCTGGTCATAGAAGAGCAGTCGTTGGTTGTCTACTTTATTTGCTTGTTTTAAAATAAAAAAAGAGAGAATAGATACTTTTGTTACACATACAAACACAGAAAAAGAATGATGAATAATACAGGATTGTTTGAAAATACAAAAGAAAAGAAGACTGACTGATCACGCCACGTACAATCGAAATCTAAGGTTGCGTTTTGATATAAAGTCTGAAGAAAAAAAATAGACTATTTTATTTCAATGGTGACGCTTAAGACATCCTATCTATCGATTGGTTCACCAAAGATGCGTCTCGCGCACTTCGGAAATGATTTGATTCGCTTTGTGTAATGCCTAAAGAAGAAGAAATGGAAGTGTTAAAAGATTCGATTGAGTAGAATCGTACTTCAAGCATTTCTTGAGCATCCTTGCGTCGTTGAGCGATTTGACCAGATTCGTCAAGTAATTCATCGTGTTCATGTGTTGAGGTTTTGTAAAGTGAAGCAACAAGTTCACTTTGTAATTGATCTTTGACATAATTGACAAGAAAATGCATGATTGCCTTGGGAACACTGTCTTGAATATTCTTTCGAACGATGAGAAAGTACGAACGAATTAATTTTTCTAAAACACAGAAGCCCGTATTCCAAAGAAAGAAAAGTCCGAGGAGTAGACTTACCAATAACTTCACAATCACGTTGTTCACGTGGTGAAAGCTTTCGAGTATTAACAGTTGTCTAAAGAAAACAAGCAGAAGAGAGATGATGCATCAATCTCGGAAATACGTACTCCATCGCCAACCGGTGCCATTGATGATGATACTGCAGAATTACGTCCAGTATTGACCATATATGGCGATGATTGTTCACCATTTGTTACAGCTTCTCCATCGGAACCATCCGTTAAATGCTGTTGAATTAAGCTTCGACTGTTCGAAATTATTTTTCCTAATGTTGACTCATCATTCTAATAAACAAACGAATGAAAACGTTAAGAAATTCTTTTGTGTTACATACTCGGTTCTCTTTTCCTCGAGATGGGTCGCGTTGCGGTTTGGTATGAGGTTGAACAGATTGAGATGTCATCGATGTTGAAGCTGCTGGTGCAATATAATCACCACCAGTCAAGGCTCGATGAATAAGACCGGCTTCATGGAAATCTGGATGTTTTGTATTGATATATGCTAATTCGATCCCGACGAGATTTTCAACCATTCGGTTGGTTTCGGGTAAACGACGACGTAGTAAATGTGTGACAACATCGACGATCTTCTCATGTAGACGAGGAAAACGAATAAATTCTTGCTGAAAAATTTGGAAGGAAATGTTTATCACAGGCTAAAACGAGAAGAAAACGATTTACTTGTGCTCCGCAATGTTGAATAATTCTTTGCAATTCTTCATGAACAAGTTCCACACAACGTAAGCCTGGATCTTCTAATCGTTTGATTTGTCGTTTAACAAGTAATTCAAACGAAACTTCTGGTACAAACAAAGCAGGTCTCGGACCCTAAGAAAAGGCAATCATCATTGATCTAATATTTATCGATATTAAACATACAGTTGCATTTCTTATTGCTGTCAATATATCAAATGTCGTCAAAGTATCCAATGGATTAATCGAATCGAGAGCACGTGCAAATGTTTCATGAAATATATAGCAAATTCGTGCACCACCACATCTAAATAGATATTCAAAGATATTCGATCGATTCATTACGAAACGACGTACAATTCTGAAACTTCGATATTCTTCGCTGTTCCCTCGATTGTTGCACAGTAACTTGATGCAAATTTCGTAATAATTTGCAATAATAATCTACCCTGAAATATCGACAAACTTGAGCAAAGAAAGTTAATTTTCATCTTCTAACTTTATCTTCAATTGGTTCACCAAAAGAATTGACGAGCGCTTGAAAATGAGATACCATTTGATTAATGCGTGTCTTTAATGCAGGTAAACAGTCTCGAATATGATGCATCAATAACTAAACATAGACAAAAAAAAGTATTGCTCATCTCCCTGGAGAATAATGATTATATACTCTATTTAATGTCTTCGCGAGAAATGGTGTGCCATTTCGACTAGCAATCGATGGATAGTTCTTTTGAAGAAAAGCCGACTCGTATCGAAGTGCTTCCTCAATTGGCTGAAAAAAAACGATAGAGAAGTCATTTAATCACTGATAGAGATGCGGATGTATACTTTTTTCTTATGGATATCTTCTTGACTTCGATTGACTACACCTATGATGCCCAATTTAACAGGAATTACTCTTCCACAGAGAACATCATAAGCATCAGTACCACGATCCATTAAATCAAGTTTTGTTAGGACAGCTAACGTTCGTCGTCCTATGGAAAAGAAAACAATGTTTTCATAATAATATTAGAAGAGAAATTAACCTTCAGAGTCAACTTCCTTAGCGAATTTCACCGCTTCAGAAGTCGAAAAATCAACGTTGGCCGGTGTAATAGCAAGAATGATTGCGTTTGGATTAGATATATAATGCATAATTAGATCTCTCACTTGTTTTTCGATGTCAGCTGGCTGATCTTCGACTGGTATCTACGAAAGATCAATGTCGATGGATTGGAAAGAAACGGAATCGTCGAGTTTTACTTTGGTTAGACCTGGTAGATCGATTAAAGTGAGGGTGACAACTTTAGGGGAGTAGATTTTTAAGGTTATTGGCTCATGAGAGATATTCTAAATAGAACAAAATGAAAAAACGTTAAAGAAATTTTTCGAGAGGTAGAAACCTTTTTTCCACCAAGTCGATCAGTTTCTGCTTCAATTTCTTGACGAACTTCGTTAAAATCTGTAAAAACTTTTCCTTTAAGATGGGCGAATATTGCAAATTCATCATCATTCGGTACGGAAACTAAGAAAAACAAAGAATTTTCAATTGAAATCGATTTGAAACATCAGCGGATATCAACCTCCCAAATTTTGACATTGCACTTCTTTATCTTCGGGTGGGGTATAGAAAAGTTGAAGAGTTAATGGACGTCGAGTGACAATACCAGCACCTCGTGGGAGAAAATCCCGTCCGACGATATTTTCTAAAACAGAACTTTTACCCGCACTCTACAATGAAACGAAAATCGTCTAAACAAATCAATCAATTAATTCTAATCCAATAAACCTGAGAGCCAACAACAACTATTTGTGGTAATTGGATATTTTCCGAACCGACTGTATTGAATACATCTTGAAGCTTATTTAATACCGGAATTAAGGCGTCCATTCGATCTAAATTGAAAATAAAAATGAGATCAATGCTATCACGGGATTTTCCTTCTTCTGAAATATACGATAGATGTTACCGTTCAATGACTGGAGGAAACTATCCACCAATGAAATCCTTTCTCTTCTCCTCAAGCGATTTTCTCTCACATCTATGCATTTTTGTTACAGTGACGAAGGATATCTCTAAGTAACAGTAACATGAAATTGATCCTGTATGATGAATCGAATCGATGATTCTCTTCTTATGTAGTTTTCATGGTAGTGAACATGGTTTTATACAAATCGATTCCATTTTTCTTCCTTCTCATCGTTCCAATCTCAATTGTTTTTGCTCAAACATCTTTGTATACAGCTTATCAAGCGAGCGTTCCATTTGTGACATCATGTTCAACGAATGAGTATTTCGATACTGCTCTCATACAATGTTCGTCTTGTCCGAACAATGCTCAACAGAAAACGAATGGTACTTTCTTCGTTATCAAGAACATCTCAAAGATCTTCATGGCAACACATCACTTGATTTGAATTCCTTTCGTTTAGATCCAACACAATGTGATTGTGCCAATGACTCGTATTACTACGGTGTGAATCAAGGTGGAGGTTCAGTGCTTTGCTTACCATGCACATCAAATTATGTACGTGACAGAGTCTACTATATGTAGACAAAACTACATTTTCCATTTCGTCTTTTTCAGGTACGATCAAAGGACGGATTTGGATGTACTATATCTAGTAGTGCGTCGTGCAATTCAACTGGAACAAATAGAGTTTTTGGTAATCAATTATCATATTTTGTGATCGTTTCCAGATTGTTATATAACGTGTTATTTCAGGTGAAGCAACCATCGATGGCAGCCTTATTTCAGGAAGTTCAGCTTCTTCCAGTCAACCAAGAATTGGCGGCTCGAGTTGTGTCACCTGCGTAAATGGAACATGGCCTGATCTTGATGGTCAACGGTCAGTTGTTTTTTCTTTTTTTTTTCGAACAGCATTCTATATCGTTTCTTCGTTCTGTAAATTAGGTGTACTCCATGTGCTAACGTTACTCCTCGATACAACGGTTCAGCATCAAGTCTCTCTTGTTGTACCGCACAGGACGTTCAGGTGAGTTTTTCAGTCATATAAAATGTAATATTCCTATTTATTCTCGAAGGATGGTATGTGTCTTACTTATGTTCAAGACACTTCTTCCGGCATTACATTTGGTAACATCAATCGATTCTCTGTACGTAATTTTTTTAAGGACAGAATTAGATCTATCGTGTTGAATATAGTCACCAACACCATCCGCATTCATTCAACAACATCTCACAGCATCGTTCTATCTTTGTCGAGTAAATCACGAACTTGTCTATTTCCAAAAGAAAAATATCTCGTCCTTTTCACAGATGAATCTGTATTCAGCAAATCTACAATCGTCCACACGAACACTTTTATCAAACGCCACTGCGTGTCAGGTTTTGGCGAATATTGCTGCCATGCAATTCTACTATGGTCTTTCTGGCTACGCCTACTATCTATATGATACTTACATATGGAATCCACAAGTATCACAAACAGTTTGGACAGCTGTTTCTAGCCGGTAATACGAGAATTTCCGTTGTTCTTTGTTTAATGAAACATCGATGTTTTATTTCAGAACATCGATACCGTTTCTTGCTTATCCAACTTCATATTATACTGAAATAAGTAGTTCAACTTATAGCTGGATACCACTAACATTCACTCCGAATGGCATCATTACGTTTAAACTGGCGAAATATTCAGCGACTGGACAATTTCTAGGATTAGTTGATGCTTTCGATTCTTATATGCAACTATGTGGTGGTGGTTATACAGATGGTCGAGCTGCTTTCACATTCGGTACGTCCTACAAACGATCAGTAAGTTCTTTTTTCGAGATGTAAGTCAGGTAACGAACTTTGTCTATTTAGTGTAATATTCGAGCAGATGCATTGTGGAGTTCACCATCCTATGAAACAGCATTCTTCGATCCATGTAAGTTTTGCACATTAATAAATTCGAATTCGAAGTATTTTATCACAGATATCGTGTTTACACAATCTGGCGTTCAACAAATGATACCTGCTTCCGTTGTTGTTGTGAATTACGTATCAAATACTGGAGCAACTCCAAATAAGAATAGTAAACATCTTTTGAAAGATCCCTTTCTAATAAAATGAGCGAATTCTAGGCGATGAATCGACATGGGCTTATCATCGACGTTTTTTTCTACTCGATCGTCTATCAGGTCTTTCAATCGATAATCGTATGCAGATAGGCACAGTTAAATCTGATTTTGTCACTCAATCATTTTTCTTTAGAATCAGCGAGTATTCATTATGCTAAATCGATTCAAATCGTTACGACCCTATCGAGTGGAGGAGCCTACATCCGACCACCTATGGTCATCGTCGAATATGCTGAATTATCATCGTCAAGTATTGGTCAAGGCAATATCGTTCAGGTAAGGAACTGAAGATCGCGACAAGAAACAGAAAACCTCAATTTGATATGTATACATGTTTAGCGTTATTAAATAGTATGTTGTCGCTTTGTTCTACAGCATGATTTTCTAATGAAATGATCGAATGTGTGCGCGCACGGCTCTCCTAGATCGATTGAATTCCATCGATTTGTAATATCTATCTGTTTCTTTTTTTGTGGTCAAATAGGTCTCCTTTCAATCTACTTATCGGACGAACCTTGACACCCATATTCGAGATATATGGATAGCGGTTGGTGTCTTGTCTGGTGTGGGAATTCTTCTTGCTTTTGCTCGAACAACGATGTGGCACACTCGTGAAGGAAAAGAAATTATTGATTTACATGTATGTTGACAGATTTTCACCCATAAATCAATGATTTTCTTCTGATCTTTCAGACAATCGGAAAATTATTTCTCTACATTTGTAACATTCTTGCTTCTGCCTTCTTCGTTGTCATGGCAGGCGTTTCGCTCTGGTGGTTAATATTCTTCAAAGTACCATTCTGTTTTCATTGTTAAAACTCAATACGAAACGTTTGCTTCTAGAGACAAGATGCAGTTTATCTGGTTATCCCTACGTCAACTCAGCAAATATCGTTTACTGTATTAGTTGTGGTGGCATTCATTCTGAAAACCTTCGATATTCTTCACTTAATTATTCGTCAAGCATCTATGGATATCTTTTTCATCGATTGGGAAAAGCCTAAAGCAGGTACGCAGAGAAACGAATTGTTTTCTGGCAAAGTTTTCCAAAAACTCTTCTAGGAAGTCTTAATCCTGTTTCCGTTTGGCGATCGTATTTTGTTGCGAATGAATTTCATGAAATTCAAACATTTCGTCGCATCAATCCAACACTCCAGTTATTCTTCCTTCTATTCCTACTCAAAGTTATTAATCTGGAGAATGTCGCGACAGTTCAATCAGGTGTCAACCTCTTTCCATCATCCACCGATTACGTTCCGGAATACAATGGTATTCTTCGTGTCGGAATTGCTTTTTCCATGTGGCTTGGAACAGGTACTGATACCATTGATTCTAATCAACATTCATCAATTTTCTCTTCTAGCCATTATCCAATACTTAGTTTATATAGCTTTTTACCAGCGCTTTTTCGAAGATTCGATACTGAATTTTATTGATCTGTGTTCGGTATCGAATATTAGTGTATTTATATTGGCGGATAATCAATATGGATATTATATTCATGGTCGATCACCGCATGGGACAACTGATGTAAATATGAGAGATATGTTGGTTAATCTTGAACGCGAAGCAAATCAAATGAGTGGAACACGTGGTTTACAAGCGAAATCAGAAGAACAAACGTTTATTATCAAAATCGATCGACCGTTTCGTATCCAATATGATGTTTTACTTCAAAGCTATCAAGTAGGATTATTCTCTCAATACAAATCGTATATGATCTTTTGATTTATTTTCAGAATCGGATGCTTACAAATACTACACAGAAAAATAGTGAACAAGAATCCGAAGCTCTCATGCGATCGTACAAAAATCTGAATGAATTCCTGTGTTCATTTATCGATCATGCCTCTCCGACATACAACTACATTGTCCGAGATCGATTTTTTATTGAGAAAATTCTCAATTATGAATTTCCAGTGGCATCTGAGCTAACTGGAACAACAGGTGCTTCTGGCAGCATCTTCTTTGTGGGTAAGTTCCTTCGCAAAACAACTTCGAAATCATTTCTCGCTCGAATAGATCCAGAAAAGAGTTTTCGACAAGCAATGTTTGCTGGTCATGAAAATTCTTTATTAATGTGGAACATGGCGATATTTCTCTTTATTGACTATTTTGCATTTAATTATGTTCTAGCAGGAATTATTACTTATATACTGAATCTGGTAAGAAAATGCCGATTTTCTGCTTTCAAATCATGGTTGCTTTTTCTGTTTCTTAGATCGCAGTCAAAATGCGTCAATCGTTGGGCCGAAGAAATTTGGCGAAGAAAACATTGATTGATAAACGATTTCTTATTTGAATTTTTGTATTAGTTTGAAAACGAATCTTTTCTTTTGTATGTTTACTGTCGTGTTTCAAATAATTCATGAAATTAACTTTGATCCGCTAAATGGAACGAATGAAAGATTCAATCGTTTTTCTAAAACTGATTCATTACGGAAAGGCCTGCTCATATTTCGTGATCGTTGTATACTCTTACATACAGATTACAAGGTAATCGTGTTATTGTGTATCCCTATATTAAATCATTAACTTTTAAATGAACGATCAGAACGATAAAGCACAACGGATTAAGTTGAATAGAATATCGATTTAGAAAAACGATACTGTCAGTTTATACTCAAATGTCAGAAGCTAATTTTCTCGTAAAGATCAGGAGTAATCTAAGTCATATGCAAATACTTCTTTTCTTGCTATTTAATGTCCATCGTTTAAAACATTCTACATTTCGTACATTGCATCTATCTAATAAACGTGACCTACTTGCTGCTATTTGAATGGTATTCGCTATTTTTTTAATTTGCTTTGTAGCACAGAGAATTGCCGGTGATACAGTGGATGTCAGCGCAGAATTAGACCCTATTCGTGTGAGGTATAACATGCCAGGTTTGTCGACTATAGCATTGAAAAAGGGAGAAATTGTCGCACAAGGAGCATCTGGCTATCGTCGACAAGGTGAATCAACACCTCTTCTAGTTACCGATCCGATTAATATTGGTTCATGTTCAAAATGGATGACAGCAACACTTGCTGGTCGACTCGTTGACCGAAAAATTATTTCATGGACAACGCAAATCCGCGAGTGTTTTCCTGATTTCATGAGTTTCAGTAGCGTTTTTCGAAATGCAACTTTGGAACAGTTCTTAGCACATCGATCAGGTGTGCAACAGAGTACCACTTTCTATAGTCGTCATTACAATAAATTGATTGTTCAGAAAGGTACATTCCGAGAAATTCGTCATTGGGTTGCTGAAACTGTTCTGAAAGACGGTCCAGAAGTTTCACCAGGTGAATATCTCTATGCTAATCAAGGTTATGCCGTAGCTGCCGCTATGATAGAACAGATAACAGGTCAAGATTGGGAATCATTAATTCAAGAACATGTTTTCACTCCTTTGCAAATGACTAGTGCAATTATTGGTGTCGTTTATAACGAAAGTATTCCACCGAAAACACCAGTTGGTCACGATTTACCCTCAACTACAATAACACCTATTCCACGTCCTCTACTCTCTCCTACTGTATTGCACAACGATCAGAGTGCAGCGGGTCCTGGTGGTTATATTGCTTGTACACTTCAGGATTGGGCAAAATTCTTACACGCACATGTTGTTGGTGTTAGTACAGGCTATTTAACGGCTGAAACCTCAGAAAAACTCAAACGTCCGTTTATTGGTGTTGAAGGTTATGGATTAGGTGTTTCGGCATACAATCGCACATGGGCAACTCCCGGTCAAGCTCTTGTTCATAGTGGAGATATATTTGGGCAAGATACCGTCTTTTGGATGACTCCTAGTCGTGATTTGATTGTTGCTACATACGCAAACTGTCGTTCTGAAGATGGAAGAACTGGCGCAGCTTTAGACACCGTTGCTGGTCTATTGATCGGTAGATACGCATACAATATGACCAGTAGCAGAACAGCTATTCGCGAACCAATTATACTCGATCATTTATCTATTTTCCCTCGTACTAATTAAGAACTTTCGTATGATGAAATGATTCTCTTACCTTCTTATATTTGCGAATGTTATTTGTATATGGAAACAAATTATGCGTTTGCATGCTTAAAGTCATGTTTCCGTAATGAAGAATAAAATTGATGATGACATTTAACAACGTTTTGCATCTTGTGTCAATACACGACGAGAAAAAAGCGAGATGGAGATTTTTTTAAATGATCCTTTAGAAAATGTCTCCTTCACCTTCGTAGTCAAATCGATATTCCATTGAATGTGATCAGATATCCAATGATTGATTGTTTGCATGCTCTCCTGCTCTCGTCTAATTATTTATTTCTCATATTACAACAAAAGTACCGTGTAGACATAACCTGTATCGATTACCCTAGTCAATCACAGAATATCAACACATTTTTCGTTCTCCTCACCGTTCACACGTAAGTCAATCTCGTCATTCTTTTTCTTTTCATTAATAAACAGACTAATTAATGAACTTCAATCGTGATTGAAAGAAAAGAGACAAACGTGTTCTTCGTTTTCTCTTCAAATACAGAACAATCTAGATCATACCGAGCAAACCATTGATTATTCAATATAACGTTTCATAAAGCATTCGCAGATGTGTATGTGATAGGGTATAGTCAGTTGCTATCACTACTATCAATAAAACAGAAGAAAAAGAAGAAGGAGAGAAGGAGAGAAAAAAAGATTGTTAGTTGGCAAGAGTTCTTATCGATAGTGTGTATTCAGCGTTTTTATTGTTAGGTTTGCTTTCAAATTTCTCCTTTTCTCTTTCAACTAGGACACACGTGTTTCCTTGATTAAGAAATAATCACCGTGAACTCAAATGGAAGCTGACACTTTCACTCGGAATATTTGGATCGCAATAGGATCATTATCAGGTGCAGGTGTCATTCTTGCTTTCATGCGCACCTGGGCATGGTTTTCGAAATCTGGTAGAGAAATAATCGACTTAGCGGTAAGGATTACATATTCATTGATATTCGTTAGAACTACTATGATTTCATCTATAGACAATCGGTAAATTTTTCGCTTATATTATGGGTATTGTTGGCACTGTGTTTTTCTTGGTGGCAGCTGCTGGTTCTGTATGGTGGTTGGTGTTTATCAAAGTGATTATTGAAATGTTTTTTTTATGTATTAACTAGATTTTGATAGTTGATTTACTTTTAGAAACAGTATGAACCATATTTCGAGGATGAATATAAGAAGGTGCAGAATCAATTTCGGATACTTCTGATCGTTGCATTCGTTTTGAAAACCATCGATATCATTCATGTGATTGCGCGACAAACGACTATTGATATTTTCTTTATGGATTGGGAAAGGCCGAAAGCAGGTGGGAAAATCTTTCGAAATCAGAACGGAAAGTCAGAGTTTGAGAATGTTTAGGTGACTTAAATCATGTTTCTGCTTGGCGAACGTGTTTTGTTGCTAATGAATTCAATGAAATTCAAACCTTTCGTCGTATTCGTGTGTCATTTCACCTACTATTAGTACTATTGTTACTTAAAGTAAGCGATCTCTTTCAAATTTCCGTATCTGCATTGAAAATCTAGGTCATTGGTCTGGAAAATTTCGCCTCAGCTAATCCGATCGTTTCTCTTTCCGAACCTGAACGGATGGAAAATAGTACCGTCGATTACGATAAGGTCTTTCGTACTGGTATTGCTTTTCCTATTCTTGTCGGCACCGGTAGAATTCATTTGCTTGAAAGTTCATTGATTGACCTCATTTTTCTAGCTTTTCTTCAATACATTGTCTATATAATCTTCTATCAACGTTTTATCGAAGATAAAATAATTAATTTCGTCGATTTATGTTCGGTGTCGAACATAAGTGTTTTTATTCTCGATCACATTCGCCATGGTTATTACATTCATGGTCGATCTCCGCATGGTACAACTGATGTAAATATGAAAGATATGTTAATGAATCTAGACCGGGAATCAAGAATGATGAGTGGAACGCGTGGTCTACAGGACAATTCATCGGATCAAATCTTTATTATGAAAATTAATCGATCGTTTCGGATGCAATATGAAGCATTATTTCGGAAATACTACGTAAGACTTAATCATGGACGGATTCACGAAATCGTTGGATTTTTTTAGAATTTTGTGGGACCTAAACGAAGAATGAATGGTCGTGAAAATTATACCGATGTTCTACTTGAATCGTATCAAAATTTGAATAGTTTTCTTTGTGCATATATTGATTGTTCATTGCCAGCTCACCATTACTTCATTCGGAATCGATATTTTCTCGAGAAAATTTTCAACTACGAGTTCCAAATTGGAATTGGTTCGGGTTTAGCCGGATATTTGGATAGTTTATTCTTCGTCGGTAAGTAATAATCATCAGTAAACCTAGCATCTTGATTTCTTCGAAAAATAGATAATGATCGAACTTTTACGAAGATTTTATTCTATGGCGAAGAAGATTCTTTGTTCATCTGGAACGCAACAACGTTTCTTTTCATCGATTATCTTTCTCAAGATTACGTCTTAGCAGCCATTCTAGCTTATCTACTCAATTTGATAGCTGTTGGACTACGAAACTCGTTCGGCCGTCGAAATTTGTCAAAGAAAACTCTAGTTCCACGAGAATTACTGATATAGATCTCATACAAACATATTGCTACATTTTGGGCATTATTTTCTCTGAGAAAATAATATCATAAATTGTACTTAATACATGTTATTTCTTTCTGGTACGAGAAAAATTATCTACATCCATTTGCCCTCTTAATGCAGGAGATAAAGATGAAACCGTCTGTCAAATATGTTTTCAATCAACAGTTCTGTATGTCATATTGTCTAACGCCACAACTGGATACATTTGTTTTTTATTTTTATGCAAAAAATAAAATCTTTGTACAGAGAACAGAGAGAAACGAATCGAAAGCAAAAGACACATCTAATCACTGGAAAGATTCTCTTGAATAATGGTATCATCCCGTTTACCAATTAATTTAACTGTTAAGAAAGCATTAATCACATGAATCAAAATACGTAAATGTTGACATTGCACTTCGATACGAACTGGCACTTCATTCTTCTCTGAAGAGACCAAATCACGTTTGAACTCAAAATAAATCTTATCGCGTCCATTATCAGAACTCGATTGTAGTTGATCGAATGTATACGACCAAAGAGTGAAATTTGTTTCATTATTTAACATTTCAAAACCTTTGAAAATATCGATGATTAAACGACAGATTTGTCCTTGGTACATACAACCGAATGCTCGAGTTTTCAGCGCATGTACGGCCATATAAAGCGATCGCTGCCAATTCGAATTGAATTCATCGAGTTCAGTTTTCGTTTCGAAATTTAAATATCGACTTTGAGTAGCAACGTCAGTGGATAAGGTTAATGTAAAACAATGTTGTCGATCGTCCAGACGATACTTTGGAGAGATTATTTCAATTAACACTTCAACAATAGGATAAACACGTGAACAACAGATGAAATCATACGCACATAATGGTGGTGGTTTGTTTTCATCAAAAATATAAAGATCACTACCTTTGAAGACGAGAAACATCGCCTTCCATTCTGGTAAACGATTCTGATCAACTTTTGCTATACGCTCATGTACCCACGTTGCATATAGAACTTGTTCACTCGGTAATAATGTTTGATTCAATTCTGTTAACGTTCGAGTGGTTAAATTATGTATAACCATATTTATACGCGATATCCACATATGTTGTTGAACAGATGTATCAGCAATAATGATTCCCGATTGTGAGCCGTCAAGAGTATGTAATTGAAAAGAGTTTGTGCGTAATTTATCGGTACCACTGAGATATTGAGTGACATAAGCATAAAGAAGAGAATATTCTTGGACGGGAACATAATCAACTGTTGCATTATCTTCATCGTCTTCGTCAATTAAGGTACTAATTGATGAGGTTGCTTGCTGTTCTTCTTCTTCTTGTTGTTGTTGTTGTTGTTTCTGTTCTCTGGCATAAGCATTTAATTGCCGTCGACATCGTTCATTCTCGTTTTCACATAATAGTAATCGACTGAGTAGTTCACGTTCTTCAGTATCCTAAAAATAACTGAATAATTGGTTTATCTATTCTCTTTTTTTTTTAATCATTTTTGTTCTGCAACGATGAATCTTTTATTTTCTTTGGGGAAAATTGTTTATGTTTAGATTATGAAGACTTTTAGAATAATATCACTGACAGTTATATGTTGACACGATTATCCAAACCGAATTCTTTTCTTCACAGAAATTCGAGGTATGTTGTCAAATGAGCGAATCTTACTTGTAATTGATCAGACAGCATTAATGACAGACGTTGTTGTTGTTTACCCGGCCGATGATACCGACATGGATATTCTGCTGACAAACGATTTTGTTGTCGTCGCATACGAACCGAAGCAGATGTTGGAAGGGTAAAGCTCGTAGGTGGTATGGATGGAACTACTGATGAGGATAATGATGATCGTATTGTTGATGGTGTTGATTGAAGATATGGGGCCATATTAGTCATATATTTAACAGTTAAATCAACTTGATCGTTAGAAATAGTTCGCAATTTAGCAATGACTTCATCATGGGTTAGATTTGATATGTCTTCATTATTAATGGATAGGATAGCATCGCCGACATGTAAAAGATGGGCATTGGTGTAAACAACACGAGAAATAAGTACTGGAAAACCTGTTAATGGAAAAGAAGACGATGTACTAATTGCCTCGTCTAATATTTGTCATTATCTTACCCGTATTACAACCACCTTTGATAGAAAAACCGAACGAACGTGTTTTGGGATGTCTTCGAAGTGTTACATTTCGTGAAACAATTGTTTGAGTATCTTGATTATTAATTGATGATACTTGAGCTGTTTTAAGACGACGAATGATAAGTGTTTCCGATGTTAATTGAAGTAAAACGAGATGAGGTTTAGAACGGCCATCGCTCAATGTTACACGATCTTCGAAGAGCACTTCGATTGAATATGGTTGCTGACGATCATGCATTTTAACTACAATCTATTGAGAATGGATTCGTGAACATATTCTCTTGCTTCTTCTCTTTCACACTAATAGACTTACCCACGGTGAATGAAATAATAATGTTAGAAACTACATGGATACGTGTCATCACGTCTTCGCGCCAGTCACACGACAATAATAAAAGCCTTGGGCTCATCACATCTAAAAAATATGTAGAGAGAAAAGATTGATATAGAGCCAGAAGAACTAAGAGTTGCGTCAACATGCAATGTTATTGACGTGATTGACTCGGGCACCATCACTATTATCAAGATTACTGAAAAAAGAAAAAGAAAGAAAAGAACGTTGCCGACAAATGATGAGAAAGAGAGGGAGAGAGACAGAGACAGAGCAAAAGGGACATATGAAAAAGAGAAAAAGCGTATTCCTCCGTACAATTAGACTACGCTCAAGTGCTAAGATGAAGAAAAGAAAATCATTTTACGATTACACATACCGACCAAGAGTCTCTATAGTGAGCTATTTGTTTTTTTGCTCATCATGTGTCTATGCAAAAGAAAGAGAAAAAAAAGGAATCCAGAAACATCTAATAAGCCTACACATATATATAACTATCATTTCTCTTTTCTAGTAATATCGTATTCATTTTTTTTTGCGTACTAGCATGTAATACCGGAAATGGAGTTCGAGTCAGTCCTCTCAAAATTGAATAGAAGAGAGAAAGAAAAAGAAGAAGAAGAAAAGTCTGCTCATAGGCAATCCATCTGTGTGTTTTGAAAGTAAGCACATTATAATCATGATCGACGAGTCGTCAATTCTTATAAATTGAATGTGATTTTCAATGTATAAAGGAATTCAACAGTTATGCTGATGCTAGTTCTTTCTATTCTTTATATGTCTCTCGAGATAATGAAGTAGCGGCAGCAGTAATAGCAAGAGTAACAGAGCAATAGGAAGAAAACGAAGAAGGAAAGGAAAGAAACGACGAAAGAATGAGTACGACAATGACGGAAAAAAATGACAATTACAATTGGCAATACTTATCAGTCTCGTGCATTGCTGTCGTTACTATTTTGCTGTTACTGTTGCTGTCGCTGATCGATGATTGTGCTCGCATGCGTATGCAACTACTCCCAGTGCATGCATCAACACATGTTGCACTCTTTTCTTGACTAGTATAGCCTTAACATCATTTGTTCTATCGTACACGCGAATAACAAATAAATGTATTTTCTTCTTATTGCAAATCAAATAACGAAGGAAAAACGCAGCTTTGCAAATAAACGAATGATAACTTTTGTTGAAGCTTTTTTTTCTTCTTCTTGTAATACATCATTATGATGTTTAGTTAGATGATGCGAATTAAATTAGGCGTAAAGTATATCGAAGCATACTATACTATATATGTCTCTTCCGGGTGAGTTTCGACATCCGGCAAGAAAAAGAAGATAGATAAACGGTTAATCGGATGTGTGCTTTATGTATATATATGTGTGTGTGTGTTCACAACAGTTGGACATCGTTAGCAAGGCAATGGATAAATCAGTTTGATTCTATCATCGAATGTTGATATATACAATATGTTCTCGTTATTGAATTCTTATTTGAAAACAGGATTATCTATTGATTGATATCATCCATCAGATGTTTACTTTTTCAACATTTACATTCTTTTCATTGAGACTTACCGACGTATGATGAATATTTGATAATGTGTGTTACAAAGCGTATGCTAAGAAATGAGAATAACCTGACTCGTGCTGTTTCATTCCATCATGGAAATGAATTCATCTGTTCTTCTAGTAATACAGTATTGATATGCGAAGCCTAATCTATTTGTAAATAAATTAGATCCTATCTTATCTCAAGAGTATAGAGAATCAGAATAGAGTTACCAGAAATGGTTTCTTTTCGATTTAAAGAAAATATTCTTCCAATTGCCTTTTTTTTTCTACTGTTAATGACCGGAACTAATCTTCCTATTGTGTATTTAACAATTGTTGACATCGAAAAATCACATTTCTTCCTTTATTCCGAACAAATAACAGCATACATTGAACACATTTTCAATGGTTCAGCTTTCTGTTTGGAACAACCAGAAATCATCTTATTAGTCTTGAACTTTTTCATTAATATTTATAAGATATATATATTTCAACTGCGATGTTCTACTCAAGGAATCCAGATAAGCAAGATAATATTTGACGAGAAAACAGAAACGATATCTAAATGGACACGAATATGTTTTTTTTTCATACTGAAATCAATCATAGATACGTTATGATGGACATATAATGATCATGTTTATTATTTTAACCAGAGATTGACAAACACAAATACCAATTGTACTATCAATTTTTCAAAATATTCTATACCAAACGCATTCTTTGTCTAGTAATGTAATACCAACTGATAAAAGTTAAATTTAAGTATTCAATGACTTCTCACCAATTAGAATGTGGGTTTTTCAGACAAGCACTCAGCTGTCGGCATTCTTCTCCCATTAGAAAACACTCTTAAAAGTTATATGGTTGAATATTTACTTCTTTATGAAGATATGATTGATACGTAGAACATCGACTGGAGTACTTCTCAAAGAAAAGGAGCTTTCTAATGTAGGGTAGAAGTGGTGGTAAAAAATATTGTTTTTTTTTCTCAGAAGACACTCGTTCGCAGAGGAGTACTGAATATTTTTGAGATTGCAAGTGAAATCTCATGGGTAGTAATAGCAATAGAGATGATTTAGAATATTATTCATTCTGATTCTGAATTTTCTACTTTGTGACGAGCAGAAATGATCAGATGAATCGCAACTATTTTCGTTAATGTTTATGCAATGACTTCAGATCGGAGAACGAGTTACAAAAAACCAGAAACAACATGTATGAATGGATATTGACATTTTTTAAATATTTTTCAATCTTCAAATCAATCATGTGTATGTTATAATGGATATCTAATGATCATGTTTATTATTTTAACCCTGAAAATGGACCGATCAAAGAAAATAGATATACAAAAAACGAATCTTTCTTCTCCTTTCTTCGTCGAACCTGTACTCTGTGATATTAAATCTCTTTCTATGCGTGCTCTTTATAACTAGCCCTGAGTGTTGTCACGCATGGTTGATCAGATATATCATACGTTATAATATTTAAACACCGCTGTATATTACTTGATTTGCGTTAGCAGTGTTGCGACAGGAGAGGAAAAAACGAGAAAGGTATGGCTAAAACCGACAAAAACTCAAATGGGAAATCACTCTCTGCTGAAGATGAAGCCAATCGAGATAAAAAATTCAAATTATATCAAGCAACAGCATACCGGCTATGTATATTAACGATTATACTGGATATTATCCTTGGACTAACGGCTTTTATTAATTGTATGTTGGATAAATCATCAGTTGGATTGAGTTATTCAATCGATACATTGATGGATTCGATTTGTATTTGCTTTGTTGCCTGGCATTTGAAAGGTAAATTTAGACACGATATGTTTGCAAATATTCATAATAAATTTGTATTTAGCTCAAACAAGAGATGATTTCAAACGACGAGATTATTTGGTTTGCTGTGTTATTGGTGCGCTTTTTATCGGTTCATTTTTAGCTATTGAATCTCGTGCAATTCAGTCAATGATTGTCCCACAAGCACCCACAGGTGATTGGCTTTTACTCGTCTATTCCGTAACACATATCGTCATTTTTACCATCTTATCCATTGCCAAAATAATTCTTTCGAAAAAACTCAATTCGAAATCTTTGATGGCCGATGCCTTGAATTCAATTATTGGTATCATTATGGCTATTCCATTGATCTTATGGGATCGTATTCCGATCTTAAATCGACATACACAATTCGATGATTTAATCTCTGTATTGATGGCTTTGTTTTTACTTGTTATTGGCTGGACATTAGTTCATAATGGAATTACCTACCATAATAAATTATATTTAGAATCGTTAAATCAAGATGGAAGTGAATCGAATGTCAATGCACATTCAGCATTATTACCGCAAAATAATACAAATTCAACTGCTCGCTCAACTACAAGTGAAGAAACACATAAGCAATTTTTGACATTAGACAAAGACGTTGAGGCAGCAGATGGGAAATAGACTTCGCATGATGTTTGTGTCTTCAATGATAACTTTTATAGTCGATTGAAAGTAAAGTCTGAATGTTCGCAGGTAGTGTGTCGTTCTTTTTCTTCTCCTCATTGTGTGGTAAGAGTCATTTAGAAATAAATATGAAAATATCTTCTACTATTATATTTTTTGTTATTAAACATGAACACAAGAAGTAAAAAGAAACGAACTCGTTTGTGTTGTTCTCACGAAAGGAAAAGAGAAATGTTGTGTTGTTGGCTTTGTGTTAACCAAGGGATTTCGTTTTCAATGTACAGAAAAATCTAACAAGAGAATTGTTCACAGGTAAGAAACCGGTTTACCAAAATTGGAATGTTAAGGAACAAAAAAACAACAACGTTCACATTACGAATTTGTTCGTTCTTTATTAAATGTTTGTTGCAATTGAATGATCGTTTTGGAAACATGTCCATGACCATTGGTTTTGTACTGTTCATTTTTCTGTTCACTTGTTATATCGGCGTCATTATCATCATCGAGATTATCACGGTTGTTTTCGTCTGTTAACGTCGATGAACTTAGATTAGTTTTGAGAGATTTCTTTCGAGATAATGTGGAGGGAAACGATATGCCACGATTTGTTTCACGGTCAGTTTTTAATAATTGAAATAATTGGGAAAATGTTGGACGTTTCTTCTCATCCCATTCCCATGTTTTGAGCATGATTTGATAGATTGATGATGGACAACGGGAAGGACGTTCGAGACGTTTACCATGTTGTAAATAATAATATACATCAGTTCCACTCATATCACCTAGGTGAAAAAACGAAATGTGTCGAAGATTGAATTGCCTTTTATGCTATACAAACCATAAGGCGTAGATGCGTATGAAAACATTTCCCAAAGAGTGACACCAAATGACCAAACATCAGATTTTGTGGTGAATTTTCCTATACTGATGGCTTCTGGTGCATACCTAACAAAACATTCATTTGATATCAAAAGATATAAAGAATCCGTAATTAACTTCATACCATTTCACTGGAATTTTGCTATCAGATTTTTGCATATAAACATCTGCATCAATTCTTCTCGACAATCCAAAATCACTATGATAGAAAAGCCCAGCTAGAATGTATCATTTCTCTTTTATTTCCCTCGTCGTACCTGATTTTTACTTGATCGGTCGATTGCATGAGAATATTTCTTGCTGCTAAATCTCTAGAAATAATCGTATTTGACATGCTTATCTTGTTCACCTTCGCACATTTCTTTTTCTTACCGATGAACAATTCCTTTCCGTTCCATGTACGCCATTCCATCAGCAATTTGTGAAGCCCATAATTTGAGACGATTCTCTCCAACTGAATGTTTATGTTTCCATAGATAATCTAGCATTGAACCAAGTAGAAGTAGTTCAATAACCATCATCATACTATCGTCATTCGAATCGACGATACCATATAATGTACATATACAATGATGATTCAGCGTCGCCATGTGTTCGGCTTCACGAAGGAAATCTTGTTTAGCAGAATAGGAATATTCTTTGAGAATTTTGATGGCCACTGGTGTACCAACAGGATTGTTTAAATCTTCACGATAGAACCCTTCATATACTTCACCAAATTCACCTTCACCTAATTTTGCTGTTTGTTTGATTTGACTAGGTGATATGAGAGTCAACTGTAAAGATTTTCGTTTCTGTACGGTCATAACGGATGTTGCCGATCGTTTCGTCTGCGAGGAATTTTTACCATTTGGAAATTTCACGGAGCGTCGCTCATTATCATTATTAAAATCGGGAACAAATGGCTTGATTTTGCCTCCGACTGTTTTGCGACGATCAATAAATGGAATTGTATTAGCTGTCGATTGTTGATCGTTTGTCGATGGTGTGACTTGATTCTGAGATGGACTACTACCGGAGAGTGATGCACTAGAGGATGAAGATGATAATGGATCTTCTTGTGTTGATGATGCCCGAGAACGTGACGATAAAGAGTTCAGAGATGTGACAGAACCACTCAATGCTGATGAAAATGTTGGACGACGACTCAGACTACTTGCGGGAATTGTTCTATGATTAGATGAAGTTTCAGCAGCACTCATTTGACGTTGTAGAACTGGTTTCACTGTTAATGGAGTTTCTAGAAATAAACGCGATATTTCAAAAAAGAAAAGCCATTCCAGTTTTGACTTTTACCGTTTGATTTCTGATTGACTGGAGGAGTTACTGAAAATGGTTGAACACGGCTATTGATGATTTGCCCAAAACGATTGATCGAACATGTTAATGTCGTTGGTAAACCATCCGGTATACGACAATAATGATCAATCAAATGATCAAGTGTGTCAAAATAAGGACCATCATCAATATAGAATGTTGTATCATTCATACGAATGATTTCATAGTTGAAAAATTCGCCTTCATTATAAAGTGTCAATGCATAATTCTTCGGATTTTTCGAACTATGTCGTGCAACAAACATGCCATTTCGAGGACCCATCTTCACAGATTCAATTAGTTGTTTTGCTGCAACACGATCGAACATTGGCTGGTCATGTAACCAGTCAACACTGCGTGATTGAGCTGGTGGAACTTTATATTCTCGAAGTAGAGCGATCGATTCGTCGGATTTCACTTCTTCAGCTAAATCCAGAGGTGTTTTGCCTTGATCTGTTCGCGGACGACATGGAGCACCGCAATCGAGTAGCACTTGAACACAAGCAGTCGAATTATGAAAAGCTGCTTCATGTAATGGTACCCAATGATTTGTGTAATTTCGTTCTTCAAAATCAGCGTGTCCTTCGTTTATTAAAATCAATAAGGTTGATGGACGATTGCCTGCTGCTGCCTTTAGAAAGAAACAAAACCTCAAAATTCAATTTATTCTTTCATTTCTTTTTAATTACTTTGTGTAATGCGGTCGCACCATCCGTATCTCGCGCTAGTACATGAGCGCCTGCTTTGATCAACAAACGTACAATATCATCATGTCCAAAGAAACTCGCTTCATGCAGCGCTGTCGATCCAAATGCATCTTTTCCGTTCACGTCAGGCCGATTGACTAATGTTTCTGGTGAAAGGATTCTTTTCACAATTTCAAAATTGCCTTGTTTACACGCACGATGCAATGTATTCGTTGAACCCAAACGTCGAGCAGAAATGGGCGGTGGTTGACCTTGCACAAAATCACTGGAGAGAACACAGCCAAGACCATCGGAACGCTGTTGATAATAATGTATTAAGCTTTCTATACCGGCGATTTGAGGACCTGAGTCTATAATTTACACAAAAAAAAGTTCCACATAAAGTCAATTGTTCTTTTCGTGTACAAGTTAAACCTACCAATGGAAAAATAGATGTCATAAATAAGCTGAATTTTATAATGATAACATTTATCACCACAAACAAGCGATAGACTGAAATCATGTGGAGATGATGTACAATCGCGTAGTAAAAATAAACCATCACGTCGATAAAGAATATATTTAGCTCGTAATAATTGTTCGGCTGTTTCTCGATCGATATTTGGATGATAATAGGCAATGGAACGAGATTGGGTTAACAGTTGTTCTCGATCGCGTTTTAATAATTGTGATAATGAATGGATTTTAACGAGATTGGTAACAGATTGTTCTTGTTCATTCGAATTCGATGATGACGAGAGCGAACTCATGATAAAAAGAATTGCGAATTAAGTACAGATATGATGATAATGACTAATCAATATTCACATCTAAATAAGAAGAAAAACGAATTTGTTTAAATCATCTGGAAGAAATCATAACTACACATTCATTTGTAAATCTTTGCCATTTGAGGTGAACCTTGGAAAAGACTCCATACATATGTAAATCTCTCGTTAAGGACAATACGTTGATGATGGTAGTTTGAACCACAAACATGTGAGGGTCAAAAAATAATTCTTTTCTTCTCCTCATTCTTTTCTCTCTTGTTCTCCTACATTAGTTATGTATAGTTAGAAATTCTCATTTTTTTTTCCTTCTCCTTCTCAATTTTCGTGACACCATCATCATACAAAGGGTATCAAGCAAAGCATTGTGACTGGATATATGTCTGTCTAGTACGTCGTTGTCGTCGTCGTCCGTCTGGCCGCTCGTTCGGCCCGAACGAGAAAAAAAAACGAACACAAGCAATAAAAATTCAATCGTTTCTCCGTCGTGATGCGAAAATAGACACTCAACTGTAATTGTAACTCAATTGATTGGACTAGCGAGATGACATGATGGTAGTGACTAAAGAAAGAATAAATATTTCGACAAGTATCGTTGTCAAACGACTTAATAAGAAGAGAAAACAACATCAGATCGATGCGCATAAGAACTCTGACCTCATTTTAGGTAATACTCTTATCATAACACACGCTTTTGTATCAACATTCAACTGATAAGAATAGACTGTTCAACAAATATACACACAGACATAGGAAGAATAAACGATTTTGATTTAACTCACTTCTTTATTTGCTTTAACACCATCGGTTGATTAAGTAGAAGAAAAATATATGCGTCTGTTTTGCACAGTCGCCAATGTATACCTACCGTTTATGTGTATATGCTCACGTTACCTAACAGAGCGTGTATAAGAAGGAGGCAAACACATAGCTGTCGTTATTTAGTATTTCGAATGTCATTCAAGGCAAGAGAAAGAAGAAAAAGACGAGAAGGAAATGAGTAGCTAGTGTCACCTTTTTTCTCTCGTTCTCCTTAGAATAAAAGAGATAGATAACTTTATGAACGACGCAAAAAAGAAAGAAACTTGTAATCATAACAGTGGATTCAACCTAAGTGATATGATTCATAACTATCTGACTGAGAATAACGGTGTTATAGATATACAGTATTCGTTTCTTTTCTTTTTCTTCTCTTCTCTATCAACTTTCTTACATCACGATTTCTTTTTGTCTATTCTCTCTCGTAATATCTTCACTTTGTATCTGATATGAGACATGTGAAGGCGAAAAAGAAAAACATCTACGTCAAGTTATCAGGTATACGAGCAGTTCTGTAGGTGTTGAAAATTTAATGAAAGATTCTGATATGCAGATATTAATCATCGATGAAGTTGTCGATACTATTGACTTATTTATTATAATCTCCTCTGTCGCTTTCTTTTTTCCTATCGGAATATACTTTCACTCCTACTTACGAAAAGAATGAATAGAATTTCATCGAAAAAAAAAATCCCGAGAAAATGGATTCTTTTCTGTGGTATGTTTGTTGATGTTGACAACAATAACAATTTACAATGTATACGATTTGATGATAAACGTTCAATTCGGTCAAATGATGTCATTGTATGTGACGAAGGAGAGAGAAAAATCGAGCACCTGTTGACGCCTACTTTTGACCATTCATACATTCCATTGCACAATCAGACAATAGAATGATAATTAACAGTTGACAGACAGCAGCTGTTTCCACATCAAATAAGTTCATCAGTAATCAGTTGCCAGGGTAATCGAACGAAAAATAATTTGTTATTCCTTGTTTTTCGTTTTCATATTCAGGTGTATCTAATGTACACATATCTGTTACAGTGTAATGTGAGTGATTTATGTCTTGCAAATCAAGAGAAGAAAAAGAGAAAAGAAGTTCATTTGTGACATGTCGAGTCGGTTTTCGGTCTCTCTTCTGAGGTTGTTAAAGCATATGTCAGGTTTACACTATGGCCCTGAAACGATAAACATTTCTTTTAGAATAAACTTACTTATAGATGTTAAAAGTATATATTTGCGATGTGCAAAATTGCGAACAAGGTTACATTTCTTTCTTCGATCTACATAAACCAAGGCGTGAAAAATGCAAAAAAAAGGGGATAGATTTGATTTGTTCGAGGTTGTTGCTCTGCCAACATATAATATATGTGTATCAATGAATAAAATCAACTGTTAATTTGCAGTTTATCTAACAACGAATATTATTCTTTTTCGACGTTTGAAAATAAACATAACATTGCATAGAAAGTTTTTATTTTATTAATCAAATATTATATAAGAACTGTTTTTCTAAGTGTTCACAATGATAAAATCCAAAAATCAAGGCATATTTTCAGAGATTTTGTAGGATTCATTGTTCATTCCAATCAAACATATGAGAAAGTGATTCTTGTCGATAAACATCGAAACTATGATAGAAAGTCAAACCATCAATTTCTCACCTGAACGGATAAAATATTATCGAAGCGAAGTAGTTCATAGTTCGAACTAAATCCATGAATGTAACTTGATGAGTTCTTATTACTCCATGCTGGTTGATTCTTATAAAGTTTTCTTACGACTGACATCTCTTGCAGTTTTGAACAAGGCGATCTTTCTAAAATTGTAATATTAAATTACAAAAGTTTTAGTAGAGAGCTAGAATGGAAAATGTCGAAAGACAAAATTATCGAACGAAAAAAGTCTAACTAAATATAAAACATTTTCCAATGTTGTTGATGACCAATAACAGCATGTTTCATTTATATATATTTTGGCCCGTGGAGATTTAGTTCCATCGTGCCATGCTATACTACCCTTCACGTTCGCTGACACTATAATCTTCACCCTCAGATTGTTGTACAAGACCATCTTTCCTGTTATTGGAAAAAAAATATTTTGACATCATTTGCAAATCATTAGACAATGTGGTATATTAATCTCATCAGCATATCGTCTGTTTATTATAAACATTCGAATCGAAATAACAACAGGTTGATTTATGTTTTTGTGTACAAGTGCTATAAATGCACTTCTATCAAAGATTTAAAAAGTTAGTAACTTAAGAAAACACGTGCACTATTGGATAAATCATCCAAATTTTGCAACCAGAATGAAAGAAAATGGGAATGTCCGATTTTAGTATGAAATTTTTGTACAAGATAATCCGGTTGTCCTACACTTCCATCACAGAATGAATGGAAACCGCTGTAAGCGTGTCCAGATGTGATAAACAGATTTGTTGAACTATTTCCATAGAAATTACATCGAAGGAAGCCATTCGATGGATTATGTTCAAAATTTCCATTGACGAGGAGTTCATGGTTAGACGAGATATCTACTACTGAAACACTATCAAGACACCAATACGATGGATCATTACGAAAAGCGAAGATGATTATCGTTTCAGTTGACATCGCTTGAAAGGTTTTCGAGTAGTATGTATAATCAAATTTTTGAGCATTGTCCCATGAAAATAAAGGCAGAATATTTGCCAGTGTACAATTATTTGGTAATCTATACGTTGTCAGACCGTCTGTATGATTGGTAGGTGGGTAGCTGGGAGAGGAAACTAAAAAGAAAAAGAGGTGGAGCAGACCATCGTGACCTTCTAGTTCTGAACAAGCTGTATATGAATGTGACGAATCATGAGTGAATTATCTATAGATCAGTATGAATTGACGGTGAGATCTTACTTGTCGATGTTAAATGGATTGTAATGAAAAAAAAACAGATGAACATTCCAATAATCATAAAAACCACGCTACTTATCACCAATATTCGTTTAATAGTACCACACTGTTTCGTAGACATTTGCTCTTCAGGATTTATAGTTATTGATAACGATGATGGTGATAAAGCGAAAACATTTAATTGATCGATATTAGATTTTTCAAATAGATTCTGTTGTTTAAGACTTGTTTCCGAATGGAGATCGTCGAGAGTCAATGGTTTACGTGTCAGCGGACTTGTACCCTGTTGTTTGATCCATTGGACGATCGCGCTACGTTCATAGATATGACCATCAGCGGCTAATACCGGATCTCGGCACACGTCTAATGTTATCGGACAAATTAGGTCGTGCGATATTTGCATTCTTACTTAAAAATTCTGCTTTTTGACACAGAATACATTGAGTCGTATTATATGTTTCTATTTCAGACAAAAGAAAACAATGAAATGCTTTTTTTTAATTTCGATTTGTTATTTTTCAACTAAACTAATTTTCTTTTATTATTGTACTTGTTTCTATACGGAATCATTTTGCTTTTTAATGAATGTACCGACAATTAGAAAGACGAGGATAGTTATTTTTTATCTTCCCTCAAAACTCAATGATGAAAAACAGATGCTTGTTAAAAGTATATCATGATATTTGCTTACATTGAATGACGAAGCTTTTCTTTTCTTGTTGATATGATAAAGTCACTGTCATTGACTTGCTTCAACACTAAATGATGAGTATGGACGTCAAACAACGTATTTGTGGTATTGTCGGAGGTTTGGCCTATGTTTCCACAGCAGAAGTGAGTTTTAAACAAAATTTCCTTGAAATGATTGTCTTTTGAAAAAGTATTATAATCAAATGAACCAATTGGTTGGGAAATCGTTGCCAGGTCATGGAAGTCGAATTCATATCGTATCATTGGATATCTTTGAATATGTCGATTTATTGAATAAAAGTCAATGGACTGCTGTAGCTGAATTCATTCTCGAAGGTATTCATCAGTTGGTTAAAAGCGGTGTTGATTTCGTGCTTATCTGTTCTAATACCGGTAAAAACATATGCTTATTCTCATATTTTCTTACCTTTTCAAACTATAGGTCATATTGCAGTACCACGAATCGTTGAATATTACCCTAATTTAGTTTTGCTTCATATCAGTGATGCAGTTGCATTTGCAATTAAAGAAAAAAAGCTGAAAAAAGTAGCGAAGCTGAAATAAAGGAAATTCATGTGATTAGTTTCGTTTTAGATTGGATTTTTGGGAACAAAGTTTAGTATGACGTCGGATAGTTGCGTAGTGAAACGATTAGTTGATCATCAGTTAGAAATCGTCTTTCCACCTGCGGATGAAATGGATCGTTTACATCAAATTATCCTCGATGAATTATCAAACAACATTTTCACGAAAAAATCAGTCGAGTTTTACGTCAAATCAATCCAACGTCTTTCTGATGAACAACAGGTTGAAGGTGTGGTACTTGGGTGTACTGGTAGACAATTTCTTTTTAATTTTCAAGAGGTTTTGTTGATTTATTTTCTATAGAAATTCCTTTATTAGTCAAACAATCGGATATCCCGCATGTGCCTTTATTTGATTCATCGCAATTGCATGTAAATACAATTTTTGTTAGTTTTTGTTCTGTATTGTTGTTTATAATCGATAGATTCAACTGGCAGTTGATTATCAGCTCGGTCGATACGATTTTCAATCATTTTTGCCATCGAAAACTGGTTAAGTTAGCAACATCTGCTTACAACTTTGGTGATCGACAGGCGGTGTGATGATTTCCTTTGATTTCACATAATAACTCGCGAACCAACTCGTTTCTTTTCCAAGATTTTTCACTGCATGACACTTTTGCGCTGCGAATTTTAGTGCAACAATGCCATTTTTGCCAATATCGAATCGATGATCTTCGTGTTTGTTTTCATCTACATCTCCAATTCGAACTTGAAATTGACCATCGAGAAGAATGAGGACTTCTTCTAGAATGCTATTCTCTGCATCTTTATGACGGTGATTTCCTCGAATCATCAGACTTTTAATTGAACCGAAATGTGGCACTTGATTAGGAAGTGGAACATAAAGCACGCCTTGACTTTCACTGAAATGAATTCGAGAAGAAATATTTACATAGCTGAAGAAAGTCGATTGCGGAAGACGAGAGATATCAGCAAGACCGTTCATCACGAATGATTTTGACGGAAAATAATAGTAAACCAATATAATAATGATTGAAAGTAACAAAAGACCATACATTCGAGAATTGGTGCATAGTGATGAGTCTAACTTTGCTCTGTTCATGATAAATATTCGCTCCGCTAGTCACTACTCGTTATATGTAAACATAAATCGTTCTTCTCTCTACCAGTCGTAACTCAAGAGAGTATTGAAACAAAAATTTCCGCATGTAATTGTAGATGGCAGGTACAGTTAGTAGTTTAAGTAAATCTTTTCTATATAAAATCACCGTTGATTTGATTATTAGTTCAATCTATTCCTTTATATTGTATGAAGATTCATATTCAGGTGAAGATCGACTTGTTATTTACAAATATCGAACTGATCATGATGATAAGCAAATGAATTCTGCTTGATTACTTTTATCATTATCAGACGCGTTGAAGCTAAAACGGTTGAAGCTTGTCTCCGCGTTCGAGATATGTTTTCCCACCTTTCTAATTTGTGAAGAAATGTATACATATACAATACTCCTCTTTTTCACACAATCATCGATACAGAAGCAGCAAAAGTGTGATTAGTAGTTATTTCTCCGCGCGTCGTCTTCTTTTCTTCTTCTTCTACTGTTCATATCCTATTGTTATTCGTATACACACGTTCTTGTTCGCTTGTTGTATTTGACATATATTCTCGTGATAGTGCTCCTTTGTGTGTATATCGGAGGGATAGAGATGAATGAACATGTGATGAACAAATTTCTCTCTTCTATTCTTCCTTCTTCATTTCTCTTTCTTTTACTGGTCGATGAACGAATTACAACGGTGGACGCTTGAACAGTGAGAGCGAACAAATCGCCTTCGCCGCCGCGCCGCCGCTGTGTTGTTTGTTCTCAGGATCAACACAAAAGCATACTAGGTTGTATAGTAAAGGCGAACTGAAGGTCAGCGCACGCAAGGGAAGGAGAGAGAGAGAAAGAGAGAGAATACATGTTGGTCAGTTTTGATGGGTGGCCGCCGCTTCTCCTTCTCTGTCTGTTTTGCTCCCACTTTCAGTAATACGACGCGAAGGCCATTGCATTGCCGTTCAAAGTGAATACACCGCGCTACTACTGCCAGCTCCGCCTGTTTGTGTCACACATACTCCAAGAATCGACTCGATATATAAGAAAAAAGTGATTTACACATCTACCGTATGTATCATTTAAATAGATAATTTGATTCTTTTCGCTTCGATTTACTTCAATTCATCAACATATCAAATCGGTTTTTGTTCTTATATATGGGAAATATTTCCTTTTCTTATTCTAGTTTACAAGAAAGACAGAGAGAGAGAGACCATAATCATGGAAAAAGACTATATATACTGAAAGAAGCAGAAGAGAACTCGATGACTATGATCATCATCACCTCTCGTACTCGATCAATCACAAACTAACGTCCCGATGGGTGTTCATCACACTAGCAGAAAAAGAAGATTTACGAGCCGTCGATGTCTATTACAACATCACTATCGGACATTAGTTAAGTTAGCCTTTTTTCAGAAGAAAACAACTGAAGATAGATATCAAACATTTGTGAAAAACTTTCACTCGATTCTGTCAGAACAATTAGATGACGTGCGATTATCAAAAGAATGCTGAACAAAGATTTTGACAAGAAAAACCAACTGATTATTATCTTTCCATCTGAAAGATAATTAAAAAGAGAAACATGCTATCGTTGAGATCCTGTGTGTTATGGTACCACTTTTCTCCTCTTCGTAACTTGTAAGAAATTTATAGGTTGAACATTGAACAATATATTTTTCGTGTTTGAAGTTGAACCGACTACAATAGAAAGCCTTTCACTTTACATAAAAGACAAGAAAAAGAAATACCGACCGACAAAGAAGTTGATGCGCATAATTGATCTCTACTCATACTCATTCATTTTAATCTCGTTTTCTTCGTTCTATTACTTAGTGTTTTATACCTGTCTCTCGCATCTGACAATCATAAAGAAGCAGATATATTTATACACATATACATATCGAATGATAGTCAAACAATACAATTGACCATGCCGACCAATATACTCTTGGCTCCAACATTAATCGTAAGTT